AGAGTCTCCAGCGCTACTAGGGCGGAAGTGATGGTCGTTTTGTGAGAAATTGTGGCGCGGTTGAAGGTTGAAGAGCCGATTACTACCAGGCTGCTAGCTGAGCCAGTCACTGTCATATTCTGTAATTATGAGTGACGGACTGGAGCGAGGTCTATCACGAAGTAAGTCTTATCCCAGTCAACTGATGCTGCTCGATATGGCTAATAGAATTCGGTAGATGAGTTGCAAAGTGCATGTTCGGCTATCCGCAGCAAGAAGTTCTGCGGTAGGATAGCTAAGGTTCTACGTCTTCCTGAATGGATCAAGATAAGTGAACGCCAGATACACATCGGCATTCAGCCAACAACGCTCAAAAATGCGGTAGCAGCACTGGTTGGTGCAGTCTGGATGGACTCGCATGACTACAAAGCTGTGCTTAGAGCAATGATCTCAATTGGGTAAAGCATATTACCACTTTCTGACTGACCATGATGTACTCTCCCCACGCCACCAATCCTGTCAAAAAGCATGAAATCTGACCTGCTTGTCAGCTATCACTGGTCGCGGCATTCCACCGATGAAGCCAGATTTGTCCCAACCCTCGACTTGCCCTACAGCCTGTTCCTCCTGCACCTGTTGCAAGCCTGCAACTGGCACTGGCGACACTCGAAGATGTATTCACGCAGGAAGCCATGGCATTCCTCACAACGATGACCGCCTCTGACCCAGCGCCACTTGTCGTGGTCACATTCGTGGTTCGTGCGAAGATGCTCGACGGCCTGTGCAATTCGCTCATCTCGGAGTTTCGTTGCGAGTATCGTAGCTTCTGGATCCGTATTTTGAGCGGCCGGCAGTGACGGTGGAACCGAAGGCATGCGGGGAGCGGGCGCAGGTAGGTCGTGATCTGACCAGTCCTCCTCCCATTCTGAATGATCTGTGAAATCTGATTCCCACTCTGAATTCGCTCGACTAACCGCTTTCACGCCATTTGAAACTCGAGGAGTAATCGTGGATGCACGAAGATTTGAATATCGTAGATCTGACAAAGACCAGCTTTTCTTACGCTTTTGCATCTTTCATCAACAGTTCTGCGACGAATTCATATGACTTATACTCGCCACTCGAACTTCCCTCGTTCTGCGGCGATGTCGCAAAGAAGACTTTCGTTAGTTATCAGTGTCAGGCCTTAAGCGTGGACCCAGTTTGTGGAAGTTCTGAAGGACAGAGCAGCACATCTACCTCATCTTTTCGCATCAAGGCGTGGTACTCACGGCGGTAGACCTGCATGCTGCGTGAAGCTACCTATTGCTACCAACACTTCATCTTGCTTCTCAAATTGGCCAACAAGTCACCCTACTTCTCAACGCCAGTGACACGTCAATCGTGCTTGTGTCCGTCACCGTGATCCGCATGTACACGGAGAGAGAGCACATCCGTCTTCAGATAGAGAATATATTGCCGGAATTTGCGATCACATTGCCTTTGGAGAAAGGATCGCTGCGCGGCATACAGAAAGCAGCATAAGTATCATCGTACAGCCGCAACTCCCTTGATAGTCGTGGCACCGTCGATGTCCACAGCGGGAACTTTTCTAGTGACGCAGCTGCCAGGTGTTTACTCTGGCCATCCCGACGCATGCCTAACGATTGGCGATAATTGAATGCAACCACAAGACTTTCAGCCAGACTTGCCAGTATAGCTCTTCGCTCAAGGTCGGTGTCGATAGGATCGGGAATTGCAGAGATCTTCCATGCCGATTGGCCCCAGAAGTAACACGTCTCCAACATCAGTTGGTTTGCGTCGTCCGCACAGAGGAACTCGTACATTCGGTACAATGACAATGTTGGGCTGTCGCAATTCTTGAAGCGGGAGATTTGACGAAGTATCGTGATACCGTCGTAGCGCTGCCGCACAATGTCAACCTTTCCCAGAATGTCATTTGGGCACGGCAAAGGATCTGGCAGGGTGAGTGGCCTTGTCATGCCAAATACTAGCCGCAATGCTGTGGTAACGGGCTGGCAGCAACCACCACCAAAGAGTAGCCTCAATTCTCCAAGCCAGCCGAACATCGTGTGGTCGTGAATTGCAAAGGTTGTTGAAATGCGATCGAAGGCGATCCGTTCCTGCTGAGGATGATTCGGGTTCAGGCGCAGTGGTTGTTTGATAGGATTGCAACTTCCGCCTACTAGAGATCGACATCGAAAAGGATAGTTCTTTCTACAGCGTCACTAGCGCCATGTGACGCCAAGGCCGACATACCCATGAGAGAGTTCATGCTCTAACTGTATTTGTAGGGCTAAGTTTAACCTTCCACTTCTGGTGGTTCTTCAATTACTGTACACATCCTTGCGCTAACCAGTGGGAATACACATTCCATGTCGCACAGGATCGACTCTTTTGTTGGCAATGACATACAATACTTGACATACCTTTGGGAAAGAGGTTAGACAACTCAGGCAATATATCGAGCAGCAAGATACCCGAACAGTGCTCCCAGGCTCTATATAAGCACGGGAACTCACCTAGATGTGAATTCAAGCACGATCATCGTCCACCTGGACCACACTGCGAAGAACAATCCGACCACCCGACTCCACAGTCGCTCGTGTAGAGATGGCCTCGAATCGAAATAGTTTTGACAGAGACGGTTTTTTGGCTGGTTAGTATGTGTCATGGCAAAGCAATCCTACATGCTCACAATTTTGTAGGACTGCGTGAACTGAGCATGGGCATTGGGCAATCCCCGGTCCTGGCGCGCAGTCGGCCACTCGAATTCATTGCGAGCGGTGGGTTTGTTTCGGTTATCCATGTCAACTTTATCAACCATTGTGTCCAGACTAATGTGTCCAAGGTGTCTGGAGAATAGGCCGGCATCACAGGACCTTGACTATTTCTTACATCCCACGGCTTTTGGTCAGCGACTTGAGACTGTCAGGCAGGAGCTATCACGAATCATCACAGCAACAGCGCGTAGACTACGATACGTACCAGATTGGGCCAACGACAACGTCAGGTATTTCTTGGCCCTACTAAATGATCCATCCGACCTTTTTGAGCGATCGAAGCTACAGAACGTTGTTCTTTATAGAGATCACCACCTGATCATCTACGCAGTTCTTTGGGAATGGGTCCTCATTCGCAAGCTGAAGCGTCTTCAGATGGAAGGTCAACCGCAAAGAAGAGAGGACTGGAACGACTGTGTTTCAATTTGCAAGCGTCTGAATAGGCAGCGACCCGGCATTCTACAGCTGTCAATGCTAAGACAATTTGACCATACTGGCCGAGAACCACCGGTCTTGGAGACAACGATCGAGTCTCTGGGGAGGTTGCTGCAACACTTCATGGGGTCGAATCCATTCCAAACGGCCTCGTCTTTGTTACCTCAATCAGACCCGTCTGGCAATGTTAACGATAAGTCTGAAGAAGAGGACGACGACGACGACGACGACGAGGAAGAAGAAGAAGGAGAGACGCAGACGGCAGGGAACGACGGTGGGGAAGGGAACGAAGACGAGGATGAAGATATAGTTCATGATCAGCGACTCCAGTCAACGATCAGTGCAATGCATCGCTTACTTCTCAACGGTCACTCTGCACCACAAGTGCCAGGTACAACCGTACAGATGCTTGTGAGCAGAGGTGTGGCTCAGTCAGATGCTATAAGTCTGGTCAGGCGCGCTGTGCAGAGAATGTAGAGTGGTCAATGAAGTCAAGGCTTACAGTGAACGTCATAACATACTGGGGCCTGTTTGGTACGAACAGACTCTCTTTACATAGCTTTGTAGCATCTTTCGGTTGTCACCATACTTTGCAAGCAATGGCTCCGAGAGATCCAGTACATTAACCAACATCGATTGATACATCTCGCAACTTATGCTTGAGTGGTGGTGTGCACTTACGTCCCTCATCGTTCTCTTGACAGAAGTTTCATGTCGGCCAGCCAACAAGCAGGCTTCGCTGTCGCTTGACATTCGGGAGCGAACCCTGCGCGTCAGATTTGGTGAGCAATTTGCTTCAAGTCCAGCCCTCATGTCGACCTGGTAAGACGCTAGATATCAGGTCGTCTCCCTCTCCCTCTCCCTCTCAGAGTGATAAAGCGACGAAATTGAAGCGCGAATATGACACGCCCACCAACAACAAGTCCTGGGAGTACGCGCAGCAGACCTCTCACGTAGCAAGGTACACGAACACTATCCACGCTTGATTGCCTTGCTGCTAACACGTGTCGCTCTGGCGCAGAATCTACTCGTCTTGTGTTCGTGCTATGAGAAGCGACTGACTGATTCGACATGGAACATTGAACACGATCAGTCTGTAGAATCTGTTCAGGATACAATATGTAATTGGTTTTCTCCATCCATGATTGAGGAAACGAAACCACTCGTGCGGTTTGCTACTGGTACTTGCCTACCATCGCATCAAACGCACAGGGTAGGTTTTGCCAGCGCTAGCTCGACTAGCGCTCGCAAAACTTGCCCCGTGCGCTGTGATTCCAATGTTAGTGCATCGTCGTCACCCCGAGTACGTTTGGACGGCGGCATGGTTGGAGGGGGTCCCAGGGAAGGAAGGAGGAACATATTGGCAGAGTTGTGGACATATATGGAAGCACACATGTGCCAATGGCCAGAAATGCTTGGTTCGAGTGAGACCACATCTTATGGGGAACCGGAACTCGTTGCATTGCAGAAAGAGCGGTGAAAGCCTAACGACAGTGGCTGGTGAAAGCCTGGAGACAGTAGCTCGCTGGAGCGAAGGTTAGTCAGACGATCCGAAGATCGCTTCCGCCTTGCTTGTCACATTTTCATGCGCACTGGGAACTGAGTTTCGAATCTGACGCTGCGACCTAGTGTACTGGTGAGCGGCCAGCACGTACACGCTGTACATCGAAAGGGCTCCTTTGCGAGTATGAAGTTGGGCGGGAAGGTGTGAGTCGCGTTCAAGAGCTGCGAAGACAGTTGGAACAGGCAAATCAGGAATTGGACCTGCTACGGTGGAATCTCGCTATGAAGACCGATGTGATACGGAGGTTTCAGACCGGCTCTGAGCAGGAGGCCATCCACACGCTGGCACGACTTAGAGTTGGAGACTCACTTGAGGATATCGCGGCCAAGCCTGTCGAGACTGGTCGAGCACTGTGAGCAGATGCAGTCGGACATGTCTTTCGCTCGAATACCGGAAAATAAATCTACACAGCAATAGATGTGCGTCGACAAACATGTTGTCTTCAGAAAGTAGACCCATCCTGTCCATGTAGATCAATGCAAGCGAAGGCTTCAGCTTCCCGGCAGATCTGCAGACTCGGAAGTGTGATCAGACCACTCTCGTAGCCAAGCTTGTAGACAACTGTTCCTTCGCCCATTTGGGCAACATAGCGTTGAAACTGAGCCTTGTTTTTCTGGTGGACGTATGGACTGGACTTGAAGCCGAACGTGTTCTTATACTCGATCCAATGGCACGTATGCCCGAAGATCATTGTTGGTGTGTCGAAAAGTACGTTGGGCGTCAGCCTACAGGATAGAGGGATGCCCTGGTCGATAGCCGCCTGAATTCGTTGTTTCTGCTGCCTCTCATCCTGAAACTGGTAGCCAGCATCACGTAGCCTGGACAGAAAGGTCTCCTCGGCGGTCTTGGCCTGCTCAGCTTTGGCCGCCATCTTGACACGCCTTGCTTTCTGTCCCTCAACCGTATTGTCCGATGGCAATAAGCGGAGCGCGCCCTCCAAGATGGCACTCACGATTCGAGGGTCGAGGGGAGTGTGCGTACGCCCGATGACATCCTCAACGCCTGGGTTCGAGAATCGCAACGCACATGCCACCCGAAACACAGGCTTGATCAGAGCGGTCGAAACACCCTTGTAAGACAGCAATATGGCATTCGTACGTGAGGCCGTGGTCTGCGGCAAGATTACAGTGGAGCGTGTCGAACTCGCCATTGCTTCTGGTGGTGCCCTAACCAGACTTTTGTGATAGGCTGCATCACGGACGTGTTGCTCAAGAGCCTCTTCGTCCAGAAACCCTTTTCGACACCGGCGACAGTTCTGGTGAATTTTCGACGATCTGATGTGGTCTTGGAGATGCGACCATTGCGCAAAGCCCTTGTCACAACAGCTCCCTAACATTGCACAGAATGGCAAGCAGAAAGCAGCAAGAGTCGCTCCTTCGATGCAAGAATGAAGATCAATGCTAGTTATAATTGCCAGGGACAGAGCTCCTTGAACCCCGTCATGCTTTCCACCGCGATGCCTAAGCTCCAGACACCGGTCATATAGCTAAGCTCGATCACATAGTTCTTGCCCCTCGTCGGCATTCACCTCTTCTACATGATTTCGAACTCCATAGTACGGGTAAGCGACCAGTGCCTTTAGCAGCATGTGGGATCATCATCTACCCAGCTCGATTCGCTATTGGCAGAGTACATAATGGCTTATTTCGGACTCTACGCTGTGTTTCTGCAACAAGCCATCGCTTGACTGGCCTGCAAGGATAAGCACGAGCTGCACTGCCAAGAAAGGGTCGTATCTGGTGGCGAGACAGCATTGGACGGGGATCGTTGCAATTTCTCCACCCTATAACAGTCTTTGCTGTCCCCAATAGACCCGGCGTGCTGTAGATCTCCAGTCGTACCTGTCGGGTGCCAGGATGGAGCTGCAGATGTCCTCCACTTATAGATTCACATTGAATCACGCCGGTCGCCAATGCCGGTGTCTTCCTTCGCGTCGTTGAGAGAGAATAATGACGTTCTCTCGCGAGACTTCGCGGTGTGATTTCGGTCGTCCAGATTCGTGCAAAGCGCGGTTATGCCGAGCTGGTCCTCGGTTGCGAGCGTGGGATCGTCTTGCAGAATTACGTGATTGATGTGGTTAGGTTTGTGGTTCCGGACATATTGCATGGACTTGGCCACTACCCACTCGTAGAAAACGATACGCAACCTAGAGACATCAGTACCGATCGATCACATCTCCAAAGCCAGGATGCTGTACTCACCGCTCGTTGTGGTCGGTCTGCTCAAAGTAAAGATCATGAGGGTAGAAGCCGGCAAGATTATCGACAGCAGACACAGCAAGCCACTGACTCCGCACATGATTGACGTCTCCGTCAGCTGGCCACAACTTTGGACCAAGATCGTCGAAAAGGACGTTGGCTTCCTTCTCAAGCTCAGTGGACTCGAGGAGCTCTATCTGCCTTAGTCCCTGATAACTTTCCGTGATCCTCTTCAGCTCGGCGTTGAGTTCTTTGATGATGGGATACTTCTGGCAGTCTTTCGCTCGAGATACAGTACGCTCCCATTTGAAGCCCAAGGACTTCTCTCGAGATCGAATATCCGTAGCCCGGACCATGTTGGAGATGGTCGCTTGGCCATAGTGCTAGGAAAGGAGAAGGAGGAAGCACAGGCTCAAGCTCTCTAGCGAGAGTATGTTTACGAGCCCACAACAAGTGCACGCTGAGCAGCAGTCAAAAGGCGGAGCATCGACAAATAATGGGGAGCCCCGCCATCTTCTCAGCTCAGCCAATGGGGCCGCACGCCGCAGCATGACGCATGCACGTCCCTGACGCATGCACATCCGCTTATGCAGTATCTGCATATAGTGGAAAGTGAGGCTGGTAGAGTCTGCCACAAGCAGATTACGCCTCCGGACGTGAAGCCCCGATATGAATAGGAGCATCAGCGAGGTAGCGGCAGAGCACTGCATGTTGCACAATCCTGTTGGAAGACTTCGTAAGATCATCGACAGACAGAGATACGTATACACTAACATCGGAACAAAGTACACCAAAGGCTAGCCACGATTTTCTGCCCGGCGCACCATGGCGCCATGCTTCACAGAGTAAGTCTGTCCTCATAATTGCGACGCTGAACCTTAAGCTGTACAGCATCATCCGATCGGACCAGTTCACATTCATTGTTGGTGAGAACCAAACGCCAATAGTGGTTCATACAGCCGCATTAGCAAGAGCTTCCATGCAAATAGCCCGTCTCATGAACGGTGAGATGGGTGAAGCGAGGACCCGATCTGCACAGCTTCCGGATATCAGCGTTGAGGACTTCGTTTCCTAATCTCGTTCGGGGAGGCTTTGGTCTGTTTTGGACTATGCGCTGTGCGTTGCTCAACGTTGACAGCCTGAGCGGGAGAAGGTTCGGTGCCAGAGACTTCAACGACCGACTTTGCATTAGTGAAGCCCACTTCCGAGACGCTGTGGTCGGCTGTAGCTCCAAAACGACTGCCATACCGCTTGTCGACGACGTGTCGTAGATCATCCGGCGACATAAACCCAAGTAGCTGTGCTGAGTTGTCTTTGGATACCGCTTTTCCAACGTCAAACAGATCCGCCATAGTAGTGACCAGCACTTGGCCGCTATCGCCATCAGCGATAGCCTCCCCGACCTTATAAACCTTTTGGCGGGAATTTTCGCTGGCCATATCGCAGACTTCGAGACATCGCTTCGACATTTCGATATCCGTCTTTAAGTTTCTTCTCTCATGGTCGCTGGTGGAAGCATAATCTAGGCTCAGACACTCGAGGCGTCGTGCCAGGTGGCTAGAAGTCCGTGTCAAGCTGTCTCGAGTTTCGTTCAGAATTTCGCGCGTCCGTCTCTGTGCATCGTACAATCGATCTTCGGAGCCATTTTGAGATACTTCCTGCAGCAGGCTGGAGGCCCCTGTTGATACAATATCGAGGTACGATCTGGCTTCTTTACAGATGCGAAGACATTGCCTTGTAACCTCCTTCTCGTCTTTCAACTCTATAGTCCCTCCCGATGCAAAGTCACGCTCAGCAGTAAGCTTTGTCATCTTCTCTTCAATGCGCTGTAGGTGAAGTTCCAAATTATAGGTGGTGTCATGGATCATCTCGCTATATTCTACGAGAACATTATGGGAGATCCTCGAAGTATGCCTAGGTTAAGTATTAGTGGAGGCTAGCAGATGTCAATTCGCGACTAACATTGCTATAGTGCCTAGCCCGACTGAGATGGTCGACTTGTATCCTGCGATGGTCTCGATGAATTCGTTGATGTCACCTCTCATGAATTCCATCCTTGTCCAATCTCGGACACCAGTCTTTGATTTCCTGCCGAATATCTCCATTGACGACTCAAAATCCTTGCAAACGAGGCTGCACCTTTCAATTGGACCTTGAAGTAGCGACAACATCGTGGATGGTATGGCTGATGGTATGACAGACGATAAATTGGATGGCATGCCACATGGTATGGCGGATGGCAGACTGGACGACGGGATCGATGACATACCGGTTGGCGAGTTCCATGACCCACAAACAAGGTACAGCAGCGGAGTGACTGACGGAACGCACCATCGTTCTCTTCCACGCACTGGTCCCAAAGGTCCTGATCGAATGCAGCGAGGTTTTCTGAACCAACTCACTCCTGCGAAAGATGGAGAGTCTGCGGACAAGAAGAAGAGAGACCACAACACGATACACATGGTACAGGTCGACGATAAAGACAGTGAGATGGCATGACCAACTGTCCGAGCATGCCCTTGTTGAAGATGGCATGTTTAAGCATCCCTGCCTAGGAGGGCGAACCAGAGAGAAGTGATGCGCCTGTTACAGCTTCTCCCCTTACTTTGCGCATATTCTGTGGTTGACCACAACATGCCGACTAGATCTGCCAAATGGTATTCGTAAGTTTGGGTGCTGAGTTCGATTCCCAACCCCAGAGCTATACTCGCAAAGCCAGCCTGACATATACGGAATGTCACTGGCAGTGCCAACCCAGCCAGGTCAGGGAAACCCTGTTCCACACGATGTATGGGATATTCGAAGCCTTATCGACAGAATGTCACTACATTGCATCCCAAAAGCCGAGGTAGCGAGCTCTGTATATGAACCACTTTGTGCACAACTCTCAATTGACCTCTATATTTCTTCTACCTAGCAAACAATAAGACATCTTCGATTTAACACTACGATGCAACTTTCGATCCTTGTCTATATTTTCACCCCATTAGGTAGCATTTCAGCTATGCATCCAGTCGTGCAAAGGAGATTTGGTCCGACCCCAGCACCCCTAACGTTGAGCTGATCAAGAGCAGGAGTCGAGCGGAAGGTGGAGCATCGGCTGCAGTCTCAATACAGACGATACTCAGGACGCCCCCGCATTGTGCCGGTCCTCCGACAGCTGCCGATTTACCTGATGAGAGCATTCCTTTGGCACGCTATATGCTTTGGAGCAACGCAGTGCTTGGCACGGCTTCTTCTCCGCACACTCAAAAACTCAAATTGGTGCTGGCATCATGTTGTGGCAGCGAAATCTACCATTCGAGAAGGCCTCAATCAACCAAACGCGAGTATGAAACAATCTCTCGGAAAACTGGTCCGTGAGGACCGGAGCAAGAAGTGGGGGCCGGAGTGAGAAGTGGAGGGTGTAAGAAGGAGAGCTGTATATGAGCGTCCTTGCTGATGGGTTTATGGTAGGAACACCTGCCAGGCGAGCCATTCCAACACTGTAAGACAGAGACTATCGACGCGCACCATGATTACACACGATACGCTCCGATTCACGGGGATACTAATCGCCTTGGTACTTTCCCTATCATGTGCATCAGCCAGTACCAACCCTCGCGCAACTTCCGACGAGCCCGTCTATCCAGCGACATACTGCGACAGCATTGAGGTGACCAGTTGGCAGCAAGCAGAGCGGTACAACGCATTCGTGAATGCTTTCTACATTCAAAAGAACCTCACGGTGTCTTATGGTTCCTTCGTATCGAAGAATTACATTCAGCATAATCCTTTCGTGGATCAGGGCCCAGCCGCTGCAATTCAGTACCTCTGGCCTTTATGGCAGAAGGCTGACATTAAGATTCTCCATGTCGGTTTCGATGGCGGTATAGGATGGATTCACCACAGGGTTGATAAATTGGGCCCTCAGCCTCTGGCTATCACGGATTTGTACAGATTCAACGGAACTTGTATCGAGGAGCATTGGGACGTTATTCAGGCACTACCAACAAATGCAACAAATCCGTTGGCGCTTTTCTAGCAGGGTGAGACAAAGTACAGGTACGAACCATGAGCTGCAGTCGGTGAGCATCGATCCCAGAGCTTTGCCCGTCACACTTATCTGAGCTAAATGAAGATTGTCCTCTGCAGATTATCGATTCGCAGCACAAGATTATTGATGACTGCTTCATTGCATCGAGATTGTGCTCTCTCGTTGGCATTATTCCGTCTACTCCACTGCCGCTGACTTCGAAACGATCGTGCCGTTCTTCCTTCAACATGCGATTGTGGACATATCCAGGAAGATATTAACTAATCTAGGCGGACCTAGTGTCTCAGCTGCAAGCGGATCGGGGCGGAGAACTGGGGAGTATTTTGAGGGAACCGGCGGGAAAGAGTGACGGTCGAGTTCTTTGTACATCGAATCCATTGCAGCATGGGTGTCAATAGGCAACTCTATTGAATAAACCTTGATTTCATTGATGGTTGTCTGCAAAACTCGCCTTGTATAGTTCATCACGTTCACCAGCATCGCATCCGGTTCATAACTATTGCTTGGTCGCAAATATGCATATAACTTAACAGCTAACTTAGCGGCGTTCACTGCGCAGACGCTGGAGGGATTTTACCTGATCTCGGAAACTTATCAATGCGACTCACCCATGTTGATAGACGCCGATAGCCGATCGATGCGGCCAACAACCAAGTACTGTGCTAGTATTTTGTGTTATAGCGATGACCGTACCGAGGGCGAGAAGTTACGTTTGCTTGAAAGTACAGATCGGAGCGTTGCTAAGTTCAATTCGCTCAAACGTCGATCGTGGGAGAATTTATCCCTTCGTGCCAGCTCCGACTATCGGAATTCGGGGACGGTTGAAGGTCCTACTCCACCCCAAACCGGTTGCTGAGGCCATGATGATACGCTTGCCTCCCATGGGACAACATACGATGGGAAAAACCACCATATGGCCTAGGTAAACAAGGTTCTGGCTTTGGTCGCCTTCCAATCACTCTCTAGATTGGCAACAATTACAATTATCTCTTGCTTAAAATCCTGACCTTTGCTGTTGTTCTGATGCCACGGGTCTCACGATTTGTGGATGTCGACCATCCTTTGATGGAGAAGTGGATCACAATTTCACACGCCCTCTTTGCAAATCTGTTTACGCACCGCAACACCGATACAGTCGTCCCCAGATTCACGAGCGATTTTCTCCATATATTGCCATGTTGCTCTCAAAATGTGCTTTCAGTACTACGCACAAAGAAGCTAAATTTTCACTTACATTGACAAGAAAGCGGCCTTCGCGCCTTGCGCCTCGCGAATACAGCACGGCTAGACATGCTACTTCATGCCACTTATACAAATTTCGCCGCGTAGCTCTTGATCGTACTGAAACTAGCCTCCGAGGTGCTGATGCCGTTGCCGTCATCCGGACACTTGTAGCCCGAAGGAAACGACGTTACAAACTGCCAGTACTGGAAACCCTTATAGCCTGCAGAATACGCCACACTCAACCAGGAGTCGACCGTGCTCTGACGTGACCCAGTATTGGTTGTGCCAAATTCTTCGAGGACAACTGGTTTGCCCACTTTTTGGCTTGGTCTCCATGTTGAGTGACCCACGTCGAGCCCCAAGCGTCGGTTTGACCCCAACTGGAAGGGTAGAGATGGACAGTACCGTAATCGATGCTGCCCAACTTCAGGTTGCTAACCCAATCTATACCTTCGGACCCACTGTATGGATAAGAGCTGCCATAGCCCTGTGCAGTCGTGAACCAACCCTCGTCGCCAACGGTCACCATGTGGTTGGAGTCGATACTCTTGATATAGGAGGATATTTGCGATACCCAGTTCGTAAGCATAGCAGTGTTGCATGAAGATGAGGCACCCCGGTTGTCGTCGCCGGTGCACCTCGGTTCGTTCATGAGTTCCCATGCAAATACGGCTGGAGAGGTCTTGTAACGGTTGACGAAGAAGAAAACGTACTTCTTATATGCAGCGATTATCTGGGCGTTGCTGAAGAACGTGTCGTGCTTGGCGCTCGAGCCGAGGATTTGCTGGATATATAGGTTGATGGAGGGACCCCAATTGCCGATCATAGGAATTACGAGCTTGATGCCAGATGCCTCGGCCGCTGCGATGATGGGATCCATATGGGCGGCGAAAGCCGCAGGATTAGGAGTGTTGGTAGAACCGGACCAGTACTTGAATGAAGAGCTCGAAGCACTGCCAATGTTGTCGCTCCAGGCGAAGATGCGCAGAACTGTCAGGCCAGCCGATTTCATCTGCGAAAACAGGGAGTTCAGATCCGTCGAGGGCAATGATGTAGCCCAGTAGGCGTTGGTTCCACCAAAGCGAAATACCTTGCCATTGAGAACAAAGCCGCTGCCAGACCTTGTGACATAACCAGAGGCAGCCGGAGCCCCTATCGTGACAACCTTGGTGGCGGCTGTAGCAGATGTAGCAGCTCTGCGGCAAGAGAGTCAGTATGTGTATCAACAATACCAGCGGAGCACGAGCCAAGTCGTCGTTGCGGGTTGCTAGGAGGGTGCTCACTTCTGGCTGGTTACAAGCGTCGTGCCGCCCGAATTTGGCAAGTACTGAGAGTAATATGGGTTGATAACAGAACATGAGGAGCCCGATACACACGCTGTGCCTCCTGTCCAACCACCACCACCACATTGGCCGTACGCCCCTACGCTTTGGGCGCTGACGACCCCAACAGACAATAGTGAGGTAATGAGGTAGACAGCCTGCATTGTGAACGATAATGCCAAAAGTCTGCACGGAACGGGAATTTGCGTTCACTTTATAGACTCAGACAAGAGAGAGCCGTCCACTAATAGTACGCCTTAGACGGCGGCTGCCAGTCCACAGGCATGTCGTAGACACGGACGCCCACATGCCACTTTACCAAAAACAGCCGCCGGATTAGCCTGGCTTTTCTGGCCTCTCAAACGATGTTTCAGTCCCGGACTCGACGACGCGGTCGCAAACGCTGACGAGCACCTTTTCTATATCTTTAATATAAAAATGGCGACTATCATGGTCGGAGCTGTTTCATCGCCAGTCGAAAGACCCGCTACCGAGCCATCGCGAACGGACTGTTATCATTGGTGTGGATAATGTGTCGTCCATATGTCAAACGATAGTTGTACCACATCCTTTCACGAGGTGGCCGGAACGATTCCAGGTCAGTCACGGAAAGCACGTTACGGAACTCATCGGTCCGTACAAGGTCATCAGGCCATACGGTAATTATGTAGAGTTAGCGCAGCTAACCATTTAGATGAAACATCACGACGCCCGAATCTTAAGGCTACCTCTTTGCAGGGAGGTTGAAGCTCGACAGTCTCTATCATGCCATTGGCACAGAATGCAGCTATGAATCGTTGGCTATCCAAGGAGGATCATGTTGGAACGTCACAGTTGGGGAGGTGTTCGAATTGATCTCTTTAGCCAATGAATTGATACAGATGTTGTAGTGTCCGGGGCTTGCGACAAGACAAATCGCGACCACTATCCCGACGATTGCGACTACGGCTTTCTCGTGAGGGTGGATATGCGATCGTTATATATTGCTATGGCTTCATCGAGACATATGACGTTTGTCCTATGAAAAACACATCTCTTCTCCATTGAATATGGACGAGTAGTTCAACAAAGACACAAATTCTGGAGCCCTAATTGTCCGGACTGTCAACAACTATATGTCGAAGTTCCCACGTTGCTGATGGTAATTTCAACGACACACCGCAATGTACTTTCGCGCTCTCGACACACTCACGTATGCGACGCGTCCAGACTTGGAAGCTCGTGCTTTTCGTATACAGCACATCACGGGATCCTACACAATTGATTCTGGCCTTCCTCCTGCTCCTCTTGACTGTCCATAGCGACCTTCATGTGTTTGTAATATTCGGTCACTGAACACATTTGAGGTTTGATGGGTTGATTCGAGCAGTGGCATGCGTTCCAGCATGCCGAGCCACTCAGTGTCGCAAGCCGCATTTCGCAACCTTTGCCAACGGTCGCTCCTCGGTCGTTTTACATGAAACCAAGCAGAACCGCATTGTTCTAGACTTGGCATATGCCCATCCCCTCAGCAGCGTTATGCCAGATGCTGCTCAACGGTCGTGCGGTCGATCGTTGAGCTGATGCAGCCATCCGACGGTCCGACTGTCGACCCGTACCACGCCGTGCTCGTTTGAGCTGTACATGTGATTTGGAGGCTGCAAAACGCGTGCTTTGGTTGTGAGGTGGCTCAGACCTGTATCTTCGCATCCCGAGATTTTCTCCGTTGGCAGAGAGACATTCTTGGTTCGGCTACTTAGGGCAAAAACTCGGGCTGAGATAATACTGCACAGCACGATATATGATGCCATACGCTACGCCACGCCATTGTGGTATCTGCTGTGCTCGAGAGGTGCGGCTCATAAAGGCGCTTCTCGACCATTCTATTGCAACGTGTCAAGAATGTGTCCGGGTGGCGGGCTATTCTTATGTACAACGTGCAATTTCCCCGCTTTCGTCTTCTTAACACCCCTGCCCCTTAATACCACGCTTCTGGCCAGCGTTGGCGGAGAAGGCCTTTTGAGATGCTACTAAAATGAATAATGATATGTAATGTGAGTTCGTCAATTCTAGAAAGCCCCTCGTCCGGGAAGAGGGTTGTTCTCATCCACCGGCGGACACGAAGAGTCGTACACATCAGGGCTGACGATGCTGGGGACGGCCTGGTTGTCGTACGCAAGCCGAAGTAAGCTCGACGTATTGGATCTGGACATTGGCCAGCCGTATACCTCGAGACCCGCCCGCGGGTCACGGCCGAAGGCAGCCCATGCGCCCATGAAGTAGCGCGACGCCAGTTCTTCTTGCAAGCTGTTTCGCCGCCCCGTCACGTCGTATGCGGTGCCGAAGAGCATGTCCATATCCGCACCATGGTATGTGCCGCTATCGGGATAGTCGCGCCACGCAGGGTAGAGCCGTAAGTTTTCCCAGTCGGCCATATAGCGGTAACGCCATGTCGGGACGCCGTGCTGAGCGCGGGCATCGGTGGCGTACTTTGTGGGGCACGTGAACGCGCGTTGGTTGAAGAGCTGCCATTGCGCCGAGGTCAGCGTGATATTGGCGGCGTAGGCGCCAACGCGGTAGAAGCCCGCTTCATAGTTGCAGTTTCCAGCCAGATAGGGGATCTTGGCGAACGCACCCGATTTGGCAAGGGGTAGATAGTCAGAGAAGACGGTGACATTGTCCACAGCTGGATGGAAGGTGGCTTGAGCGAGCGCCGTGGTGGGCAGAGCTGGAGCGAAGCGTGCAGCTGCAAGAACTTCGGTGGTATTCTTGCTGCGAACACACTCCACGACCGCCGCTGAATCCGCAGAGCTGTCGCCGCAGCCGAGCGTGCCGGAAACATTGTAGAACAGTGATTGCGAATAGGAAACGTTGTTGGGGATAAAGCTGAAAGCGGTTCCCGAGTGGGAGATCAAGCCAGCTACGATCGGGTCGTCCGGGTGAGCGTAGGCATAGTAGTCGACCGAAGAGGCCCCAGCAGACTGGCCGAGGATGATAATGCGCTCGCAGTCGCCGCCAAACCCGGCAATGTTGTCTCGCACCCATTCCACAGCAGAGCGCTGATCGCGGAGGCCGACGTTTTGCTCCAGCCCAGGGGCGCCTGAGAAGCCGAAAATGCCAAGGCGATAATTGATCGTGACGACGACCACGTCTTCTGTATCGGCGAGATATTGCCCGTTATAGAACGGGCTGTGAGGACCAGGAATGGTGAAGCGGCCACCATGGAAGAATACGAAGACCGGCTTGTTCGACACGCCGACATCTGAGGGGGTTTTGGTCCAGATGTTCAACGCCAGGCAGTCCTCACTTTGTGGGTTGCCCAGATGCGCGGTGAACTGGTTGTAGACGGCGAAGCCCTTGCCGGTGAAGTTGGGGTACGTGGATTTCGGGGGGATGTTCGCGGGACAGTCGGCATGCTGTCGATGAGATGGTAAGCACATGGACATAAACGCACGGGCGGAACGAGTGTGGAGTGGTACCCAGCTGGAGGCATTGTACACTGTACCTGCAGGCGCCATGTACCGTATGGGAGCGGCAAAGCGAAGGCTCTCAACAGGCGCCTGGCCGTACTTGACGCCCAGAAACTCGAAGGTTTTGGTTCGGTTCTGCGCCCTATGACCGACGATGAGCCCACTCGTGGAGTTGACTTCCAAGTGCTCGTGCGTCGCAACAACAGATCGAAGAGCGCTTAGCAATAGCAGTGCGGAAGCAACAGTTGCGTAGATGGTCATCCTGGTGGTTAAAGAGAGCAGCTCCTGCAAGATATCGCAAAGAATTACAAAGTGATGTATCCGGGAAAGGGGGTATCGTGAAAAGAATGCTCGCGCCCGCTGCCAAGACGTCCGCTTCGACTGTCACGCTTGGCGTCCTGACCAAGCACTCATCGGTTTCCAGCCTTTCGGCCGAGGACACTAATGCTATGATAGCGTTCTTCATCTATTCGTAGATAGGCTAACCATATCAAGCGATGATGCACGTACCCCCGCTTCCGGAGGCTTTGCTAAGGTGTTTCACGAAGCGGGATCAATCCGTCTGGGTTCTTATGCAAGGAACACATAAATCCTGATATACCGCACTTCGACGACAAAATAACATTTCCATCCAATCCTTGCACATCCAATCCTTGCACATCCAATCCTTGCAGGAAAAGTTTCTCCCGCAATAATCTCTGTCGTTCGGCTTTGGGTATGTCGCCAAATGTTGGCTTTGGCACTGGACCCGACACGAGAGGATGGCCCCTCTGGCTATCAAGTGTAGTTATGGTTGTGCTCTCCGGAATCTTCGTCGCCGCCCGCGTCACGCAGCGCGTCTTAAAAAGAAGCTTTGGAGTCGACGATTACATCATTATCATGTCCCTTGTGAGCAATCGGCGGCACATCTGGTGGCAGGAATGCGCTCGCTTACTACCTATCTGCAGGTCTCCTCTGTGGTATTGTCAGTTACGGAAATTGAAGCGGTCCTCAACGGTTACGGAGCCCATTATCGTAGTATACCCAAAGACCGTGCAGTTGTTGCGCGAAAGTGGTACGACTCGCCGTACCGCCTAGTCGATGGTAACGTTGGCTGACCAGTCAACCGCAGGTTCTACGGCGCACAGATTGCATACAAGGTCGTCCTCACGTTGAATAAGCTGTCAATCTGCTCCATGTATTATCGCATCTTCCAGGTCACCTCCTTCGGCTTCCGCCTGGCGTGCCGTGTCGTTCAAGGAGTCATCGTCTCTTCCGGCATTGCTTTCATAACCGGGACAATCTTCCAATGCACGCCAGTCCGTGCCTTCTGGGACAAGACCATCGAGAATCCCTGGTGTCTCAGCCAGACTCCATGGTGGACCACCTATGCGGTCCTACAGATCCTGCTCGACTTCATTCTGCTGTTCCTGCCGATTCGGCAAGTTCTGCAACTTCATATGTCACGGCTTGAAAAACTCGGATTGTACCTGGTCTTCTGCACTGGCCTGTTCGTGACCTTTACGAGCATATTCCGTGCGACCACCTTGGCAGCATCCGCCACGAACCCCGATCCCACATGTGAGCGCCATCGCCGTCCTCTCTAGCAGTATACATTCCGCTGACTCTGACGCAGGGGGCCCGATTCCGGCTACGGTTTGGACCGTCATCGAAGCCAACAGTGGGATCATTGCCGCTTGCCTTCCACTCCTGCGTCAGCCGTTTGTCTGGGTTTTTCACCGATTGATCCACAACACCAGCGCCGCTTCCCAGAGCGGCCACAGTGTTCAAGCTCGTGCAGTCGCGCAAGGGTCCAACGCATTTCGCCACCGACACAGCCGAGGAGATTACCGCTCTACAAATAATACAATAGTGATAGGACTACAGCCGCGTGAGAGCGAAGAGCATATCGTGGGGAAGGATCACAATATTTATGTGATGCGCGGTGTGAGCGTATCAAGCACGATTGGGAAAGACAATTGCATGACAAACATAGAGTAGTACGGATCATCGTCTTTGCACGTTCGTTAACATAGGTCAAAATCCCAAAGCATTATCTTTCCTTGTTGTGGTCGACATTACCCTGCAAGTGGGTTATCACAACCGGAATATCGATAGACTGAGCGAAGAGATTTGCTGGTCAATGACGTGTCGGGCAAATACTGCATCGAGTAGCATGTCCGAAGTCAATCCCCTCTTCCACGTGGACTCTACGAACTCAGAACCACATTATTTGCGAGCCCTACCTACTTACCGTGCAGCACGAACCACATATCTGAATGTCCGGCCCTCCAGATACCGGTAAGGCATGTGCGGAAACAGAAGCTTCCTTACCAGCTCTATTCTTTACTGTATGTTATGGTCCGAGGTCCCATCTCCAACAACCCGGGCGTGGAGGCCGTGCGAAGAAGCTTTTACGAGGCTTTGGTGCGAATGCAGCCTAGTATCCGAGGGCCAGGGAGCGAGTGTAGTGCGCAGTGCCTGTCTCACATACCGACGTCCTGCGCCATAATCTAGGTCGATTGTGCCATCTCCGCTTCTGCAGACCTGTCAACTTGACAGCTGTGAGGATTGTCATCGGCAGATATGGCATTGATAAAGGAGCCCCTCATGGACCAATCATCATGCCCGGCGATTATTATCATCTGCAAATGCCAATGGCGCCACGAAAGATCGTAGGGATACCGAGGACATGCATCTCGGGTTGAGAACCAGCTACCAGGCATTATTGACGAGATGGACGATTATGATGGTGAATTCACTGCCATATAAAATTTGGTGCCGGTGTTGCCTCTGATTGTGAGATACACGTTCATCGTTGCATTTTGCTCGCTGCTCGCTGCGCGATTTTGGTCTTGAAAATCCTCAAAGACACATTCAGAGACTTGTGACGGTGAGAGGGACGGTCGTGGTTGCGACAATCTTCGACACAGGCCGTCCATGTTCTGTGGCTTGGGCGCCCTAGCTCCTTTAAATATTCGAAACCCGACTGGGTACACACCGTGGTCGATCAGTAGTTGCTCAAATTGAGGGTCGTACGTGCCCGTTGTGCCAGTTTGGTCCAGTGAAGCTACTGCCTACCAGGCCAGAGTCCCGCTGTTTCTTGTTCGCCTTGGAGTTCGACTGATTCATGGCGTCCTCAGTGGTCGGCAGACCGACGTACTGTAGCTTATTTCAGCATCTTTTCATTGAAGGGTTGTTTTCGCATACTCACACCTCGCAGCTTGCTCAGATTTGGACCACAGTTGCGGGCGAAACGTTCGACCCACTGTGGATTTGACCTCAGCATTCGTCCTGCCGTCTCCTGGACTCTTGCGGTATGCGGATGTCTCTTCTCCCGTGTTCGACGATCGAGCTCTCTGAATGCCTCGCTCGGTTTGTGCGTGCTGGGACAACCGCAGGTATTTCGAGCTTAGCGGGCCGCATCTACGTCCGAGAAAGCTGAATCATCCCGTCATGCACGAGCTTGCCCGCAACACGTTTCGCATCTCCGAGAACGTGAACACGTCGATCAACGTTCAGCCAACTCATGTGCGCTAACTGCCGTGGTTGTATATTGTCAGGTACTTCCGTCTCATCGCCGATAGCCTCGCTAGCGATTTCGCTGTTAAGGGCTTCGGCGCGCTTCCAGACATCATGCATATCACCACTGCCTACGATCCTATCAGTCTTCTGCACCTTAGTTCAAAACCGGCCCATCTTTGGGCTCCGTGCGCTCGCGTAGCAGCTCATCATACTGCTACGGCACCAAGTCGCCCTTCGCCAAGTCCACAAGCTGATGCGGATCGCCGTACATCTGGGCGAAGGGTATTGTCCCGGTTTTGCAAGAAAGCGTAGCAGCTGTATTTGTGCATCAGGTGTCCGAGAAAACCTTGCGTCCGTAGCTGTCGAATGCCTTTTGGCTTGGCCCAATCCCCTAGTTAGATGGTCTCTTGGAATCTTCAATCTTCTTCTTGCTCACAAGTCTCAAACGGACCAGCAAGCACCTGAGGGTTTAAAAAGGAAGATGTATACGCATACTCAATACCTGACTTTCGACTCCAGGATTGGAATGCGCTCAACCGCCTCATGCTCAACCGACCAATTGCTAGCATTTTCAATATGCTGCTCAAATAGCGCACTGAGCTTCCATGTACCATCATTCACATTGACTTCAATAATATCACTTGGAGAGTACTGCCAGTCCACCGAGAGAAAGGCAGCGATACCTGGTGAGATTCTAGCCAAGGTGTGATGGTAAGTTGGATCCAATATAAGAGTGTCCCTGATATCCGGCCTACGGAACATGTGAGATGGATACGAAAGTAACGGCACGCAATACTGACCACGGTATAAGATCGAAACACATCGAGTGCGGAACCTCTACTTGCGTCTCTGTTGGTCGCATACACAGAGGTACGCGGCGGTAGTTTTCTATGCTTGGTAATATCATCCACTTTAAAATCAGTACTGACGTTCTTCAATCGTTATCCGAGGCTCCCTTACTTTGAGAAAGCGGGTAATCAGGAAGATGAAGCCGAGCCGTTCGGGAAAGCCAAGAGAGTCAAAGGACTTTGTTTCCACAGCGACCCATTGAGCTACTTGGACAGGTGATACTTCCAAGGGGGAGTCACTCAAGACGACGTCCAGATCAATGTCAGCCGAGCCAAGTAACATGTCAGAAGGCCAGCCTTGATCGATGAGGAGCCGCTGACGTTGAGCGAACTCGACAAGGTATTTGCTCCGAGAGAAGGACCCAGTAGCGTGAAGAGGTCGCATCAGGTTCATGAAGTCATATGGCGGCGGCGCTGCATGTTCTTGCGAAACGCTCAGTCTTTCGTCTAGAATCGTGCGGTTTGTGGTCCCTCCTTCACTGTTCAATCCGCTCGAAACTCTTTTGAGACATGCTTGTGGCGTCCTTGGGCTCGACCGAGGTAATCTTTATGATGTTAGATAACTTGCAACCTTCTGAACAGCCCGCACAATTGCGAAAGGATTCCCGATACATACCGTAGCATGAGCGGTTCCGTGTTGAAGACCCACATCGGGCGCCTCTGTGTATGCCGCCCATCCCGGCCTCGCGTATTACCCAGGACGCCAGTCGTGCCCACTTTCGTTCGATACATCCTGCCGCACTGTATCGTGCCGCCGCGTCAGTCGCTATGCTCTGCTAGATCGCCGTGTATGCTTTACATTGCGTCCATATCCTCAACAGATCTGTGCCGTGCGCTGTGCTGTCCCTGAGCAGTGCGGCCAAGCAAGGACAGCAGCAGAGGAGGTCACATGACCTACCCCGGCTCCCTTGATCTTCCATAGCTTGGAGCAGAGTGTTCTCTATTCTGCGTCATGCCTCCTGGTCCTCCGTGGTCGGAATACAGGACCGGCAGAACAGAGAATTTCTCCGTGCTTCGCTCCACCATATATGTTCTTGATACACGTACGCCAAGGATGCGGAACATGGGGCACCGCATCCCGAATAGGAATCATGAGGGGTGCCTGAGGGGTAATGTCCTATGCTTCAAAGTTGAACGTCCATCAATGTTGAATCGCCTGGAATGCACATTAACCCACTGCTCCCTCCCGTTACAACATTTCCCCCTTCTCTCCTAGAAATCTTTTTGCATACTTGTGAGACTAGCATTGTTGATGGCTTGGTGTGCATCTCCTGCTATTCTGCTGCTCACAGCTCTTGGCGTCCATGCCCGCAATAATGGTGTCGGTAAATTACCGGTCATGGGCTACGATACGTACAATGCCTTCAACTGCGACTATGACGGCCGAGTCGCTACCGCGCAGGCCAAGGTCATGAATGAGACTGGTCTTGTCGCCCTTGGATACAACACGTTCATTCTTGATGACTGCTATACTCTGATCAATCGGAGTGCTTCCGGCGAGCTCCAGCAAAACTTGACACGATTTCCCGGTGGCATGAGGAAGTGGACGGAGAGCATCAACCAGTACGGTGTTAGTGGTAGTGCGTACAGTTCGAATGGTTACATGACATGCGCAGGCTATCCTGGAGCTTACGGCCATGAGGAGCAGGACCTTGAGACTTGGAGGAGCTGGGGCTGGAATCACATGGTCAAGTATGACAACTGCTATATTCCGTACGACAATATCGTACGCTCAACTCTGATCATGTTCAATCAGCATGCGGCTATGCTGACCATTACAGACAATGGATAACGAGTACGGTCGCTATAAGCGTATGGCGGAAGCCATCGACAATCTTGCCGCTAGGTATCGTGAGAAGCCGTTCATCTATTCCTTGTGCCAATGGGGTTGGGAGAATCCGTACAACTGGGCGCCACGTATATCCCAGGCGTGGCGCATCGATGGGGATATTAAACCCTTCTGGTCAAGTATCAAGACCGTTATTAATTTGCAGGTGGCCAGCTATTTGTCTACAGGCTTCTACCAGCACGGTGATATGGATATGCTTGAGGTCGGCAACAGCGGTCAAGGATCGCCCGTTGGGGACTTGACGATAGCAGAGCAGAGGTCGCACTTCACAGCCTGGGCCCTTCTAAAGAGTCACTTGCTGATTGGTACCGATCTCCGAAATGCGACGAATGATACGATTGCCATTCTAAGCAATAAAGAACTCATTGACATCAACCAGGACCCCAACGAGGGTGCCCCGCTTGCACCTTTCCGGATCGGCATTCAAGCCGACTACAGTACGATTTCTTACAACGAGACGAAACCTCCGCCGTACTGGGGGGGCAATAGCAGCTATGGCGCTGTTTTCATGATCATCAACTACGAGAACACAGAACAGAAGTTGGGGTTCAACTTGACCGAAAATTGGGCAATCCGTGCTGGCCGCCAGTACCAGGTGCGTGACATGTGGGCGCATAAGAACTGCGGCATTGCAATGCGCAACTGGACTCTGACGGTTGGTCCGCACGATGTCGCGGCTTTACTTTTGACGGATGCTGGACCGGAGCCGTCACAGGAGCTAGCGGACGGCGAGATTGCACCGCCCTGCGCGCACCCATTCTTGGTACACCAATGTACGGCACCGAACGGAAGCTTTATTTACAACGGCTCCAAAGTGGAATATGGCTTCTAAGTATAGCGAAGGTGAAGAGCGCTATTTAGACGAATGATAGCCCTCCAAGGCCGTAAGGCAAGCAGACTGATTGGCTGAGGCTACGATAGTCTCTCTATTCTATGCCAAAAGCCTGTACGCGTACCGCTCTTCGCTTCGCTCCTTGATATCAACAGATGGAAAGATCCACTTCTCTACCCGAGCACGTTTCGCGGAAGGATTGGGCCTTGACACGTCACCACTGAGTTCAGCAGGCTCCCTGGTCTATCTTGCACCCGCTCTGATTCAATTTGTATTCGCTACTCCTGTCCATCTCTTCCCACCACATCTATCCATAGTCCGGTTGCGCCACTGCAAATCAGTGAGCTCGTTCAATTTAGTCATACAGTCCGCTAAGCAATCCCAAGCCGACGGTATGGCTATCTACGACCATTATTCGCAAGCATGACTTGAAAGACTTCAGAAGCGATGCTGCAATTTCATCGAAATACCGTGGCACTGCTGCAGATCAAGGAGACATGATGGCGCTTGGGAAAACGCAGATCCTCCGTGTACGTATCCCAATGATCACCACGGCGATTGCATTCTTGCCACTGATATACCGCAGCGCAACTTCAAGTTTGTGACGATACTCGGGTTCGCAAGCACAGTCATGGCTAGCTGGGGTTCTACTTCCCTTGTTCGGCTTGGTGCTCGTAGATAGGGGGGACCTCATCTTTTCTGAGGCTTTATTGTCGAGGCTTGTAGGATGTTATTAGTATACGCACCGCTGGCGGAGTTGGTATCGATGTGGGACATCATCGAAGAACAGCACATTGAAGATTCAGCTAACCGGCTTCGTAGGCCGCCTACCGCTGGCGGACAGTATCGTAGGCGCATGATCTGCTCTTTGGTTACACCACTGACGGCTTCTAGATTGGGTCTCCGAGTTCCGTCCCCCGAAGATTCAGAAGCTGCTTTCGTATCTCGTCGGATGGTCAGTACGACGGTGTTGTTCCTACTCGAGAAACCGGAGCACCAAGAATTTTTAGGGTTTGCGCCATCGGGTGGCAAGTGTACCTCGCTGGTGTCTGTTTTATGGTTGGCGGCATCATACAAGGCCTGATTGCACTCAACAACCCTTCATACGTACCGGAACGGTGGCACGCAATCCTCCTTACCATCGCCATCATTGCTTCGGTCATAGTCTTCGACACCTTCTTGGCTGTCCGACTTCCGCTCATCGAAGGCATTGTTCTGGTATTTCACCTGTGCGGCATCTTTGCTATCGTTGTTCCATTGTGGGTTATGGCTCCACGTGCGCCTGCGCATAAAGCGCTCTCATCATTCGTCAATTCTGGAGACTGGCCGACTACTGGCCTCTCAGCTATGGTTGGTCTGGTAACTCCACTGAATGTGCTCATCATACGCACATCTCAGAAGCATTCACGAGATATCCAATCGAGTCCGAATATGGAAAAGGACAGGAACGAGAGAAGGTCCTGAAGTGGTACGACGTAACAAATGCTTGACTGGCTGTCATGCTCCTCATACAACTGCGTGGCAATACTTCAGTAGATGAGTTCCAAATTCGTTTCCAAGAAAGCAAAGCTCTTAGGAATATTTAAACGTGCGCAAGACGTCACATTCCAGTGAATCTGCACATTATTTCCAGTAAGGTCACTATTTGGTGAACCTACTGCTTGGCATGCAACAAACATTAAGATTTCAACGCGATTGTTTTGTGTATATTCGAAGCTTTAGGGAGGGTCTTCAAGTCCTATACACCTTACATTGACTCATTCCACACTGTTCGTCTGGCGGACTGGCTGAGCGCACAGTTCGAAACCCAAGCAACAGACATGACAATCAATAAGCTCCTGCTCTTGGCTGCCAGCCGGTAAGAGGGCTTAGAGCAACTGGACCGAACCCACTTTGTAACGCTTGACCTGCTACTAGGCTCAGATTGCCGACCCTGGCACCCGCCGCTTCGAGAGACCACAGCACGACAGCGACGTAGTTGCTGCCGTGATAATTCCAGATACCCTCTGGGACAGGAAAGTTCTGTAGACATCAGCGACTTAGTTCGAACGGTTTGTTGCAAGTTGAACACTTACGTCCTGTGGGCCAATGTTGTGTACATACTTACCAAACTGGTAGCCATTGACATAGATCATGGATCTGTAGCTGGATACAGTACCATCAGCATTCGTAGTGGCGTTAGAGAAGCTAAATGATAGTGGGATATCGTAGCCGGCGGGCAGGTTGAGGTCGAACGTAGTCGAGTAGAATTTCACACCAGCCTTCGTCAGGCCTTCCATTGGTCCAAGTGCGGAACTGGCCCAAGTCGATGTCGGTGCGCCAGGTAAGTGCCAGCCTTGTCGTTCCGCGTACAGCCCTCCTTCGTTCAGTGGGCCCCTGGTACGATCTTCGAAGTCCTCACCGTGCAGATTTCCTGTAAGTTTCCAGGAAAGATCTGTTGCCGCGTGGCCCGCCAAATTGTAGTTAAGCACACCTCGCGGATCCTTCATACCTTCGCTGCCAACCTGGAAGTCTTCATCCAATCCATTATTGTCGATCAAGACTGTAAAGACATAATTCTCTTCGCATGTAAGTGCCGATAGGTTGAAAGTTGAGCCCCAACTGCTGTATTTGTCGCCTCCATAGAAGCTGCCAAGGAATGTCTGGTTGAGCCAAACGCTATGGCCATAGGCTGAACCACCCTGGGTCTGGACATAGAACGTCGTCTCGTTCCCATCAGCAACAAAGTGAGCACGGTAGAGCAGGACACCGGTGTTGTATCCGTAGTCACTTGCATAGAGGCTTTGAGGAGTGGTGAGGTTGCGGACAGTGTTGTTGGTGGAAGTCAGGGTGGCTGAAGTCCATAGGCTGTCGTCGTACCCTGGTCGGACTTCCGGTAAGCTGTCAACGACTTTCCAGCCGATGTTGCTGAGGTTAGGAAGAGCTAGTCTGGGTGTCTTGTATTTGACTGTGGCTGAAACGACACCATAGCGTCCCTGCTTGAAGTTGAGGGCCTCTCCATTGAACGTGATCTCGGTAGTCTGTGGTGGAGCGCCACCAATGACCTCAATATCAGTAGTTGCGTTGATATCTCCAATGAGATGGATGGAACTTTCGGCGACTGTCGCTGTACGGATAAGATAGCCGGCCTTGACGATGGGAGCCGACACCTCATAAGTTGCATTGGTGAAATTGCCGGACACCGAATCGTTCGGCAAGCTGACAACCCAGTAATCATATGCTGTATTGCGGTCAAGAAGATACACCGCCACACCGTTGGCCAGATGCACAACCCTGGTGTCGGGACTCGTCTGGTAGTTCAGCACAGTGACACCATTACGCTGTGCAGTCTTCACTCCCGAACCTTGAGTGACCGTTGCCTTGCCACCGTTAGACACGGCAACTTCATGAGTCTCGCCAGGACCGCCGTACACCACAAGGACTCTGTTGTTGTGATACTGTTTCCAGGTGAAGATCTCAGCAGTCGAGTAAAGTAAGTTGATCCCGCCAAGATCATAGTCGGTGACATGAAATTTAGAATCTCGACCATGGAGCGAGAGGTTACCTCCGAGCTGTGGAATAGTCATAGCACCGTGGCTAGTTGGCAAAGTGATCATATACTCTGTTGTGTCTAGCGTGTTGTATGCGGCGTGACGAATAACGTAAAAGTTGGTGACATTGCCCAGTATCGGCGTGGTCGCGATAAGGCTGTTGTTAGTGTAGCTGCCGTTGGCGTTGTAAGGACTCTGTGGGATTGCCGTGAGGTAAGCTGGAGAAGCCCGGAGAAAGTTGGCTTCCAATTTCGCCTCGGAGTATTTTTCACGTCCCTACAAGTTCACTCGTCAGAATCTAGTGAGCCTCGCATAGCCATTAAATGTATCGACACTCACCACTCCTCTCATCTCGTCAATCACGGCCGCGTAGTCATATGATGTGTAGCCTGTTGGGATCAGTCAGACAACATCCTCGCTTTGCCATCATATCGCAGGATGCCTTTGTTTACCGCCTGGATGTCCCAAATTTCCCCAGTTCGTGCCTGGTGGTTGTCAGTCTTCTTTCCTTGTACATTAGCTGTTTCTCACTATTTGTACCTCCGTAGGTCATATAGATGTTGAACATAGTCACCCCTGAAGCGTTCATTAGCAATGACAATCAAAACAACCGTCTGTACGAGTTCTCACCGGCCGAGAAATCGCTTTTATAGAATACACGCTCGAACTCTGGACCCAACAGCGCCAGACAAGATTGGAAGCCAGGGCCGCCCCATGGATCGAAAGACCCTCCCTGAAACTCGACGATGAAGTTGGGAGTTGTTGGGCTGTCGTTCTGATGGCTCCCGAGAAAGTATGTGGGTAGAGCTTGGTCAGGCCACGTGTAAGGGTTAGCGCAGTCAAATCCAAGCGGATAGCCATCATAGCCATAAATGTCCACGGCTGCCGGCTTGCTGGGAGCAAAATTGCCTTGCGGGGACGCATCATTGTTAATCAATGGTACAATTATACCTGCGTCCCTGTACTGTTGCTCGACGGCACCGAAGTACACTGGGTCTGGGAACTCAGGCACCCTGCTAGACGCGTACGTGTACTCGTTCTCGCTCTGGACCAAGATCACCGGCCCACCGTTCGTGATCTGAGCTTTGGCGATGATTGCCCCAATGCTTGAAACGTAATTTTGAGTGGCGTTCAGGTAAAGTGGGTCTCTGGTCCTTAGCAGAGCAGGGATACGTTGCATCCAGCCAGGGTATCCTCCGCCAGAAACCTCGGCGTTGATCTACCAGGTGTGTTAATAGCTTTATGCTAACCTTTCGACGACTGACTTACGTAAGGACCAGGACGGGCGAGTAGGTAGATACCGGCAGTGGAAGCGGCCTCGAAGAAGGGCTCGAAGGCAAAGATACCGCTTGCGTTGAACTCGCCTTGCTTGCCCTCTAGGAGTGCCCAGTCGACATAGAACGAAACGCCGTTATACCCCAGAGCCTTGATCTTCTGAAATACATCAAGCCAGAGCGAAGGAACCGGCAGACGGAACGGGTGGAATTCGCCAGAGAAGAACAGTACACGTTCACCTCGAACGAACAGCGAGTGCTACAGAAATTCAGCTTCACTGTTCATGCCACCCTCTCACACAAGACTTACAGTATCCCAAGTGACGATATCCTGCAGTAATTCGCGCTTGTATGGCTTGATCATCATGTTCGGCTTACCACCAATAGTCATGGCAGTGGATTGCACCACTGCCATCGACGCCACGGCCGCCTGGAAAAACTTTCCAAACAACATCTTATCTGTTTCTCCCGAGAAGAAGAGAAGGGACAACAACAACGACAACCAGACCAAAAGGGATCCAGATGCGTACTGAGAAGGGAAAAGCTGCGGTATGGAAAACCTTTTGAACCCATCGCCTTAGAACCTTACTTCGATGCAAACGTTCGCCGCCTCTCCCCTCTCACGCCCCATCCCGATCACAAAATGTGGGGGAGCTTCTTCCGCGTGGAGTTTCCTCGAAGTCCTCGTGCATGCCACAATCTGGAATCGGCAGCTTGTGGTGGAGATCAGGTTCTGGCGTGAAGTCTAGTATAGTGATGACGAGGCGGAGAAACATCTCGTAACCGGTCCGAAGAGGGAAGTCCACTCTCTCCGCCAAGCACTGCAGGAACCACAACGGCAACGTCGTATATCTCGGGAGGTGGAGGGAAAAATGGATACGTTGCTCCGCTATCAGCTAGCTGGGCCTGCTGGGCTGTTGGCCCAGTTCTCAATTGGCGTACCGGGGAGATGGTAAGCCTTGACGCTCGTCGTAAAGGCCACCCTCGTTCAGCGGACCGCGTGCACGGTCACGATAGTCTTCGCCGCCTAGACTGCCTGTCACTTTGCAGCTAATGTCTGCCCGAGATACAGCCGTCGTTCGACGACAGCCATGGACTGAGGCGTGCTTGACCTATAGTAATAACAATGCGCGCAACCTCAGTACGCCGCGCTCGCTGTAGTCAAGCGACTACGGCTACCATACCGGTAAATTGCTCTACGCGGCCACTTCACTGCTACTGGCAACGAGACCAGCTTGTCTCTAGAGACTCAAGGAGGTTACGCCTTATGGCAGACGGAATTTCGTCGCTGGAGACAGTTGAAAAAGAGTGAACTCTGAGTGCGCCCTCTGACACCTCCTTTTCGTAATCAGCCAGTGCTGAAGCCTCGTCCAACAACGTGGAGCCAAACCTTTCGACGTTGTTGTTATTATTATTAGCGCTCTGCCACATTGAGCCCAGTACGAACCTGATGGACGAGGTTGTCTAGCACGAGCTTCCGTGTTCCAAATAAATCATCTGGCACAGTACAACGATCAAAGAGGCTCGGAGATGGACTCTACAGGCTTGCGAGCTCAACCGCAGCATTTCTTTCCTCAGCAATTCCATATGAAACCTCCAGTGGGTCAGAGGCCGCAAGACCTGAAACTGCAAACCCAGCTCCAGTATCGTCTGGAACATCTTTACGTTCGAAGTCTGCAGGACTCTAATAATGTAGCTACTCATCTGTAACTGCCTCCTTGGAGAAGCAAATCGGTTCTCGCCCTCGCAAGTTGTGCAGAACACTTCTCTGTGCAGAACGACAATCTAAGAACAACGCAACTGTCTACCTCCCAGATCGCTGGTCAGGAGCGCCACCGTGCTATACCTCAGAGCACATTGCTTTGCTTCGAAAACACCATGCGGCCTTGCCACTTGCGAAGCTTCTTCCCGTACAGTTGCAGGATGATTCGAGAGCTACGTAGAGATTGTGCAACCCATGCAACGCAATGACATCGCCCATTTGCTCTCTTGCATGTCTCACACTTCTAGGAGCACATATTTGACTGCAATATCGACTCCTGGAACAAGTCTCCACGTAGTAGACCTGATACTGTATGGCTCACTCTAAATTCAACCGATCTATGAGGTATATGAAACAACATTTCTCGCCTGCACGTGCATTGGTATATGGCAAGCCATTTTACCAGTACGGAGATGCTAGTCGGCCTACCTGCTGAAGTCCTTACGCAGCAGCTAACAGACCTTGAGACATGACTGCTACCTGTGCCGCCCACGAAATGCGTAGAACTGCACGCTATACATGAAGTTGCTTTACAAATACCCGCGCCTGCTGATACACCCGCCAGCTTAAACTCCGCCCCAATCATACCGCACCAAAATTAAAGATCGTGCGATCGTATTAGTAGTACGAGATTCGGAAGCGTTCTTCGGAGACTATCGATGTCGCTCCGCAATGTCGGGTTGATGCAATGAATCAAGATATTTCTGAAGGGACTCTTTAAGAAGCACTTCTATCTCTGGCTTCCACGGTGGCAATGGTTCCCACGGATCTCGGGCTAGCACAGGGGAATGTTGACTTCACGAGATCAGTCCAATGATGCTCTGCCAAATAGAGAGTGATATCTCTTACCACTTAGCGACCTTTCTTATTACCCTTTTGTGCCCACACTCCAGTCCCGTCCAGTCTGTTCTGCGTTGATAAGAACCTCCGATATCAGCGTCTGTTTTGTTATCACGGGGAAGCTTTGTTGCGCTGTCCGAGTCCGAACCAAATCTATCAATATTCATCTTCTGCTTGGTTCTGCGGCGATGACGCTTGCCATTGCTAAGAGGGCGACCTTGGACGTGCTCAAGCGGCCTTTGAGAGGGTCTATATAGTGATACATCCATCCTAGTTCCCTCGGTTGGTCCTTCATTTCCGTCATCGAAACCTGTGCGACAGGTAGATAAAGGTAAAGGTGCCGTTTCTGCGGTTAGATAGCTAACATTGTCTGAATCGTTGTAGTCGCTCAATATTTGGCGTGTGCCGAATCGTTTCACCGATTCCTCACTTGCAGAGGACATGCTTGCGGTGTAATCTTACAGACCTCTATCAGCCATGAAGACTTCTAGTCAATTGAAGGATGAGCAGAAGCCCCCTTGGTGCACTGTCCACACATCCGCTGGTTTTCGACGAAGCATATCCCTCAGCTCGATGTTTCACTTGTGTACTTCGCGTTAGACATCTCGGTTGTGTCGAGGTTAGAACCCGATCTCAGTGATTTACTCGTAAGGCATCTGCACGAAGGGAGCGCTAGGTCAAAGCGTTGCTGCCCAACGCTACTGGTACCAGTCATCCCCATTTCCCCACATCTTGTTTCTGTTGTAGATAAGACGAAGGCCTTACCACAGAGGACTGTGCATGCGTCACCATTGCTTGTATAAGAACGAGCTAGCGCTGTTCGATGCGTAGACCGAGCGCTTCGGCAGGCTAGACTCGAATGTGCGTATCAGAGAGAAAACTAGGTGCTGATGTTGGCTGTTCTACGCCTCGAATTGCAGGTTTCGCCATTGGCTGCAATGGCAGCCTCAATGTACTGCTGCATGAATATTCCGCCGGCAAGAGATGGCCCGCGCCAAAGCACTGCCATTGAAACCCACCCCCATCAAGCATAATCAGTATGATTAAGTGGTTGCCAGTCTGGCTACTATGCCGTTGGAGATGGGCAATACGATGTCTGTCCGCAATATGTCGTTCCTTTCAGATGACCGAAAGATACACTGTACAAATGCGGTGGTGTGTCGCCCTCGCTGCAGATGCTGACGAGGGAAGCGGAGGAATTACAATGCGGTGCTGCTCGTTCGTGATTGAAGTTTGAGCTTCTCCATAAGCTTGCCTACAGTCACACCTTCCTGGGAGTCCAGGAAGCCGGTGTGAAGAAGGGGTGGTTGGTCCTGACGGAAACGAGGAAGGAGCATAATCTGTGAAAGCGCTGTTTAGCGAAGCCCCGCTCTATGAACGAAGTGGTTCATGTCGTCCGGTGATATCCAGGTAGTCGTCCGGACTCTCGTTCTTCAGCCTCTTCAACGCTGGACTCGAACCATTCGATGGCACGCAGTATTCAGCTTCGTGAAACGGGAAGAACAAAAGAGACATCCGGACGCTACAGAGCAAGGTTCCAAGGCGGTCAGGTAGGGTGGCATGATGTAGGATCTGACACTGATGTTCAGTCTCTTCCGACTGATCGTCCAGAATGGCTTTGACAAGGATGCGGTAGAGCACTAGTGGTCCGGAACACAATGCGCATACCGGATGTCTTCCAGAGCACTGGCAGCTAGTCAGTGGTGATGCTTCTTCTCTGAAAAATTAGGAAAAGGTGGATATGGGAGCAGAGTCAATATCCGGATCATATGTCTCTTCCCGTGACGAAGACTAGAAGAGCCAGAACGCTGCCGGAATCGCCGTCTCCGTAGCCGTCCCGCAAGAGTCTCGCCACAGTAGCGTTCATGAATGCCTCTCGATTGAGGACTGGATAGAGAACATTGAATGTGTTGAAGTAGGCGTCGGAAAGCTCTTGTATTTGCTGAACACCGAGAGTCGGAAATACAACACTTGAAGCTCTGCCTTGCTTTGTATATCCAATGGCCATCGTGAAGCACTGCAACCCAACGTCCGATGGTAGTGGATCAGGATGCTTGCTCATCTCTCGCTTGATGAACCATGGCGTTCCTTCTTGGAGGACGTACTGCAAGTCAGAGGCAGCCGAGATACCAGAATTGAGTAAGATGTATGTATATACCGGGCCACAGCATGATCTTGTGGGTTACCGTGAGGTGCTGATAAGACTTTTGCACATTGGCGCTGGAAGCCGACCCTTCTGTATTCCGCTGTCCAGTCTCGCTTCGTGAGGCCTTGTCGAGCGACACCGACGACGTCCCACCCACCGAAGCACGGGCGCCAGATGAGTTCAAGTCCGGACTGCTTCCTTGTGTAATGGCCATATTGTCGAACTTGTTCTCCAATCGGGTCAAGGTGTCTAGGATGTGCACAATGGTTTTGTCTTTCCTATTGGACTAGTCAGCAGACTTATCATGACCACTGCTCTAGCCGCTTTCAACATCTGGTTCAGCAAGCTGCTGTCGAAAAGCCGGGTAAGACTGATGTGTGCAGGAGCTCATCGTGGTCGGGTTGTCAATGCCGGACCACGATGATAGTCTTGGACAACACTTACTTCGTTGGCAAAGGCTCTTGATACTCGCAATCCACATTGAGGCGCTGACATAGCCCACCTGCGCGAGAGTCAGCGATCATGTCTGCACGCGGCAGGTACGCGACACATACATTTGGGCCATTGCTCGTCGCATTTGCTCTTGCTGTATAACCGTCAGTCAACTCGCTCTGTTCAATTCACGTACTGATCGGAGATCATTCCCCCGCCGCTTACCGGTTGCGGCATTTTTGACAAGCCTGGGCGGCCATGGCAGCTCTTTCACGACGCTGCGATGAGTCCGACGACTCGGGATGCGCGAAAGACGGCATGCGGGATGTCCTCTATGGGCGCTGGCCCAGCAGGCGTTGTTTGTCCAGGCAGTGTGGAGATGAATTAGGGCCGTGTGCACGGAAGCGGTGTCTTGCGGCGTGCCTGCCGCCTCCTTGAAACCAGACTCGGCGACGTCTTGGGCCAGAGACGAGGTGTATGTAGATAGTCGCGTGGGAAGCTTGTAGGGACGTGCAAGGGTGTGTGCAACAACGGGTTTGAAGCGCGATATGAGTAGAGACTCGACCAAGGAGTAAAGACTTTTCAGTCGCACCAGCAATCAACCCGTCATGAAAACGTTTGGAAAGTAGTTAGAAGTCGCGGTTGAAACGGGGAAGGTAGGTTGTGGCGATGACCTGGCCACGATCTCGTATCAACGATCCAGATCGTTCCAGATGCAGATGTGAGATGCAACGAGACTCGAGTGAGGACTCAGCGTGCGACGTCCCTACAAGCGGAGCACTCGCTTGGTCGCAGCGCCTGGGTGCCGACGGATGGTGGCGAAGGTGCCAGCGGATGTCGTCTCCGAGCTAAGTGGGTTCGTTGGTGGTCGCTAAAGGTGTGGTGGTGGTATCTCCAGCTGCCAGCTTATTCTGGCGCAGTCGCCACGTGAATTCGTCCTTCTCTGCCGCCCAGGATGTTATGCGACGCATGATTTTTGAACTGATGAATAGTGAGCCGGGTGGCGGCAGTCATCGAGATTCAGGTCCACGATCATAATGGCTTCGGACCTAAGTCCGAAGACGGTGGGTCTCGCCATACAAAAGACTATCCTATACGGGCTCCTCCATCTTCGGGCATGCTTGCGATGTCGAGCTGAGCTAGTATAGAAAGTCCAGAGGAAAGGTGATGTTCATACAGCCTCATTACATGATACTACTGAGCTCGTATGTGACAGTGCACTTGCTACTGCCTTCGTGCGATGGATGGACGGTCTTTCGCAAACAAATGCATGCCACAAGAGAACATAGTAATCCCCGATCACTTTCGGCTATCCTGAACTAAAAACACACTGTTCTGCATCATTTTTTCGACATAGTACGTGCATATTTCGGGTCTTGTATCAATCGCCCGGCATAGCAATTAAATGCAGGACTGCTGGAGAAGGCGCTATGTCAATCTTACTGCAGAACATCATACTTTGGCAGATCAGTACGGCACCGTAGACAGGATAAACATCTGATCTCTGATCTCCGATCTCTGACTCCTTCAACAACCACACCTTTCTCATCAAAGCCACGATCACACGCGACAGCGCTAGCAGGAGAGAGGTACCCGTGCGCCGACAGCCAACCTACAATGCCTTGGTAGCTTTTACTCATACCAAGCACGAAGCCAGTGTTAAAAAGTGTTATAGCCATCACTGCACAATGACAGATCACGAACAACTAAAGATCCTTTCCAAGATCATACTCGTCTCGGACGCTGTTGTTACTGCGTACTTCAGCTCTTGTCGGACCTGAAAGATCTTCCAGACTGCATTGTATCCGGGATATTCCCGATTAGCGACTCTGGGTAGCGATTGATTGCACGTTCTGTGACATCAAGCACTTGCAATCCCAATATCGTGTTGGATATTAGAAGATTATGTGGCGACGAAGCTGTCCTTGAGGGAATCCGTCACGAGGCTGCACAATTTACCACCGTCTTTGTCCGAAAGATCATCCTCTTGATGGTGGCAAATTCCCGGCCTTCCCTTTGTATGGCCGTATATCGAGGCTGCAGTTTACAGATCTGGGACCGCATTTCGCAGTACTTGGTACCGATACTCACATGCTGGGAGGAGAATGGTCGGCCGAACCTCATGATGCAAGAGCCCCAATCGGAGCTCGCCATCAATCGCAAGTGGTGTAACGACTTCGTCTGATAGACTCTGTAAGATGCAGTCGAGGAGGCATCGACCCTGCGCAGTGAGACTGATACGTGTCTTTTGGTATAAAAGCAACATTACACATTAACGGGAGGACGAACCGCATCAAATACCAATGCCTTCACTGAATCTGCAGTACACGGTACCGAGCTGTATGGTACTATTACTAAGCACAAGCTGACATCGAGAGGCGCAACATCTTCGACCGCCAAAGTCATCATCGAAATATGTGAGATGATGTGATGCTGACTCCCGTTACTCCGATAACAGCAGAAGGTGTCAGTGCTCTTCACAATTTGATACAGAAAGACGCGCGATCCTGTGATGCGGCAGGCCAGCAGCGTCCTCAGAGACGTCTCAAGAAGCGAACCAACGCCACACAACTATCATCTGCGGAGCGGGCTCTCCTGCAGCAGCAGAATCAATTTCTTACCAACGTTTATAGTGAGGCAAAAGTTCGTCAATCTACCAAAACAACGTAGCGACACGAACCAGCAAACCACTCAGCCAATCAAATAATTAAGCATATCGAACAACGCTCGACTGTTTGCGTCCTGGCCACCCTATCCGAACGGCGCAAACCTGCAGTATTATCTAAAGTCACAAGACATCTTGCTGCTGGCCGTCGTTCATCGAAAGTCATTCATACTGGGGCGCCAATGAGTTCCACCATCTCCAGAGCCTGAAGCCGTGAGCGTGCCTACGTTCAGCACTCGCAATCCTCTTGAATCAAGTAGACTGCCGTGTCGTGACTCTCCACTTGCGCGTCGAGGCCACCTTCAACGCAACCTGCGCTCTCACCAGTCCAAGTGTCCATCATCTTGTATTGACCGTCAGCGTCAAGTCCAGGGATCTCGCTGAAGTCGGCACGCATCGTGCGGGTGGACTCAAGTGTATTCAGCATGGCGACTATCGTTCCGTTGGAAGAGGCCCCCGACCAGAACTCGGCCGGGTTCGTGCGGTTGTATGTCTGATCGGCGTTCACACCCCATTTGTAGGGTTCTGCTGGAGCACCGTAGATTGGATCCTGATTGAAAGCGAGCAAGTACATGTTAAGCAGAATGTCGAGGTTCTCCTGGCTGAGTTTATCCAAGTCGGTACCAATAATGAGCGGTGCCTTCATAAGAGCCCACATGGCGAAATGACTGCGCGTTTCAGTGAGGGTGAGATTGCCGTTGCCGACTTCAAGCATGTCAGGATCATTGTGGCCGGTGAAGTCCGTGTAGTTTGATATGAAGGTCTGCTCGTTGAGGATCGACATTACGCTGTCCCAATCGGCTAGGAACAGTCAGCGCAACAAGCCCAACACAACGCTTCGAGTAACTCACGGGTAATGTCGCCGGTAGTTCTCCACGAGTTGCCGGTCTCGTTGCCCCACGTCCTAAACAAGGTCAGCAGCGTTTCAGGCTCTTCCAAACAAGCGTTGAGCTGTGGTCTAGAGGCTTAGCACTCAGGACAACATGTTTTGCACTTCTCTCAGAAGAGTGAGCTCGGTGAGACAACTGACCAGACATTCGCCTGACCCCACTCACACAAGGAGTACAGGATGGTACGGTTCTGAGCAACAAGAGCGTCCCTCATGATACGGTAACGTTCTGCTGTATTCGAGGTGCTGTAATCATAGTTGTCGCCGGAAGCACTTGCGTCGGACCAATTGCCCGGCACATAGCAGTTGTCGTACTTGAGGTAATCAATCCCCCAGCCGGCAAATGTGGCAGCATCAATGGATTCATAACCAATGGATGCAGGATAGCCCGCGCAGGTCTTTGTACCAGCACTGGAGTAGATGCCGGTTTTAAGACCGAGGTTGTGGATCTCCGATGCGACTCCAATGATACCGTTAGGAAACTTGTTTGGGTCTGGGATGATCTGTTGCGTTGTTTCGTCGCGGCGGTCCTTGATACTCCAGCAATCGTCGATGTTCACATATTCGTAGCCTGCGTCCTTGAGGCCCAGTGAAACGATGAGATTAGCGGCACTGAGGAGTTTCGTTTCGTTGACATCACAGACTAAAATTTCTCAGCGCCGCGCAACTGAAAGCTTCAGCGGATTTGTCACGTACAGTATGCGTTCCAGCTGTTCCAACCCAGCGCAGGAAGCGTTCCCACACTATCAGGGCGGGCAAGACCCAGTGCACTTGGGAGAGCAGCAAGCAAAAGAAGAGTGGCAGACATGTCGTATGGAAAGCAAGCGGACGTCGCGCTTGCCTGCTTCTTGTGGATGGTGAGTGGAGGGGCTTTAGAGATAGCCAAAGCTTGGGCCTAGCGAGGAAAGGATGCAGTCTTAAGGGGCCCTAGCGTGGTCTAGTTGTGACATATGGCGGGGGGCCGAATGCTCCATGAGCATTTCACGAGAGTGATGATGCACATAGAACTGAGACGCTTCTTCAGGCACGGAGGTAACATCGCCGGGTATGGTGAGATGCCACAGATCTGCTACGGACTGGAGGGAAGTACGGATGGAACCCCCGTCAGACGCGCGGAGTCAATGTCAACTTGAGCACTGACAGATTCGCGCTCTTACTGGTAGATCTTCCTTCGGCAACTAGCAGGGGTTGCATCCGCAATCTCCTCCACTTGTAGTGGTTGGGGTGCGCCCGGCGAATGGCTTGGCGTCCCTCCACTCGGGCCCAGCAACGAGCCTCTACGTGTCGGCGTAACGCTACTGGCAGTAGCAGATCTCCCATATGCGGCATTGAAAGTGCCTTGTGGCTCGGCGGTTGGCATATACCGCACGCGCTGCGCCTCCAAGGACGTTCTGAGATGCGGCAGCCCGCCAATGAGTTCCGGTGCATATCTTCAGCATCCTGATATTTGCCACTCCTCGTTAACACGTCGCCTAGTTCGCTCATAGCTGACCGCGTTTTGCGGCTGTTCTGCCCCGACGCTTCTGTCGACAACTTCACTACTTCCTGAAGCGAGTGTTCCGCCTCGTCGTACGGCGGCAACTAGTCACAAACCTAGCCAGGCCGCTCGTGTTTGTCATCTTCTCCGTATTGGTCTCCTGTCCGTAGCGGAAAGCGTGTCCTGCCGTACCTCCCTAGCCAGTAGTTAGAATAAAGAGCACGATCGACTCAAGGGATAGTAGGCATCGTGACTACAGAAGCGGCTCTTTTTCTTCTATATCTAGTGAGCGAGACGGAACGACGGTGGCTGGTGGCCGCATGTGGTCATAATACATTAGAAACAGTCTTTCCGTTGTTCTATAGCAGAGTCTGTCCGGTCACGTGAATACGCCGTCCCAATGCTCCAATTCACAGTACTCCTTGAATGTTCGTGGCGCCCTAGCAAGGGTGCCTCGATTGCTGTGGAGGTAGGTGTCCTCCCATATACCGTCATGAAAACGGAACATTCCGAGCATGTCGTCAATGACGTGCTGAGGCATGCCTTCCTCCTTCATCCCCGCTGCCATCTGCTCGTCAGTGAGTTGGAGATATCGAATTCTTTTTCCAGTGGCTTCGGTCAAGATTTCCATTTGATCCTCAATGCTTACCCATTCGCCATAGGCACCAATAACGCGGCCATCACCACTGTTAAACTCTTCGGACTCAATGGCCTGTCGCACAAAGAGTCCAGCGTCGTGAAAGGTGTCAATCAATGGCATTCGGGCTGTTGGATTCCACGTGCTCGCGATCATGTAGGATCCGTCACCTGCGGGACGAGGTTTCGAAAATGTCGTGAAGTTGTTCATGTAACCGCCAACGTGGACATCAACCACGCGAATGCCTGCTGAGCGTGCATATTCGCTCACCTCAGCCTTTGAGTCAAAGTGTGACACCTTAGTGACTGTGCCTTTTGAAGCCTTGGTCACAGAGGGCTCAGAGGACCAGATGAAAAGTTCGACGCCAACGGTTTTGGCGGCATCAACCATTAGCTTTCCCTCGGCAATTTCGCGAGCTTTGTCCACGTGCTCCCAGTAATTGGTGACTGCCTTTGCTGACGATTAGGACTCTAGCGCTCACAGGAAGCAGGCAAGGGACGAATCGCTTACGAAAATGTACGTAGCACCCTGGAAGACTTTCTGTACTCGCTCCTCCTCGCCGACGCGAATGTCGCAAGACACCATCTCCACTCTCCTCTCGGCTAGCTTTTTGGCGCTAGTCTTGGAAATATCTCTTGTGAGGCCCCTCATACGGTATTGCTTGTCAGAGGCATCGAGGTTGTTGATGACACTACCGCCTTGTGTACCAGTTGCACCAACGACTACGATCAAGGGTGCGCTCAGGTCGTGTGATATCGTCATTGTCTTCAGGTATTGTCTGGTGAATAGTGGAGATACTGCCTGGATCTCTACTTGTATATATATTCATTGCGATGCCGTTCGAAACTATATCGGATCTCGGAATCGTATATATCCGGGACTGCCTCGTTTATGATTACCAAGAATGTAACGAAATTAGGCCTGTTCGGCCTTTCAAGCCTTCGAAATAAGCCCTAACAATAGTAAGCACTTGGGCCCGAGCCCCCGAGGCCCCATTTCTCGCAAAGCACATTGGTAATCCGACTAATTACTAAAGCTAGCTACAGTGAGGTCACAACTATTACCTACTTCATTTGAGATGAATGTGTAAAGAGCTAGTATAGCTGTGAACTGATTGTCTAGAGCTTGCAGACGTATAAGACCGCATACAAATCAATTCGGAGCGGGACTCACTAGCTTTGAGAAAGTATTAGGAGGCTCTAGAGCGACAATAGAACGGAAAGAAAGATATCGAAGTCAAGCTGACCCTTGACAGCGGTAGAGTATCAACCTACTACTGATCTACCCACGAGAGACAATCACTTGGTTGAGATTGTAACGACTATGAGTTGGGCCACAAGAGACTTCTAAGAAACGTACAGAGGACAATTGCAGTATGTGCTCTGTCAGAGGCAGAGGATGTTCGTAAGGTCCGCGATACCCTTTCGAGCAGTATTCGTGCCCTCACAATAGTCTCGAAATGCAAGAGGGCCAGGAGGCCGAGACCGCAAACGAGTTCTGGTCGATGCAGATTTGATCTACCCAGAGTCGTATCTTATGCGTTTTTGACGACAACGCGAATAGAGCTGTATAAAGGGAAGCTGTGACTGAAATCGGCATCCCGTCCACTACTATGCTACAGGTCTCTAAGTGATCGCCCCATACGTATGAAAGTGCTTGATAATTGGGACTGTGGTCTAATCTTGCACTAATCAAACGGCCTGAGATGTGGCTTCTCGATGGACAGCGCCGGCTTAACTCAAGAAGGCGAATGCTATTGGACCGCGACAACGACGTGTAATGATATGGCATATTTGTTGTGTTGACTTCTGTCTCATGATCGTAGGAGTGACTGGATGAGTCACTTAGCTATATAAGATGTTCTCCTTCTTGGAACACTGCCTTCATCTCTGTGACGCGTTTCCAAGACCGGAAACGTGCTCACTTCACTAGCTCAGGATGGCCACATAAGGAATCCCAATCATGATTGGCTCGAAGAATATGCCTAATCGCCACAAGCTCCATGTAACGACAATAGGGACCGGTTGATAAGATAAGGGTTGACCACGTACTACGCCCCCATCTGTTAGTAGCTTGGACCGGTGAATAATTCAGTGCTCTCCGCTGCCACCCCGCGTGCATAATGTGTCACACAAGTGGTGCGTCGACAGAGCCACCACGGCCCGACCCTATCCATCCTCCTATGCCGAGATTATGTACGCGGAGTGACACAACTTCGATCGTGTTCTTTTCTTTCTGCCATATGTATCATAAAGCAGTGCATGGTTAGGGAACTCTATTCTTATGCAAATGTGTAGTTGGTCGATATATAACGTCTGTTGGTGAATCACCGATACAGCCGGTTGCAATTTTCCTGTGATCAGGTAGAAATTTTGGGCTGTTGGTGGAGGTCATGTACCTGCAAGCCTCGCGGATGGATTCTTTCTGCATGCAAACCTGTACTGATGTGATGGCTGAGAGCTTACGGCACCATGTCTCGTAATTGGAGAATATTCTCACCGGTCCGCGGCACGCATGCACGTCCCAAGAGAATCACACCCTCTTGCGCAGTATCTTGCATCAAGTGAAGCATAAGACTGCTGGAGTCTGACGCGGCTATTGTATTATTACAACCATACCGATAAACCTTGATAGTACGACAGACGTCTAATCCTGCTATCAATCAGACCCCACATTGACCGCATGCACATCACTTTATTTCATGACACATAAGAAGCGCATCATGTGAATGTCTTTGAGAGCACTGGCAGTAGGTGCGTGTACCAGGAATAATGCAGCGAGGCGCAGCTCTCCCGAGGCGGTGATCGAGACGACTGCTCGATATGGTCGTGCGAGAAATGATAGAATTTGCCATATTGACAAACTCCCCGTGAAGCAGTATTGCGACAAAGTGGGTGGGAAGCAGAAATGTGTGCTTGCGACATAGTGGAAGTTTGTGCAGTGTTTTGTGGGGAGGATCGTTAATGTGCGGCCGGGCGGTCTCACCCGCGGTCACCCTTGTGTTTTGATGCCCGCTCTCCCATTCGTTTGATCAAGTTCTACAGCCGCTCTAGTTATTCCAACGATTACACATAAGATCTGACGGAAAACACACTTGCGTATCCTAAGCTGCCACGAATTTATCCTAGAAGTCGACATTCTCAATAGTCACAGCTCCCGCAGTACCCACACTCCGAGTCGCAGGCAGTGAAGTCCCTAGCTTCATCGTCTCTCTCATGTTCATAGTCGAAGCTTGACCTGTCTCGAGCCGAGTACCCAAGACCACGTCGTCTACTCCCGATGGCCAAAACGCTCATGATCTCGGACAGATCTACTTCACGCTCTCCCACGCCGCGATCCAGGCCCGACTCTGCCCTTGTGACCGCGACAGCCGGTGATGCCACAGAGTCTGGGCGAATTGTTAGCAGGACGCGTGACTGCTTCTCTACCGCGCTAGGCCTCCAATGTTGCCAGCTTCTTGGACCCTCAGCCATGTGCATCCCTTGTCCGTTGAAGCTTCTGCCCTGTGAGAGTCTGACCCTCGCGGAAGTCTCATCCTCGATCCTCCTCCACCATGCGTCACACAGCTTCGCTCGATAGAGCTCACGTAGGGCTGGCATGTGAAGCACGTCCTGGACGCAGTACGTCTTGATCTCTGCAGACAATGGACGCTCATCGAATACAGCGTAGCCACCACCGAGCTTGGGATCGAACAACCTCTTCCCCCTCTCTTTGCCATCCTTCCACTCACACTTGTCTTTGAAAGATAGGGTACTGTCCCGTTCGATACACTTGGCTAGACCATTGATATGTCGCTTCGAGAAACTGCGGGATGCAAGCTCCATCAGCTGCACGTCCTCGATCCCTTGAACGCGTACATTAAAAAGACCGAACAAGGCATCTGAGTCGTTCCGTATGTCGAAGAAGACCTTGACTATTTCGGGGGATTCGAGTATCTGCCGCAGCGTCCGCTTGTTAGAGCCCGCGGTATCGAATGCATCTTTGCCCAGCCCAGTCACGTCAACGAGGTGGACGGTGTGCTTCGGTTCGACGAGGATCGTGATCAGGGAGAGGGTACCGTTCCTGGAAAGATTATTGCCCTCCAGGTCAATGTAGAGGCTGGGCTCAGCACTTTTGCAGTCCGGCAGGTCGTCGATAAAGGTTTTGAGTGACAACGACGAATCGATCATCTGTGCCTCCATTCTTGCGTGAGGTTTAACAGAAACTGCTCTTGTGCGGTTTCCCATACTCCAATATATGGACGATATGGAGCTCTGACCACCACACCATAAGCGCTTATCGTTCGAGCGATGTGACACTGTCATGGTTCATCCATACTGCAATATATGATCACCATACGACATACAGCCGATCGTGTCACCCTTACTGCGTATCCTCGATCTCATCTGACTGGCAGCACCACGGTCGCTGTAGGCCGGAACCAATGGTTACACCTGAACGACGCTTTGTCCAAAGCTTTACAGCATCCCTCCATGCCGAATCATGCACATCGAGCTGCTCGACTTGCATGTCTTGCCAGCAGAGCCTGGTAGTTGTGGTGTGTTGACGGTGTTGGTCGAAGCTTGGCGCAGAGCGTCAGTCTGAGGCCTACCATGCAGCTTCTGGAGCCAATCACGTCACGGCCTCAACAACAGAGCTTTCAGCCTCCCACCTATAGTTGTTATCGCATCCGAAGCGTCCGCAGGTCTCGCTTTAAACGACATGATGTACTCCCTTGTCCGTGGTTTCTTTAAAGAACGAAAGTTGCCAGCACATTTATTATTGTCGACCAGACTCTCCAGTGCCCTACGTGATTGACAACAGCGACATACTCCACAAGCGATCTCATCCAGCCACACGTAAGTATGGCAGGCGGTGATGCATAGTGGTCTCACAGGTGCTTCTGCAGTGGATTAACGCAGCAATTACTGGACCCATTCTACCCACAGCCAACACGTGTGTGAGGATGCTATCGGAAGATCCTCGAGGTGGTGTGTCTGGACGCTTTCCGAGTGGACGGCTTCCATATGATCAGGTTGCAGTGCAGCACTCAGAGGACTCAATGAGGCATGACTGGGCAATCCCCTCACCGGTCCAGAATATATCGCACGTCCCTGGATTTCTGACAAGAGGTGTAGCTACCGACCAACCACACACGCTCGCGCTAATTCATCGCAAGGCAACTTAGTGTGAACTCTAAATATACACATTGCATTATGTTGTCTTGTCTGCAAGACTTTACCACAAAGGCGATATTCGGCATCAGCGTGCCTGAGAGCCACATCCCAGACTAGTACAATCCGCTACAAGACTAACATTGGCTCAGCGGAAGTCTAGCCTATATCATTGGAATGCCGGAACACCCATATCATGTGACAGACCTGTCAACGCTGCAGAACGGCAGGCCATGCACAGTGTTCATATTGCTGTGCGTGCTGTGATACAACACATGGCGGCCTGGCTCAGTGGTTGCAGGCGGAGCGGAGCTCATGTGTGTTGAGCCAGGACTACACAGGATTTGCTGATCACAGAGACTGATATGCCTACAACATGCGCGGTCAACCCTTTTACTGGTATGCAGAACTCCACATGCATGAAATCTGACCCGTTTGTCAGCTATCACTGGTCGCGGCGTTCTACCAATGAAACCAGATCTGTCCCAGCCCTCGACTTGCCCTACAGCCTGTTCCTCCTGCACCTATTGCAAGCCTGCAATTGGCACTGGCGACACTCGAAGATGTATTCACGAAGGAAGTCATGGCACTCCTCACATCGATGACCGCCTCTGACCCAGCGCCACTTATCGTGGTCACATTCGTGGTTCGTGCGAAGATGCTCGACAGCCTGTGCAATTCGCTCATCTCGGAATTTCATTGCGAGTCTCGTAGCTTCTGGATCAGTAGTTTGAACGGCCGGCAGTGACGACGGAACCGAAGGCGTGCGGGGAGCGGGCACAGGTAGGTCGTGATCTGACCAGTCCTCCTCCCATTCTGAATGATCTGTGAAATCCGATTCCCACTCTGAAGTCGCTCGACTAACCGCTTCATGTGCACGCCCTCGAAGTGTGGCTGGCCCTGCAGCAGTACTCTCGCTTGAAGCCGTCGAAAGGCAACGGAGGTTAGGCTGGTCGTGAGGAACACGTTCGGGCTGAAATAGACGTCGTCTCGGATTTGCGTTGTCACGATCGACGATCTGAGCCGCTCTATCGTACAAGCGCCGCTCTTCCCACTGGTCGCAGCGACAGGTCTTCCACCTCTCACCGCAGACGTAGCAGAAATGAGCACCACATCGGCAACTGCACCAAAAATTAGTACTTCAATCTTGGCTTTGACTCACAGGCAAATGTACCTCATATGGTTGCAGCCTGTATCAAGCTCCACGAACCGCTTACACTGGTAGCAGCGCTGCCACTGGTGCATGTTCGCTGTGTCGACAAGCTGTTGCAATGCAGAGTCGTCCGGACAGTCTCCGGTGTGTGAGAAGCCTTTACAAATTATGCAAGTCGTCTTCTTACATGCAGTGCAGGTGCCGACATCAGTATCATGGTCAACGTAAGCCTGGTCTATCCACTGGTTGCAACGAGGATCGTGGCAGTATGTTCTGTTCTTCGTGCTGAGTTCCGCATACTTGCTCTCAAAGCGCATGGCAAGGTCACTTGGTAACCAGAGGCGGACTTGCGCTAGAGGAATCTCCTTGCCGTCGCAACGTGGCGGAAAGAGTGATTCGTCTGTGATGGAAAGCTCGAAGAGTTGGCCAATGCAGGGTCTGCAGTACTCATGATCGCATGGCACACGCGCTACGTCGAAGAAGTCCATATCCTCTCCACAAGCAATGCAATGTCCTTTCTTCGGCTGCCGTTTCTTCTCCCGTGTCGCTGCCCATTGCGAAGATTCTACAATCGTGCCATCAGAATCGGAGTCGAAGGTCAGCGGAGGTGGCGTGGTACCAGACGGCGTAACGGGCTCCCGCATGTATATCGGAGCGAGCTTCGGAAGATACTCGTCGTTGACCCACTCATGGTGCTCCTCCTGATACCTTGGCTTGCTGATGGGATTGACCAGTGTCTCGTCTCCTTGGATGCTGCGAGCGAATTGACGATCCCGGAGTACCTGATCCTCCAGCTCATGCTCTCGCTGGATCAAGTGGCCGTCGAGCAAGACTGCAGTGGTCAAGCTCTGAGCCATCTTTCGATCACTCAGCATCGAGCCGATGTTTGTCAGCTCTTCTACATACATCTGAAAAGCTAGCTCTCCGTCGTTGACAGTATCTTCACGCTGCTTGCCCTTGGTCTTGGTTGCAAGCTCTTGGCTGTCCTGGAGCTGAATCTGGATGATGGTGCTGAGGGTGATAGGATCCATATCCGTGAAAGCACCTTCCCACAATGCCATGGTGGACCGATGGCGCTTGTGAGTGTGTCCTTCGAGCTGTTGGTGTGCAGTCGACACAGTAGCAGAAGAAGGGATTATAAGTAGATCTTGATGTCATAGCCAGGAACGAGGCAGGAATTTCTCTGCTTCGCTAGATCATTCAGATTTGTGAGGAGCTCTATGAGTATACTGAATCGCCAAAGTAGAATCCAGCGGTAACATGAGCAAATGAAGGAGTATCCACCGTGCCCCCACGGGCGGTGAACTGTGTCTCTCACTGGCCATGGAGGATCATAAACTTGATAGGCGCGAGCTGCACGATCATGCAGGGCTGGGAGCTGGGAAAGGGCAATCTCTGGTGGCGAGACAGCATTGCACAGGGACCATTCGAATGCTCCGTCCTCTTAAAGTCTTTGTTGTCTTCAATGTGAACCCAGAATGTCCCAGTCTATTTTAAATTTGTGTGACACCAGGAGAGAGCTGTAAAACCCTTCTCCTGTCACAGACTTCTGTTGAAACTCACCACCACACCACAGACTACAACTATATATTCTGGAAGATCACAGCACATGCAAGCTTTAGCTCCCGCGCTAAATTCACGTAGGCTCATTTAGCGTGGTTCCAAAATGGACGTTCGTATTTATCAACAGCGCGGCAAGCCTCCTCGTGGTGAGTTTCAGGCGATGAGAATATGCACCTGAGTAACAGGGCGAAGGTCATGCGATGCTGCCAAAGATGATATCCAAGTATGTACCGTTGAAGGCTACTGTCCGGTCTGTATAACGAAGTTTTAAGGCTACAACACAAAACCCTCGCTGCAGTGTCCATTCTTACACCCCTTCGCACAGCTCTCGGTAATGCGGTCTATCTTTATTCCGGACAAATGCCACTCCATTTTCTCAGCCTATACGCGACTCTTTCCGCATAAGAATGATCCAGCTTTGGTCGACTGATGAAGCGGCAGACCTGGCATCGTTGGTGGTATATCCTGGCGTTGTACTCGTCTCGAGCATAAAGGCGGATCGTAATGGCAATCTTCCTGCTTGACCAGCCATTCGAGGTGCATGCGCTGTTCCTGCACCGGAATTGGCCCATAACGTTCGTGTCGTATTCCTCAATGCAAGTTGCAGAACAATCGCTTTCGTGGAACTTGAAAGACAATCCATCGCCTTCGAGCTGGGCTTGTACCTCCGAATGAAGAGCAGGATACATCGACCAAGCTTTGAGGCTTCTCAGTGTTGGCATCGTGTTCGAAAGGTGGTCCAGATCACCTTGGACAATACATGTGCTTGGTAAAGATGGAAGAAAAGAGTGAAGCGCAGCTGTCACGCACTACCTACCTCCAGACCTTTAAATCTGTATCCTGGCATGACCAACCTTATTTGGCAACATGTCATCGAGTGAGCTATCAGCCGTACTCATACCCTTTGGTGATCAGACCAAACGAATCGCTAGCATGGGTCGCATTTGAGGTAGCGACGCGTGGTTTCCGTTGACGTTTAGTCGGAAAGCTGCCTCTGTCCACGACGGCGGCTTCGACTGAATCTCGGCAAACTTTACTTGGTGCGGAAATCTAATCGACTCATACGAAGTGGGTCTCCTTCAGTCTCTTCTCAAGGGGCTGTGGAGCGTCACACTTGCAAGGTCTGACTGCAGCATGTCTACTGTGGCTTCGAATCAGGGTCACAAGTCGCAATGGGCTGGTTGAGCATCATAGATTAGTGAAATGATAGGAAACGTCAGAAACTCCATTAGTTGTCGAAATAGGCACTGCCTGACTACGCTTGCATGAATGGTGCCCTTGCTAATGCGCGAGCTTGCGTAGCCCATATATCCTGCGCTAGTGATATAAAAACATGTCCGAACGCATTGAGTAAGTAGTGCACTTCCTCCTCTTTGGGCGTGCTCAGAGCAGTGTAGGCAGCTTCTGTACCAAAAGTTGCTACATTCCACAGTGTTTTCCAGGTTTCAACAGCTTGTCTTGCGTCTGTGAGATCAGGTCGCACGTCCGATGCGATTAGATAGAATGACGACCGCTTAGCGTGGAAGCTGACTGGCTTAAATAGCTTTAATGTAGCAAACTTGCTGAATTGGTAGATCAGATTCAATGTAGGCCACGCTTCGGCCTTGTGAAGCAGTATGACCATCGTGCCGCCAGGTTCAATATGCTGTAGACCCAATGCAAGCTGGCTCGACGTCAGCCTTGCAGCCTCCCGACGTTCTCGATACTTCGCGCGTTGATGCGTTCTCAGCACTTGGCCATCGCAGAAGATTAGATCAGAAGAAATAGGAGGCAGAACCTTCTGCAATTCGAATTTGCCTTTGTCTGGATGATCCTCAGGGATGTGATCCACGCCCATATCGACTGCGAGCATCGTGATGTCCAGGTATCGGATCTGGACTCCGAGTGACTCTGGCAACAGAACCTTATGTCCGCCCTCAGAAGTGGGAAGACTGAAAGCCAACGCCGAAGCCCCAGGATGCCGTTCTAATGCTACTGCAAGATAGCCTCCTGGCGCCATACACATATCGAGGATTCTCCGTGGGTTTCTGAATGACCAGTGCAATCCGAAGACACCTGTGTCACGATCCATTTCTCTTGCGATCTTCTTCATCATCTTGTAGAAAACCTCAGCCGTGCGTCCACTCGCATTGTCTGCAACCTGTCTTTGTTCCGCAAAGAAGCGGTCCCCAACTGGACTCTCCCAGCCCTGTCAACATGGTCAGCTATCTTACACAAGCCTTCTTATCTAGATTGTTGTTTGCCAACCCGAGTTCGAAGATCTTGTAGTTCCCGGAATATTGGACTTGCCGCCAACAAGAACGCTTGTATAGCCTTGTTCGGTGAGTATACCGCACATGCCTGCATCTCCGTTGCGGAACTCATAATGCTCGACTTTGTTGACTTGTCCGTATCGTGTGACATGATGGTAGTTTTGTCTATAATAAGAAGTGATCACAGAGAAGAACAACACTAACGCCGTCGAACTTCTTATGGAGTATTCAGAGAGCCTGGGGTATCTTCCTATAAAAGCAAAGTTGACACCTCACTTGAGCACATTTCGGACAAGCTGCAACGACCCGTGAGCGTGGAATGCGTCCAGCTATCAGACCTGTCGCTTGGCCATGCAGGGTCGATACTTCGCAGCTGTCTGCCACGTGGCAGCTCAGCACCACGAAGACTGCAGTCCAGGGGAAATTATGATCGCGATCGAACAATCTTCCAGCTCTCGATACTTTCCTGCAAATCCCTGTGTAGTGCTGGGCACTGGGACATTCAGCACGTCAATGTTCGCGCATCAATAGCTGAACCCTTTCGCAACAGATAGTACGTGCATGAAGTGGCACATCATCCCATGGTGCAGGCTTTACTTGAACCGTCCCGTGTGATAAGCTGTCTCGTAGGGCGACATCTCATCCTATACCAGTGTTCATTGTCTGCAACAGATCCGGTGTGCTGTGCACATCTAGTTGGACCCGTGTCTGTGGTGCAGGTCGTTGCATCACATGTTCTCCGACTCGTTATTGTTCCAACAACAGCCAGTCGGCATTTCGGCACTCAACTACCCGAATCTGTAGTGGTATGCAAGCTTCTCGGCTGCTATGTTCGATGAGCACCGACATGCATGGATAGATTGTGCACCCAGGCGTATTGGACCCATTCTACCCACTGCCCACACATGTATGAGGATGCTATCGGTAGTTCCTCGAAGTGGTGTGTCTGGACACTTTCCGAGTGGACGGCTCCCATACATGTGATCCATGTTTCACGATGTGATGGTGTGTTGCATCCACTTTGCATTCCGATTGCACAAGAGCTCTATCAAAGGGAGGAGAGTACGGCAGTGCGCTGCAGACGGCATGCGCCGAAGGCCACGAGAAGGTAGTGCAGATACTGATCGATGCTGGAGCAGAGATCAATGAGCAGGGAGAAGGGTATAGCAACGAGGATGTGTATGCAGACCGCTCAACATTTCCCTAGCTGGAGCTCGACCAAGACATATCGCTCTGACTTCGCGTTATGGAGCCAGGTCTATTCCTCGCTCAGTTTCATTCTATCCCTAACTGGGTCATAGAGATACTTGGAGATCGTTACTGCTGCAAGGGCGTCGGGACTACGCAAGCTTTAGTACTAAAGTTCCGCGCGGAATGGTGACTAGACTTGGTTGATATCGAATAGGAGCGGTCTCTGTGAAACTTGAAGTGCCATAGGTGTGCACAGGCGGGTGAAAAGAACAGCTTCTCATGCAAAACATAGACTTCGACACCGAGCCTTCCCGATGTTAAACCTTGGGCCTTGGGGTGGTCGTGTGACATGAGGCATGCTTCCGTTGTCCGACCAGATTCGACTTTGACGGTCTACAAAATGATGAGCGAACCACCAAGTTAAGATTATCTTTCGCTCTGATCACTTGAACCCAATAGGCACTGTTCTGGAGGCAAAATTCTGCGACATGCCTCAATGTCCTGCTTGTCAGCGGCATTTCGGCAGCCTGATGTCGATGAATCAGCATCTGAAGTCCTCGAGTCGTCATGCAGATTGTCGACAATGCAGAAATGGCTTCTCATCTCTGCATGACTTGAACCGCCACTCCCTCGAATCGCATACGGAAGCTGCGATGTTGGTTGAAGCTGGAGTGCCCGAGAACGCAGCCACATTCAATACAGTTATCGCCGACCAGCGCCCGTACAACGGCGTCTCCAGGACTTTGGTCACACCAGTATTCAGTATGGCCTGCAACTTACGCTTCAGTCAGCCAACACCTTCGGTAATCATTGCGCGGACACGGACAACGCTGGACCATGATATCGTGTCAGCTATCTTGGAGGCTGCACTCCGTCTACTGCCCCCTGACAGCACACCCGAGGGAATAAGATTACGGCGAGAGAAGGCTAGCGATCAAGCCAGAAAAGCCGAAGCAGCAGAGGCAAGCTTCATCGACCGCCTGTCTGGCGCAAATATCGATCTGCTCCGAGAGCGTCAACTGAAGGAGCGTGCTCGGGCAGCGTTGGATGCTGGCCAGGATGATGTTGTTAGACTGACACCAGATGCGCTGTTGTCCCGACCAAGTTTGATATGCGGAGAAACCTGCAACTGGATCGAGTACAAGAACACCTTCGGATTCCGCTCGAGTCCATATATCGCTTCGAAAAACAAGGCGCAGTTTCGAAAGTATGCGACCACGTTTGGACCTGGGATGGTGGTTTACAAGCTCGGGTTTGAAACCAATCATGTCAAGATCGAAGGTGTCCGTTGTTTTCGGGAGGCTGAAGTGTTGCAGTGGATAGAGGGTCAAGATGAGAGGCAGCTCCATAAGTAGTAGCTCAGATGATCTTCAGTATGCTATTAAGCGTCCGTAGAGAACGAAGCGAAAGCACCATCTGGTGTGAATGCCGTTGTCCGACTGACCATAATATGCGTCTCTTCTTTGCTCCCGGAACTGTCTTTCGCCACATTGGTAACGTCTGATACACTCGGGATCAATCTGCACTTCGCTATACGTCAACATGTCTGTCCCGTAACTGCCCTCTATCAACCATACTAGGCTGACTTCACTGGAAGCTATGCTGGCTTTTTCACTGATTATGCATGCTTGAACGTCCCAGAACACTTGAGATATTGGTGCTCGAGTCGTGCGTGAACACTTGACCTTTTGACGCGGAGATCAGCTCAATCTCGATGGCCCGCTGCAGTCTATCCGCCATTCGCTGCATGGTTGCGATTGCCGAAGCGGAGGCGGAGAGCGACGGGCCTGGAAGACGCCATTGGATCCAGGCGTTACCAGAACGTGGCCGCTGTACAAAATTCCCGGACAAAGCCTCCAGATAGAGCTCACAGCACATACACGATGGCTTGCTACAACCGATGTACCGGTCGTCATTCACAAATTGTGGATCTTCAATAAAGAAGAAATAGGCCATAGAAGCTTCTGCGTGCGTTTTCAGCCGCCAATCGGTTGCCTCGCACTCCTCTAATCGTGAATTGGCGACTTCCCAAGCGTCTTGACCGAACAGATGCTCCAGCCGAGCCTTCGAGACATCGAAGTGAGTCGGGAGTGTTTTTGATAGCAAGCGCTCCAGATCCCACATCGGTTGCGGAGAAGTAAACCTCGTACAGTCTTCGCTCGGGACCAGTTGCACCTCATAATTCGACAGAATGTCAAGAAAATCGGAAGCATGTTCAAATAGAAAGAGACATGCTTTGAACCAAGCTCCTAGGCGGCCGATGAAATGACCGATGTGCTTCCACTCGTCGGTCGGGTCCTTCCGCGCCCTTTTCACAAGCTTCCGCATCAAACCAGTCGATCTGAAGTCGTAGGCTTTCTTGCAAAGAGTCTCCACAGTTTTGTTCTCATCGATAAGAGTAATGATTGCCCCGACAAGAAGGTTTTCTATACAGTACATCGCAAAAGTCAGTGAGACGCTATGTTCCAGAAACGTCTAACGACGACAACTCACCTTCATACGACAGCTCAGTCCTCCGTCGTTCGAGTGCCTCAATCCGACCCTGGAGCTTCTTCCGATAATTGTTCACTCTGTCCTTGGCTTTGAAGACTGAGTCGTGGAATGATTTGAACATCGATGGCTCATCTGCTTGCACGGCACATGCAGACAGATGAAGCCTTTTCATGAGATTTTTGAGGTGGTCACTGGTGCGAAGCGTCGACTTGCTCTCCAATTGTTGCCGATTCATGAGAATCCAAAAGGTCGTCTTGCCCTTCTTTGCATGGTCAAGTTCCGCTGCAATTGATGTAACGGTCTCACCGCCAGTCTTGTGATCACACAGAATGCTCAGACTGTCAAGAAATATATGCCAAAGGTTCTCCTCCTTCTTGAGATGCGGTTCTCTGGTCTTCTGCTCACTGCGGCTGATGTACGCGTTCGTGACGGCGTTTCTTCTGATATGCTGTAGAACATGCTGGACAGTAAGACAACGATAGAAATGATCGTAGACATTTGCGCCGTGATCGTCCATGTTCGTGACTAGAGGGGTGCAGGCGTGGTAGCTCTAAACGTCCGTCCGTCAGAGTTCACGGAGGGCCAGTGTTATACACGAAAACCCACGATCGAGTGCGGGACAAACATCATGCGTCGAGAGTTGAGAGTCACCTATACGCTCCCGGCTGCCTCATTATCTGAGACTGTGCCATTTGTCAAATGAGTGAAGCAGTACGTGTGACAGACTGTACCTAGGGCTCGATATTCAACGCGATACATGCTTCACGGCATGCATGATGACGAGCTGTCTTCTTTGATGATCCTTTGCCCTCGAACCACATACCTTGCACATTGATTTTCGCTTGAAAGGATGGAGGATGGGCGCGCACACGTTTCTCATCCCAGCTCATCATCTCACCAGCGCGCTGACAGTGTTCGTGCAGCGCCAAATTGTATAGAAACACGCTGTCGACGTCGCCTTCTGGGCTGCCGTCGGAGACCGTATGACTTGTGGTCCTTGCAGCTTGCGTAATCGTGGAGGACTCGCGAGATGAACGTACGCCTGACGGTGTCAAACAGTTCTCCACCGCTGTAACAATGGTATCAAACCCTCCGTTAACATCTCGGCGCAGCATTGCACCTATCGAGCGCATCAAGGATTGATACGGCGCTCCTATACTAAGCGTCGCACGCCTTTGGCTCATGGCGTTTGCTGTGATGGTAGCTAAGCAGCGAGTGTACGGGAACGTCTGCAAGCACTCTTCGTGCAAGACCTGCTCCATCGATGAATGTTATCGATATGTATTCATCGACAAGACATGGTGGACTCACGTCGAGATGCTCCGTTGTGTCTCTGGGTCGGAGGTCAGACAGCAAACTTTTCGCGATCAGGTACTCGAACAACTTCTTTCCCATCCAATACTCTTGCGATTCCTGCGCTGAGCTGGACGACGGCGGTGATGGCTCCTCGATATCCGAGCCGAAGCCGATGAAGTCCATATCGCACTCGGACATATTCTCGGGAGTCTGGGTATGACCGTTCGATACGGATGTCATTGTAGCGGTGTTCCAAACTTGTATCGCGGTTGTGAGTAGGAATGCAATTATTGAACAATAAACCTGAATAGACTGTCGAGCCGCTGCTCCCGCAAACTATATACCGTGAAGTATGTGTTGCTGCGACGAAGTGTCTTCTGGTCTTCCTGTGGGCGCCCTCATCGATAACACCATGCCCTGCGTCATGGATCCCTGATGCGATATATTGGATGTCGACAAATGTTGAGCTGCATGGTACGTGGGTCCAATCGAGCCTGTTTCTCAGTGCGGCTGGATGTTGTTCACTGGAATATGTCATGCACACGCGATCGCCGACGTGGACGCTCAGCCAGCTGCACAATTATACGCTAAAATTCCGCGCTGAAGTTTGGCGCTGCGCACGGGCATCATTCCCGTACTATTTCAACCGGCGCGGTATGCTTAGTTCACTATCACCCCTTTGCATCACCAGACCCGGCATGCCTCCCTCTCGAAGTAGACATCCTTCTGTCCAAGAAGCCTTAGCAGCGATAGATGAAGGTGTCAGTACATTCCACAGAACAGACGAGCAATGATCGGCGGACAATTGATTTGAATTAGGGCGAACAATTTGTCTTGGAGCTCCTGGAACAACTCTACAAGCTTCGCAGAGAACGGCCTGCTTTGTTCCACCGATCTCCATATTCGGTTGATCGAAAGGGAGCCAAAGATGCCGCAAGATTCAGCAGATTACTAGAGACATGTCGTCCGAGTCCAGAGGAGATGGAGTATGTCAAGTGCCGCAAAGCTGAGTGGACGCAGTATCCAGAGGGATTCTGGAACCCTCAGATTTTCGCGGGCCCGGCCCAACGACTCTCCAGTCCTCAGGCTATGCTGGCTGGTTCCTATGTCGCTGCTATGCGTTCGGACACTTAGTCACGCATCGTGAAGCGTCTGACATCAATAATGCTGTATGAATACCAGAGATCTCCAGATGCCACCTCACTCGAGACGATTGCCACCACCATGAGCAGATGTGGCCAGCTCAACGTCACCTTTTCTCAGGCACTTCAGGTACTCGAACGGATGATCGATGAGGGGAGTCGCTTCGCCAACTTGGAAAAAGTTATAGGCTCTGGTGCGGTGTTCCTCTTGTGTCATCCTGGCTCTGATGCTCTGTAAGAAATGTCTCCACGTTGGACTGATTACTTGCTAAACTTTCCAGAGGAACAAGATTGCTTCCAAAGAGTGGACCAAAGTTCGATGCAGTTGTCGAGGAACTTCGGATCGCAGGAGTGGAAGAGAAGGCGGCTGAGTATGCCGATTTGCGCAAGCTGGTTATCACCTGGTACCATGATCATGTCCTGAACGACAGTCGCGCGAGCGATGCAAGCATAACAGCGACTCCTCCTCCCTCAAGCACCTATACAGGTACTGATAGAACGAATCTCCTTGCCGACGTCGCCAACAGCCCATTCCACCATGACCCGTTTCTCTCCAGGAGTTATTCTCCTTCGCTATTTAGCAGCTCTGGCAACGATTGATGGACAGACCGCTCGGAAGGGCGCCTACGACTACAAATTGGACTGTGCCTTTGAGACCAGGCCAAGCAAGCATAGGGAAATCCGAATTGACGCTTTTGTATGTCTTCTTCGAAGCGATCAATACCGACAAGCCTCAGTCCTGTATCATTGAGATCGTAGAAGTAACCACAGAAAGCTGCATCCGCCACATCGGGCACGCAACGAAAAGATCGCCATAGCACCTAGCAAGAGAGGTCTGTGGCGCCACGTCTTATGCTATCGTTCGCAGTATCAATATAACTGTTTTCCACAAGACCTTACTGGGCACGCCTCATGCAGATCCCATATCTGCCAATTCGTTTCAATAACGAATGACAGCATATTCCCACGTCCTTGGTCCCGTCCCAAGCGATGCGGTCTTGCACACAAGTCAGACGAATGAGACAGCGACACGCAGAGCAATTACGTCTATCGTACATCTCGTCCCAACCCCTTGTCATGTACCAATCATGTAACGACAGCGAGCCTATTACCATCTTCTCGGTCGTGCCACCGAATGCCATAATGTACGTCATCATTGAATCGTCCTGAGACTGGGCAAGCCTATAAACAGTGCTTCCATACAAATGAGGACGTTCCGATATAGTATACGGTGGACGACAGCTATTAGAACAGCAAATCAAATAACATCAAAAAGCCGTCCGCTTCTTCTACTCATCGTAGCAAGGTGAGCATACCGGGAGAGCCTACTACGCATTCTCTAGCGCACGAAGCGTTGAAGTTGAAGACTCGGGAGACAGATAATGTCGCGTCCGGACGTAAGTGCGCAGACTCCATCTGCGGACCCATTGATATATGAGTACATACGTCAGCGGTCGCCTCAGTTCGTGAGGCTTTCTAATCTCCGGAGGTTGGTGAGAGATGACCTCGAGCCTACCTAATATAATCACTTACTAACAAACATGTAGGGATGGGAGAATCCAGCTGGGGATGCTTTCTTTGCGACGCAACGGAACAATGCCAACACATGCTTCAAGAAAACTACCAAATTCTTTTTCATATATGTTTGGATTCTTTGTCGTCTCTACTGGCGGTTCGCTTCCTGATCTCATTCGAAGACGGCTTGTGCTGTCTCGTCACAAGCTCTGCATCTTGCTCAAACTTCATAGCGTGAGCTAGAGGTTCGGTTTTAGGGACTTTGACGAACGAGTGTGCACCAGTGGAGCCTACTTCAAAGATACTCTGGCTGGCTACAGTTCCAAAGCGACTGGCATACCGCTTGTGAACTATGTGTCGTAGATCATCCGATGACATAAAGCCAAGCAGCTGTGCTGAGTTCTCTCTTGATACCGCTTTGCCAATGTCGAATAGATCCGCCATAGTAGTCACCAGCACTTGGTCGCTATCGCCATCGGCAACAGCCTCACCAACCTTATAGACCCTCTGGCGTGAGATGTCGTTGGCCATGTTGCAGACTTCCAGACACTGTTTCGAGATTTCGATATCTGTCTGTAGTTTCTGTCTCTCACAGTCGCTGGTGGAAGCTTGGTCCAGGCTTAGAGATTCGAGGCGTCGTGCCAGATGATTGGAAGTTCGTGTGAAGTTGTCTCGGGTTTCATCCAGCATCTCACGTGTCCGTCTTTGTGCATCATATAGTTCGTCTTCGGTGCCATTCTGGGATGCTTCCTGCAGCAGGGTTGAAGCATCAGTAGACACTGTATCGAGGTACGATCTGGCTGCTTCACAAATACGAAGACATTGTCTCGTAACGTCCTTCTCGTCTTTCAAGTCTACAGCTCCTCCTAATGCAAGTTTATGCTCGGTAGTAAGCTTTGTCATCTTCTCTTCGATGCGCTGTAGGTGAAGTTCCAAATTATAGGTCGTATCATGGATCATCTCGCTATACTCCACGAGAACGTCATGGGAGATCTTGGAAGTATGCCTAGGTTTACAGTTAGCGGAGGCTAGCAGATGTCAATTCGTGACTAACATGGTTATAGTGCCTAGGCCCACTGAGATGGTCGACTTGTATCCCGCGATGGTCTCAATGAACTCATTGATATCACCTCTCATGAACTCCATCCTTGTCCAATCTCGAAAACCAGTCTTTGATTTCTTGCCGAATACTTCCATTGATGACTCGAATTCCTGGCATACGAGGCTACATCTTTCAACTGGACCTTGGAGTAGCGACAACACCGACTGCTCGGTATTGGTCGCTTTAGTCAACGATTCCAAAACCTTCGTCAGATCCTCTAGCTCGTCTTGAAGTCTGCGTAGGGTTTTATCTCGATCCCTGTACCGTTTGACTGTCTCGAATAGTGATTTGGCGGATTGTATGGCGGCTGTCGAAATAGCCAGTACGGAGGCCGCGACACTTAAAGGGTCCGCCATGATTTCGAGCGTGTTGTGGTTATACCAATGAGGCTGGGTGTCTTGGAGGGAGACAAACATCGACACGACTGCCAATATTACCTAAGGATGAACGCGACTGTAACATTACGCTGACAAGCCTCTCTGATTGGTCGGATAGACGCCGTGGCTGCGTGAGAAGGACGATTTTCCGTGTATGTCGGCTTTCTTGCCACTTCCGGCCTTTGGTTCCTCATCAGCTTAGCTTGGATTATGATGTTGTACACCTCAACCACTGCCATAGTTGTGGTCACTGCGGACGAAGTAAGAAGCCGTACCATGGAGTCAGCTTTACAAACTGCAATCGACCATTGAGTTCAAAGTCAGATGTACCCCAATACCTACGATAAGAGCGGAGAGGCGCTTTGCATGCAAGCACTGAAAGACACCTTCGAGGTCTCATGTCTACACGACCGCTTGAATTTGCGCTCCTCTGCACCGTGCGCTACGTGTGGTCGACCGTGTGGCCGGCCACCTCCATGACGCCACGAAACTACAGGAAATACAGGATTTCTCATCTATGTAGCTATGGCTGCCCTCATGGCGGACGCATGCTCGGATGAGACCATATAGGGCTATCTGATGTATGCAGCTCAATTGTGCTGCCGATTGATCAGCGAAGCTGAAATGAAAATCTACTCCTGTTCTCCAAGCGCATTATCATTCCACATTGCAGCACGAGACTTGACACTCTTCTTCTTAAGCTTAACAGGGACTTTGGGACTGGATTTAAACTCACTCCAGCTGCTCCAAACGTCAAGAGATGGTTCTTGGACTCCTGCTCTCTCCGCGAAAGAATCATCCTCCTGTAGAGCATTGTCAGCAGCATTGTGCACGCCATTATTGACAGCCGTGCGTGAGTCAGGATCATTCGCTTCGTGTGTCTCGCAGTCGTCTAAGCCGTCACGTTCATTCGCCTGGGGGTCTATGGTGTTTGTTAGCAGTCTTGCATCTTCATTTCCATTCAGTCCAGATGGTATTTCTATACCTTGGTGCTTAGAACGTCTGTATCGATTTAGGGTATGAAGCCCATCCTTGAGAATTCGCAACTTCTCTTCTGTACGTGTACGCTCTGTTACTGAGTCCTGGGTTTCCGCTGCGATCTTCTGGACCAAGCCGTCCTCTAGATTCATCACGGTCTGGGCTGTGAATGCGTCCTTCAAGCCCTCCAACAAGCAAGACTCGATGCCAAGCACGGCGATATTGTCGACTAACGTTTTCATAGCCACCTGTTTAGGTTAGTTGTCAGACATCGCTACAGTAAATGTGATGCTGTATGAAGTCAGCCAGGCTGTTTACCTTGTAGTAGGCTTCCATGCAGTATGTAGCTTCAGAACAAGCGAACTGGTCCATGCTGCCTTCTGGCTCGGGGTTCAAAGCATCGAGAAGCCTCTCTAAGTCGACATTCTGGGACGAAGCGCCATATGCCGCAGATCGAGACTTGTCCCCGAAGAAAGAACGCAGTATTTGCAACTGCTGCCTTTTGTTTGTTCTCTCCGAGCTTTCTGTATCGAATCTGTGAAATAGTGATTGTACGTGATTGGATGCCCACGTTGATGTGGCTGCAGAACTTCCTGAACCTTTCGGCGCACGTTTCCCACGCAGTGTTCGAAAGCAGGATTGATGATCTCGCGGAGCAGACTTTCGGCTGTTGAAGCATCAGCTGAATGAGCCAGAATGAGTTCGACTGTTGTCCGTGCTGCAGCAACGACGTGGTCCATATATTCCTGGACAAGGTCGCTCCATGGCTGGGATTGATCGAAAAAGAGGTCACCAATGATCATCGGGTTGAATGTACCGGGCAGCTCCCGTCCTCTGGTCCTTCTTATCAATTCACTTACCCCTTCCATGTATGCTGAGCGTACAATGCTTCGGGGCCGAATCGATGCTGAGACACTCAGGTGGTCTCCACTGTCCACCTCATCGTCGTCGAGAATTTGTTGAAGATGACCACTTCTCCGCATGGTGTGCGCAAATCCAGTGACAGGTCCTGGATCACGGCTCTGAGCCGCTTCTTGAAGCCACCTTCGGTGCGAGCATCACCAAAAAAAATCTCGACCATATGTTCCACCATTTGCAGAGCTCAGCAGGGAGGAGAAATCTTCGCTTATGCGAATAAGATACAAACGCTGCTCATGTGTCGTTCTTCGTGAATCTCCAAGATGGTCAAGTCGATCGCGGGCGTCCACAAGGCCTGACTCAATGTCCCTCAGCAACGCTGGTAGCTCGGAGATGATTTGCTCCTTGAGGACGGTGCTCAGTCTTGATCGCAAGGACTCGACGCCAAGAGAATGCAATGGCAGTGTCTGCCATATTCCGTTCGAGAAGAATTTCTTCTCAGCTTCGTCACGCTCGCATCTAGACAGATGCTTGGTGTCGAAATCTCGGTTCCGTAGGACGTGCCATCCTAGTCGAAACTGAACGTCTTCGTTGCGGGCTAGGCTTAGATACGCGGCCTCGCTGTCAGATCCAACATGAAGCGTATCAGGCTTTGTTATTATACCAAGAGTTCGGAGGCCTTTAGGATCAACCTCTCTCGTGAACCTGGTCACGATCTGGACAGCATAGTCGTTCTTCGCTGAGACCACTGCAAGAACGATCGATCGAGGATTAGCGATATAACCGCGAACGAGTGATAAGACCAGATCCAAGTCCTCAGCAGATTGCTGCTTGCTCTCAGCGTGAATCAGACCTGGAAGGTCGACCAGCGTCAGATGAGGCTGGTCCGGGCCTGAAAGCTCGATTCTCAATATGTCTTTGCTGAATGCCTTGCCGTCACGATTGAGACCCATTGTATCTTTCGCCATCTCTACTAGGCCAGGAAGCTCTTCCAGACTGGCAGTTGGTGCCTTGAAACCCCGGAGCTGCTCCTTTTCGTCGTCCGTCCGATCGCCGTCGGGTAAGATAGTAACATGAACGCGACTCTTAGCATCTCTGCGAAGTACAACTTCTGTTGCAAAGCGGGTGCAGAGATTGTCCTTCGTCGGAAAAGCGACTCCTGATATGCCTTCAAGGACTGAGCTCTTGCCAGCAGATTGGTCACCACAGACTACCAATTGCGGAAGCGAAATATAGATATTGAGTCCTTGCGATCGGAGACCATCGATGATGTCCAATAGCTCGCCTTGGTCTTGGAAGTAACGTGGGAGAATATCCATCGTGAACTGCAGCTAGCGCATGCAACGATCTAGTTACGATACAAAATATTACAGCTCAAAGGTGCACACAAGGAGTTAAGGAGACCCGTGAAGTTGTTGAAGCGAGGTGATATGTGTTGCGCCATCCTTGGCATGAACAACACACGAGTAACGTGGCCGAGCACAATTGGCGGCCTTCCTCATGCACATCGGATATACAAGCTAAAACTGTGACCTTCCTGCATCCCAAGACGTCGGAAAATGCACAATGCGACGTGGGACCGAAGGAACGACATAGAGACCCCAGAAATTGATGGCGTCAAAACACGCGCACTCTGCTAAGGCAAGTATCACTGGCCCGCTCCCCATGGGCCAGGCCGTTTCACCGGTCTGATACCGATCGTGGCTTTCATTGGTCGGAGCAAGGATCCCGGGAGATCCTGTTCAAATGTTCACCCCCACATGCGCGAAGGAGTGTATAACCAGTGATATTTGGAGTCTGCCGACGTTCTTCTGCCCCTGTACATACGCACTCTTCGTGCCGCATACCCTTGACTCGGAGCAGGAATGGAGCGCTATGTGCGGGCTAGAGCAAAGGTCATAGAGAACGCGAGTCTTCTGTGGTCCGCTCGGGAGATTGTAGAGCACCCATCCAAGAACGTGTTGATAGCGGACGATGGCACGCGGAAGTTGTCGGCACATCGTGAGACACACTTAGTAGATGACATTGCCGCCGACAGAGACGACCCCAATCAGATCATGGCTGTCTGTATCGAGGAAACCGCAGACAACTACAACACAATTGTGCGGGTGGCCTCTGATACCGGCGACCTCCAGAAAATTATGCGAAACCTCCAGATAATTGCCGATTTAGCATCCTATTGGGATCAGACTCTGATTTCTGTTTATGAGATATACAGACATAGCGAGACTCGAAATGAAGCAGCTTATGTTTACTCAAACCGTTTCGATGGACAAGAGCCGAATACGGGAACATCAGCATCTGCTCCGATGGTATCGCCGACGTTGTTGGTTGCCAGAGTGGTCAGCAGAGTGCTTGGTTGCTGCGAATGGACGAGGCGCTTCCACCCTCATATGCCGAGAGCATGTACGTGGTCTAACACACAGCCTTGATCGCATGCCTTCCTTTTAACCATCCATACCATAAAGCAATGTATACGCTTGTCACACCTTGTTATGCATCTGTGTAGGTGGTCCACATATGGCAACTATTGGTGAGTCACGAACGCAGCCAAGGACAATTGTCCCGCGATCAGGTGGATTGTCAGAGGTACTTATTCGAGGTTATGTGGCTTCACCAATGGACGCCTTGAGCATGCAGGCGTGGGCTGATGATGCAAGAGCTGATATCCCGATACGATAGCTGGAAGTTTACCATGTCTCATGATTGGAGAATATGTTTCACTGGTCTAAAGAACGCAGACGTTAGCTCCTCAGCACGACGCATGCACGTCCCTCAGAAACCGCACCCGCTTACGCAGTATATTGCATCTGGTGGAAAGTGAGACTGGTGGAGTCCGCATGAAGCAGGCTACGCCTCCTGTTCCTTATTGGAATTCTTTGCTTATCTACGCAACTAGTGATCACTCCGCACTGGTAGCTTGAGCACTGGAACAATTGGAAATCGCAAAATCCCAGTGGTGACAAACTCATTCCCGGCAGGCAGTGGCATAAAATGTAAAAAGTCTATCTTTCCCTGAAGGTCGAGGAGACTTACTTTGCGCTCTCTCGCAAGCGCACACAAATAGGAAGCAGAGTGCAGGATTTGCTTGACAGTTCGTATCAGCAGAATCGACTCCTCCCTTCTCACGAAATTCCCGTAGTCGAGTCGAACGGCTGGACGACTAAGGACTTGCCCACGAGAAGAGTGGACAACAGGTCATCCCGTACCAGGTCTGACATTCGCCGCATAAGCCTCAGAGCTACCCGGTCAGTCGTCCCGTCGGGCATCTCTAAAGTCCGTGGCACCGCCCATTTCATCCATAAATTACCATGGTGACGACCAGTCCTGGCGGATGATGGATGTATGTCCAGGTATAGCTTGCAACAGTAGCAAGATGGCTTACTGCATGCAATATAGCAGTCTTCCATCGCAAAAGTCAAACCGTGGACGTGAAAATGCTCGAGCATACTGACTTCAGCATGTGGGCGACTTTCCATCTCCATGGGCAAAGCCCTAGCAGTGACGTCCAATTTTGCCACTGCTGCTGCTATCAATGGATGACCCCGGTAATTTGGCAATACTCGACCCATTGCGGATTCAAGGCCGATCTTTTCTACCGTGGAATTCCCGACGACGGCAATCTCGCAATCATCCAAGACGCTACGAAAGCGCACTCCCAAGGCCGCAACGTTGTTCGCGGCGCTGTGCCACGAGCTCAGTCTTCCGATATAGTGCCTGGCACGATAGAGATCATAATCTGTCGAGAACTTGCTAGCCAATATGAGGCTCCGGTGTGGGTCCTCACTGGTGAGGGTATGAGCTTCGTGGCACAAGGCTTGGTGATCGGTAGCCTTCTGCAAGATAGTTCTAATCGCATCCATAATGAAGCGTACTAGGTCAAAGCTCAGCTGAAGCTGCGACAATCCCAGGCATATCAGAACTTACAGTCTGCGTTGTCGATCACTGCCTCCTGCGTTGATCTTTCCTCCAGCTGAAGCAGAATACTGCCCAATCGGTTTGCATAATTGGAGATCCGCTGGGGACTTCTTGCGATGGTGTCGATGATAATTTTGTCCCGTCCGCTTGGTGCAGATGCATCCCCGTCCTGGTTCTGTATCAAGGCAAGAATATTACTCAAATGGCCCTTCGTTTCTTCTGCATCCCCACCGTTCATGGCCAGCCAAAAGACAAAATTGCTAGTATTTCGCTCTACCGCTATGGATGTCGTGGTTTTTCCTCCTCTTCGATTATCGCACAACAAGCACAGGTCATCCAGAAATCTTTCCCATTCTGACCTAACACTGGTGGCATGCCAATGATGTCGTCTGCTTATGTTGTTCCTGATCTCTGTCATCTCTTGACGCTGGAGTAAACTTTGTATCTGTAGACTGTCGTAGAGGTCGCACATCACACGCTGAGGATCTTGACGTAGCATATTTGTACGATTTTGAGGCAGTGTTAGGAAGTATCGGATAGCTCGAGAGGCGACCCTTCGTATGACTTGTATACTACCAGATTCTTTGGTAGGCACTGCAAGCTGGAGCCGGTGAAGTAGTATTTGACTGCTGGCAAGCTCCTGCAGGGTACCCAAGAGAACGATGCTTCATCTTTCTAAAAAAATTCCACGATTGGTTGCTCAGGAAGAGCAGAGGTTTGTCTAGGCTTGCCATATACACTTTAGGTTATCACTGATACCACACGACAATGCTTTTGTCACTTGACGAGATACATGGATACATGTTGCACGTCATGCTATCAACGGCCATGAACAAGGCTAGAGCGCTATCCCAAGAGCTTCGCATGCGATCTGCGAAGCTCGATGTTTAGCTTCTCTTGTGTTGCCTGCGGTAGCTCGAAAGGTCGCACCGTCCACTATCGCTGCGACCTGCCAGCAAAGAGGAGACACTGATACCTGCTTGTTCATCCATCTGACATCGACCCGATTCTGGTCACCATATTCTTTGAGAGCTGTCGTGTAACGAGGGCGCTCGAGTAGTTGATCATCGTTGTTTTGCAACACACGGTTGATCGGTTGCTGAAGTCTTGCTGCCGAAGTACTGAGAGGCTGCGCTGCTGGACGACTTGGCAACGGCTGTCGAGGGTTTTCCACACCATCTTGCACGATGGAAGTGACGTGGACTCTGACCTCGACACTGCTCCGCAGAAATACTGCGGCGAGTTCAGTCACAAATGCTCGAAAGTCAGCGGTATTTTCTCCTGGGTCCATGTAGACACTCTGAGCTGACGGGATGGAAGAAATGTGGCGTATTCGATCGCCGTATGGGTACTGCGCAACCGCCTGTAGCAGCATTGCCTGGTCTGAGGTTAGTATTGACCTTCTACAAGCGTATCTGTAACATTACATCTAGACCATCGCTCGTTTCAGAAGCTGTAGCATTGCGAAACACCTTCTCAGCAAGGATCTGTTTGAAGAGTCGTTTGCCAAACCAGTAGTGGACGGATGAAGTCTGTCCAGCAGTCGGGTTGTCGTACAAATCTTCGAAGTCGGAGTCATCGAGTAATCCTTCTCTTGGGTTTTCGGAAGCATCACCGTCAGTCATCGAGAACCTGGTGGAAGAAGGCATCATATCGTCATTCAAGACCTACTCCTACGTAGCAAAGGGAGTCTGCGCCTCCATTCATATATACGCTGAGCCTCCCATCATGACTATGGGCTGCATTCCCATGTACATTGCTTGCAGCCTCATTACACGCTAAAGTTGCGAACGCAAATTAGTGCGTCCAGCTGCAGCTGGCCTGCATGCGCTGCTACGCTAGCATGCGTATCTGTGCGCTGCATCAACAATGCATAATATTGTATCTGCATATGTACTCATGCCCACGATCGTGATCGTCTAGATGCAAGCTTGTGTCACCTTGGGCAGGCATGCAGGCGATTCGCAGCATGTTCACGGGCTCCAAACGCCACACCAAGGTGCATGCTGTCTTGTGCGTAGCTCGCTATGGGAGCGTGCACTCAAGAGCTCTCCATAAGCAGAGACTTCAAACACACAATCAACTCATCTATGCCATCATGGAGTTGCCAAGGACGCTGGAGGTTTTGGCTACAATGGTAAGTCTCATTGATTATTGCACACGAATCTAATATGTTGTAGGGCCCGGAAGAGCTCAACATTGTGTTGCAAGCACTGCATCAAAGGCTCTCAAGTGGCTTGCAACAGTCACCTTCGATCGATTTCAAACTTAAGCGCAAGGTAAACCATGCTGACGGACTTGTGGAACGACTTCAATCATTTACGGGTCCGGATAAGGAGACCAGAAACATCCTTGCCACCAATTTCGATCGATGGATGCAGAACACACGGGACTTTTGGAATACGCTGGATGAGCATACAAACACAGGCCTCAGCGCAGAAGCTCAAGTTGTACAACTGTACATTCGTGCTCGTGGCGATGACGCGTAGTCTCGCATGAAGCAGCGAATGGCATGTATCGTTCTGATTGACCTCAGAGACGGCATTGGCCGTCCAACCATCGAGGAGACGGTAGACTTGCTACTTGCTGTCGGCGTTCTCGCGGGGCATCGCAGCAAAGCGATCGCTGTTGTAGATGCGATGATCGATAAGGGTCACAGATACAGGAACCTTCACCAAAACGTCTGTACTGGTCTCGCACTAGTCTTGGGCATTGAGCTTCCGGAGCACTGGTAAGCTGTTGATTGGATTGCCAGGAGCGAGACTGATCAAACTATAGCTGGATTAGGGCCAAGAGTGGTGGAGCTTTCAAAGCAATTCAGCATCAAGTGACCTACACAGACACCGAGTCACTTGCCATTAAGTATAGCGGCCTGCAAAAAAAGATTCTGGATGAAGAGCTATCACGACTCTTGCGGCCCGTTCGATCTCATTACAACACTCCAGCAGCTTCCGACTATCTGCTCTCTCCTCGTCCAATATACGAAGAATACAGGACTCTTATGTCTGATTGAGATGTAGAAGGACGCCATGGAGTTTGCGTATCAAGGCAGATGTGTGACATCGATCTCTATATAGCCCGTTCGACATTCGCCCTCTCCTATGAGGTCCCAAATCTCCTATCCACTCATCAGTCGAACTAGGCAAAAGGATATCGACCGTTCCATGCAAGCACTCTCTGATAATTGACCGTTCTCATTTTGAGCCTAAAGTCGAGCAACAGAGGACCTGTGCATTAGAAAGGTGTATGGCTTGTTAGCGTAGATTAGCCTCTAATGTAGATCTGCAGCTTTACTGTCCAGATTCAGAGCCAAGCCATGCAGGATACCCACCGGGACTATCATTGACGAGTCGGTTAAGGCATGGAACTGAATGAATGATCACGGAGACAGGCCTATGTCAGGTGGCCTGGTGTCGCGCTGCTTCCCGATGATTCACCGCCGCGTGTCCATGAGATTGCAAAGGGATGCTCCTTGGTCTCCTTCAAATCGATGCTACATTGATAAGAGCGACCACAGCTTGACTGAAGGACTCATCTTTTCGCTTCCTTCCAAATTTCCTGCTCGGCGCCTAAGATTTTTCCATCATGCCTGCCGCAGGCGAGCACGCTCTCGACCTTCTGGAGTCCTGGACAGAGAGTCCTTTTCCCTCACCAATGGACCGTCCAGATGAACAAAAAGCCGCTCGTCCAGACGTTTCACATGGTGTCCATGACATGAGCTCCAGCCGCCCTCGGATTATCGGACTCTATGGTCTTCCAGGATCTGGCAAAACTCGCATGTTGGAGTGGATCATGACCAGTTTCCACGATCCGTCTCTCTTGTGCTTCGAAGGTTCGGACTTGATTGCAGGAACAGTTACAGAGAACTGTCAGACTTTCATGACCTTGAGTCCGGAAGCGAAAGAGTCATCTCGGAAAGCCGCAATGACTGCATTTAAGAGTATGGACGAGGAGGCCAGACGACGCTGTCGTACTGCAGCCATCAAACACGTTGTGAATGAATGTGCCAGGACCGGCCAATCCGCAGTTGTCACAGGTCATTTCATGTTCTGGACTGAGGATGAGGATACTGGGAGAACTGTCTATACAAAAGCTGACTTGGAGGCTTACACCAGTATTGTGTACTTGGACGCATCGAAGGACGACATCGAGCGGCGTCGAGCGCAGGACGTGCAGCGGCAGCGAGATGTTGCTCATTCATGGCATCTTCAGCGCTGGAAGGATGAGGAAAAGGCTCGATTGCGCGAGCTTTGTCGTGAGCATGGAATCTTGTTCTCCACCATGACGGCTGAACCGGATGATTATGGTCATATTGCAGACATCCTGCACTATCACCTTTGCACGGTCGAGATGAATGAATCACTTGTGCTTGCTGAAGTGGACAAGGTGGTCACGAGCAAGCAAGAACCTCAGATCGTGGTCGTTCTGGACGCAGACAAGACATTAGCCGCTGTAGACACAGGTGCCTTGTACTGGGAGCTGCTCAGAGGACGCATTGATGGCACAGCCGATGTTGATGGTGATCCTGTCAGTCGTCTCTTTAAACACTCAGCCTGGAAGTATTCCTATGCTGCCTTCAAACAAGCGACTCTCTTGTACGAGGAATCGGCTGCTACGAGTGCTTTTGAGCGGTTATGCGACCTTACGGCTGCTCAGGTCGACCTCTTCCCGGAGCTACTGTCCCTGCTGCAATGCGGGCCCGATCGACCAAATCTGAAAGCCCTGGTGATCACGTCTGGTCTGCGCCGTGTTTGGGAGAAAGTATTGGTGCGGCATGGACTTCGCTCGAACGTGTCAGTGGTTGGCGGCGGGCGCATGAGCGACGGTTATGTGATTACGCCGCTCAGCAAGCGCAATGCTGTACAGCATCTACAGCTGAGGCATCAGATGCGAGTTTGGGCAGTTGGCGATAGTCCGTTGGATCTTCCGATGCTTCAAGCTGCGGATCGGGCCATAGTTGTGGTCACTGCGGAAGAAGTAAGAAGCCGTACCATGGAGTCAGCTTTACAAACTGCGATCGACCATGAGGGACTTGTTGCACTGCAGCTGCTCCTGCCGGCGCATGTTCGACCACGACTCAGCACTGATCGGCTCCCTCTTGTGGACGATATTTATCGTACCATCATGTCGGATACTCACTTACAGTTTCATCACTTTACGGAGACTGCAGGCGCAAAGCTTCTGATGACGCCCATGCGGGACGCGCAAATTTCTGGCGTGACACTACGCGAAGCACATCGCCGTGTGGGCTGGTTTCTGGCAATCCAGTGTCTGAGCGCTGTGCTGAATCTGGATCGAAAACCGATCATTCATGTACAGGGTCAGAACACTGATGGATACTGCTTCGAGAACGAGGCAAGAACTACCATTGTCGCCATGATGCGAGGTGGAGAGCCAATGGCCTTCGGCGTGAATGATGCTATGCCAACTTCACACTTCGTGCATGCTTTTGAGGCAAGGGATGTGACTAAGCTACACCTCGACAAGCAAAGGACTGTGGTCTTGGTAGACGCAGTCGTCAATTCTGGTGCAAGTCTTGTCGAGTTCGTGCGACATATTCGTGGCGGACACCCACGGATTCGTATCATCGTCGTGGCCGGCGTCGTCCACCAAGGCTCGTTATATCGCGGTGAGGCCATTCATGGTCTGTCGAAGGAGGGACACTTGACGATCATTGCCTTGAGGACTTCCGACAATAGCTTCAAAGGGTCAAGAACTACAGACACCGGGAATCGCTTGTTCATGACCACGCATCTGAAGTGATGGTTCAGCATTAGATAGCTTTCATAGAAAGTCTTTGTAGGCTGCAACACAGAAACAGCATGTCCAGTCCAGTTCGTATCTGTGGGCCGCTACGAGGAAGCTTTGAGGATTTTCTCCATCGACAGGTTTGATTTGAAACCACCCACCACATCAGAGACCACGGCCATTTGGTGGGGATGGTCATAGCACATGATCGCCACGAACAACCTTCGAGATTCCGCACTAAACCCGCCTCCGCGGGGTTTAGCGCGATCTCAATCTGAACGTTTGTAGTGATCAAATGCGAAAGCCTCCTGCACGATGGGCCTCATACGGTGCTGCCAGAGATACATGACGATACCAAGATAGTCCGTATCCTGTCCTCACAGTTACTTCTTCACGCCAAAGACTGGAGTTTCTACTTGCTGTCTGCAGGGTGGCGTGGACACCGCCATCCAAGAGTATGAAGATGCTGCGGAGTGAGAAAGCACGCGTCAAAGGTAAGACAAAGGCGTATACGTTGATATGGCTAGCTGAGATATCAAGGGCAGGCAGCAAGATCTGGGCTGGTTGCGCGGCGAGCGGTGCCGCTGTTGCATGTGTCGATCGCGAATGATTGGCTCATTTACTGACCGGTCGTACGGCCCCTCCTGCCCAAAGCTTGAAGGACAATAGCCATCACAAGAGTAGTGTAGGGAAGACTCCTGTGGACTGTAGGACGCGAGTTCAGACCGCTCTGACCTCAAGTGTTACTTCGACACTGTTACCGAGAAGCTCCCGTGCAGTGCACGCTTCCTCGGCCATTCAGTCACAGGTCTACGTGTCGAAAACGCCACGATGATCACGTAATGCATTCACTTTGGACGAGGATGATCTACTGGCACACCTCAAAGAGCGTACTAGTTTTAATTGGCCTGACATCCAGAAGCTTTTTCCCGCTCAATCAATCGATGCTCTCCAGGTTCACTATTGTTCCCGACTGAAGGCACGAGACAATGCGGAGGCGAAAGGCCTACAAGGAGTAGGTACGAAATCTTGTATATTTTCTAGCATTGCAACGATTCACTTTAGTAGAGCACAGAAGCATATTATAATAGATCATGCTGTTTTCCCTTAGCTGATAGTGCGGCTCATGTTGCGGCTACGCTACACGTACGGCATGCTTCTTGAGCTCCACATCTTGTTCTACATAGGCAAAGTTGTTTCTTCGACGATCAGGAGTCCTTACGTTGGTGCTATAGTAATGTCCTTTTCAAAAATACCTACCCTACAGCCGGCACCGCCAAGTTCAATGAAAGGTCCCGTCGCCTAAGCAGCGATCTACTAGAAGTGGCAAGGTTTGAGACGCGTCACCACTCACAACCCACGTGGCATCACCAGGATCTACGTCGTCGGCTTCGTCGAAAATGTCAAACCATGCAGCTCTCGCACCAAGGTCCAGAGCTTCTTGCACGTATGGCGTCCTCTCTGTCCCTATGACGAGGACTAGGTCAACATATGGCTGAGCCTCCAGCCAATGCTCAACACGTTCCAATGCATCTGCGGGAAGCATTTCTCCGAACCAGACTATACCTGGTCGCACCTTCGCAGATCTGCACAGAGGACAGATCCATTCAGCTGCATCTCGTCTTGGGCCACATTCTGGGCCACGTGACCATACAATGCTCGCAGCAGACTCCATGACAAAGGCAAGGGACTCTTTCGCGGCGTTTCATGTTTTGTAGGCGCAATCGGTGCTTGAGCAATGTGCTTCGAAGACCGAGCCATGCAACGCCACTAGCTGCTCCAGAGGATGACCAGCTCTCTCGGATAACTCTATGTGCGGGTCAGCAACAATGTTCACCACTATGACATGCGTGCTCACCGTCTATGTTCTGCGTGATTGCCAGAAGCCCGGGCTTAGATAAGGCTAGACGTGAAATTGCGTGGTGGCCTGGATTTGGCTGTACACTAAGAGCAAGTTGACGAAAACGCTCATAGTGTGCCCATATCCTGTCGGGATCTGATCGAAACGCGGCTGAAGACGCAATCTTTTCGATGGACTCACCCCAGCATTCTGGATTCTGTCGAAACGTTGGCAGCCCTGAGGGTTGCGACAGTCCAGCTCCAATGACTACAAGTATCCGTTGTGCCGTAGCTAGAGCTGCCACGAGAGAATCCGGAATTTCCATACTGTGCCCAACACAGCCACCATACGCAGTCCGCTGTATACTTCAACGATGTTTGCGAAGTGCCTGTTTATATGCATCCCGGCTCTTTTATAGTCGGCTCTCAAGCACCAAATGCTTTGCAAGGGTAGTCTGTACCCCAGCATCTGCATGTGCTACACGACAGGACTGCCGGGAGTCGAAAACATCTACTCGACCCCGTCCTGGTACGAACGACAAGCAATTACAAGTATTGTCTGTGACAAGATCACTTGTGCCACTTACCGCTGGTATGTCCCTCGCGAACCACAATTGTATGGCTCTGACCAAGCGACAGCCAGAGATATGACTGTACCGAGGATTGCAGCGATTCTAGCAATTCTCGGCCTCTCAGTTCTCAAGCTTCTCACCACGGCGAAGCTGCTCGAATCTCCAACGAAGAGCGCCATATAGAGCTGTCGGCAGTCGCACTGTTCAGAGACGGATCGCCACCTCACGACAAAGAGCAATGGAAACGTGAAGGCGGGCATGACGGTGTTATGGGCGCGTATAGCAAGAACCGAGTGTTATCGTCACAAGCATCAGGACACGAATCAATGTGAGAAGTGTCGGCAGTGTACCGAGTGGCATCACGAGGTGTGCGAGGCGGCGCTCGGGGCAAGCTGTGAGGAATTAGGCTGTCAGCCTTGTCGCAGCAATGAGGTGCAAGCGACGAAGATCCACTTGGGGCGGTACGCATCGGGCAACGCGGTGATGAAAAGCGGGCATCGGCGGGATCTGCTGATCCGGGACGACGGAGTGATCGGGTTCGAGATGGAAGGTGCCGGTGCATGGGAGGTGCCGGTGCATGGGAGGTGCTCCCGACGATCGTGGTCAAGGGAGTAGTAGACTACGCCGACAGCCACAAGAGTAAGCGGTGGCGCGGGTATGCGGCCGCACGGGCGGCGCTGTGCGCGGCGGCGTTGGTCGAGGAAATTGATCTGCCGGACAGTCTGCCAGCAGGTTGGTCATGTGCTCATTGCTGGCGTAATTGCCAGGGTCTACCTTCCAGAATGTACATTTGACAAATGTCGCCAGGCTGACGCTTCGTGTTGTTTCAGATCTCGGTCAAGTCAGTACCGTCGTACATCGTGAGTGAGACAAGGTAACGACCATGCGGTGTTTGGCTGAAGCAAAAATAGGAGGCCACCACGTACTGCCCAGTACGCTCCCAAAAAGACAACCACCGCCATTTGTTCCACGTCCATACTATACCGAACGCCTTCAGCATTTCTTTTCCGCCTCTCATGCTACAAGCCCTGTCTTTGTGCTGTGGAGTATTGGAGGTTCGGGGTGAGAATGTATTTTCTCTATCCAAGCACGAGGTGTAATGATCAGCAGCAAGTCACAAATCGCACTAGACTTTGCACACTCGTGCAGAGCATCGTCTCATGCTCTGTGGTTACGTTCCGATAAGCTTGTGAATTCTACGTCGGATATCCTTAGAGCTCACGAACAATACCTGTCAACTTCTCGCCACGGCCTAGCTCGTGCAAAACCACGAAGCCATATTAATACCGCTGAGGACTTTCTCAGGTCGAGTGCAGAGCACTATCTGCTAGTCCTGGACAATGCCAACGATCTCGATAGCTTCAATGGTGGCAATGACAGTATTAGTTCCATCCGAAGCCTAGTTCCGACTAACTCGAAGGTGCTTATAACGACTCGTGATCCTCGTTTCCTCGGCGGATTTGCAGGCGCCAGAGATGGACTCAAAGTTGGGCCCATGTCTAGCGATCAGGCGTATGACTTGTTGACAGGATCGATTCCGCCGCATCTCATGATTGAGGACGATTATGATACAAGGGTTGCAGCCATGGACTTGGTAGCAGAATTGGGCTGTCTTCCATTGGCAATTACGCAGGCCGCTGCCAACATGCGGGCGCAGCAGATGGCAATTCATGCGTACGCCAAAATGTATCGCTCCCGTCAAGCGCGATTGAGCTTATTGCAGACTCCTGTGGCACGGTGGAGTGGAAGCAATGGAGTGCAAAGCATTCTTACCACTTGGGAGATGTCATTCGAAGATATTCGTCAGCAAAATGTTCGGGCAGCGGACTGCTTGAGCTACATGGCCTTCTTCGATTGTCGGTCTATCCCAAAATCAGCTGTCAAGCTGTTGCCAGGCCTATACGGCTCTGATGATATTCAGTATCACGGCATCCTAGCGCCGCTCCTCCTTCACTCATTAGTGGAGGAAACATATACCTCGCAAGAGGATTCACATTTCGAGATGCATCCGGTCATTCACGAGAGGATCTCGCAAAGACTCTCAGCTGAGGATTTTCTTCACTACTCTGCTCCTGTTGTGGAGCTACTCGGGCGGCTATTTTCCTGTGGCCATGGACTGCGAGAAACTATCGGATGGGGCCTTGCACATAAATTGTTGCCACATGCAACCCATTGTCTGGACGTAACATCATACATCGCGACGAAATTGGCCGGAACGGCGACTTTGATGCAAGCAGTAAGCAGTTTTGTTCGTCAAATGGGTCTCACAAGCGCAGGGCTTGCCTTGGCTGATCATGCACTTGATCACGCTGTTAATGCTTATTCAACACTTGACCACAGAACTTTCTAGGCATGGGAGAACAAGATGCACTCACTACATGATGAGGGGCACTGTAGTGATGTACTATATCAGTGCGACTACTATGGTGATATGTGCCTGTCTTCACCGAGAGTCTGGGCTGCAATGTTGAAACTTGATCAGGACAGAACCTGGTTCGACTTGAATATGCATCGTTCAGCATGCCTATTCGGACTGAGGCGATATGCTGACCAGGGCAGAGTGTTACAGCTGCTGCTTAGTATAGCTAGGACAAGCATGCCGGAGGATAAGCACACTATTGCTGTTCTACGGCATGCCTTAGCAAACATACATAACTGGCTTGGACACTTTGAAGAGGCTGATCAGATTACGGACGAACAACTGACGGAAGCTTCAACTGATTCCGGTCGAGCATACATTGGTCCAAAGCTGCATATTCTCATTCTTCGGGAGAAGGTGGAACCTTATAGGTTGTGCAGCAGACCAGTGATTGGATCGGCTCTGCAGACAACCGATCAGAAAGTGAATTCGCTTCTTGGATTGATCGACAAAGCTTGCGCTATGGGTTTTAACGACGTTGGCGCGCACGATCCTTTGTTGTGGCATACGTGCGCTTGCTACGCTGACCTATGTGATCTGACTGAAGGAACTCGGCACAAACAATTAAGGATCTGGAAAGATTTCTTGGTTGCCTTACGCAAGGAGGAACCCTTGGTGGAGGGCAGCAAGCTTCGATCCTTGACCAAAGTTTTAACTCGGATACACGCATTTTTAACGAGCAGGGAGGACCGGGTGCATCATGGCTGGACAGACCGGGACGGTACCATCTCAGCCTACAACAACATCTTGACTATGCTGAACATTGACCAGTCAACATTGTTCGAAGAGATTGTTCGCGCGAAAGCTACTCAATGCAACCTTGAGGCAACCTTCCTACAAAGAAGTGGACATTTTGCGAAAGCCGAAGCTCTTCACCAGAAAGCAGCACATTATTTAGGTTCATGTGGAGAAGATGATGACCTCTGGAGCGTCATCCATTACAACACCATGCTTGCAATCGCTCGCCAAGATGGACGTTTGAAGGAAGCCTATCAATACGGTAGTGATCACTGGATCACCATACAGCGGGGAGAAAGCCGTCACGGTGCGATCCAGGTGCGCTTACAGCAGGACGCTGCCGACCACGAGTCATATATAGAAGCTTCGCGCCGCCGAAGGAACGGCGAAGTCGGTGATGATGAATGGTGGGTGGACCATGCAGCGCAGCTTGAGAGAAGTGAGGCTCTGTACGGACCGCTCCCAACGCCGACACCAAGTAGATCAATGGCAACGATATCTGAGGTTGAAGATCAGAATCCCCGATGGGTGGACTGGCTGCTCATACCCTTGAGAGCCACATTCCGTTGAGCTGCCAGTACGCGGCCAGCAGCGAGAGGAGGAAGGTACGAAGATGACGGTTCATGAGCCCAATACGCGGCTATCAAATGCAGCAAGGCCGCGAAAGCACATGATGCGGGTGAAGCAGAGGCTGGCATATGATTCTCGCATATGCTGACGCTCGGTACGAGCTCGTAGGCGTGCAGCCAGCTCACAGGCAGGCGAGGGAAGCAATGGCGCTGCTAGAGCATGTGGCTGGGGCGGAGCGGAGCAATATGCGTGTGAACCAATATATACTGGTGTCATTCTGGGCATCAATGGAGGCGGCGGTACGGCATGGGTTGATATCTTCAAGCAGCTCCACGGTGCGCGAGCACCAAGGCTCGCAAGAGATCACGCAGAGATATGGAGTGAACAAACGTGTAGTGTAGAATACGTTTGTACAAGGTAGAGAGCGACAGGACGTGAATTCACGCGTTTAGCTTCGATTACGTCACGATACGGCCAGCAAACTATACATAGGCTGCATTACAGTACTGTACCTGCAGTTCGCTCATACACATCCTGCTTCACATCGCAGCACAAGGCATCACTCCTGAACGGCTGGCGTCTCACCAGGAGCTGGCGAGTGCATAGCACGACAACGGGCGGTGATGGAAGCGGCGGAGCTGCTGGACCACGTGGTGCGGATGAAGCAGGGTAAGCTGCCCACGGTCCACCCGTGTCGCGTCGTGTCTGAACAGCTACCTTACAGTCGTCCATCACCATGTCACGAACCCGGACCAATAAATGAGCGGCCACGAGGTCCTCCAGGCGAGCAGCGTGCGACGGTGTCCACAAGCAAGCGTATCGTCTCACGCATTCTAAGGCTTGCAAAGAGATCGCACAAGAGCATGAAGTGAAAAGCGGTTGGAGCCACAGTCACAAGCTGTGCATCGTCCACAGTAACCTCAATGAAGCCTGGTGAGCGAGCTACCGCTCGCTGGAAGATGGTATCGTAACTAGCCATTTGGTTTCGAGTAGGTTTTGGTGAAGGTTTTTGTATCTGTGACCCTTATCGATCATCGCATCTACAACAGCGATTGCTTTGCTGCGATGCCCCGCGAGAACGCCGCACTTGACTCTGGTGGATCTACCGGGTCTCTTCCGCGCTAGCAATCGGGACCAATCCGTCAATAGTGCACCTATCATCCAACAGACGGTACGCAGTTACATGGAGAAGCCACGAAGCATAATTCTCGCTGTCGTTTCCGCTTAAAGCGACATCAATCTACAGCCTGTCACCGAACTGTCCCGCGAGCTCGATCCTGCTGGGATTCGTACGCTAGGCCTGATCACGAAACCTGATACATTACCTTCGGGTTCTGAGGCTTCTTACTTGGCCTTGGCGCAGATCAAAGACGTCGTCTTTCGACTTGGCTGGCACATTCTCCGCAATCGCGGCTTCGAATCGCGGCATGCGACCTCCGTCGAACGGGACAGAAATGAACGCGAGTTCTTCGCAACAGGACTATGGGCACACCTCGATCGTGGCACGGTTGGCATACAGACCCTGCGACCGAGGCTGAGTCTAGTCCTCCACAACCTGATTCTACAGCAACTCCTTAGCCTGCTTCGAGACGTCTCCTCGGGCCTGGAAGAATGCCGGTAGCAACAGAGACGTCTGGGTGAGCCCCATGGAGCTTTATCAGAGCAGAGGCGTTATCTACGACAGGTCAGCTGGAGCTTCTCTCTATTGATGAGAGCCGCTGTGGACGGATTCTATAGCAATATCTTCCTCGAACAGGCTAGTTCATTCAATGGGTATCAGAAACGGCTGCGTGCCGTAGTTCAGAACGAGCTGGAGTCGTTTGCAGAAGACATACGCTTTCGAGGTCGTACCCGATGATCAATGAAGATGATGAGAGCGGCAATGATGACGACGCAACTCCTCGTACTACCCGCAGCGCCTACTTGTCGCATGTTCGAGATCTCATGAAAAAGAGCCGAGGCTGCGAGCTCCCTGGTACTTTCAATCCACTTATTATTGGGGAGCTGTTCCGCGACCAGTGTCGCCCGTGGGGAGTAAGTACTGCGCGCACACTAGATACTATCGTCAAAGCCGTCTCCTGGACCGCGCTCACGATCCTGGAAACCGTGGCTGTTCCCGAGGTTATTGGTGGAATAGCTGCTCGACTGCACGAGACAATCGAAAGGCTGGCCACGAACGCGAAGGTAAAGAACGATGAGCTGCTGCGACCGCATTTGTATGGCCATGCTATCACCTATAATTGCATACTTATACTTTCCATATGCAAAAATACCTGTTGGTAGGCGACCACTCTTATAGAGACGCAAGCCGTGCCAAGAGAAAGTGGGGCAAAATCTCACAATCATAGTTCATACTGAGCGTCAATAGAGGAGGCTTCCAGCTCAACACCTGTAGGCCAGCTAAGGCGGGCCTTTACATAACATTTAGCTCTACAAGCTTACCACCTGTGCAAACCTTTGACAATTGATCAGCCGAGTCAAGATCGCAGATTTTTGAGTCTACATGGACCTCTGCTAGTCCTACTCGACGGTACCCTGCTTTCCCATCTGTAAGTTCCTTTAGTGTTATGCTCCAGAGCTTGATTGAGTCATAGCCAGGCAAGTCCGACGGTCGCCAGGCAAGGAGCGCACATTGCACGTATTCCACGTCATTTTGATGGGTCAGGCCTTGTGCCCGGCCGTATGTGATATTATCGGGCAGAAATGTTAGAATCTGAGGCGAATCCGCCACCGTTGGTATCAAACAGAGTCTAGTAGACTTGTCCTGCGGTTGAGGGCCTACTGAGTACGTCCAGATGCGAGTCCGTATGGTCAAGCAGGCCCTAGCAACTTCGCCAAGCTTATTATAGCCAGCGGGATCTGTGGACGCTTCCAAGATTTCCAATTCCGGTACAAAAGACCATTGTTCACCTCGATCTAGTCCGATGAAATATATTGGTAATCGACATGCAATCCAAGACCAAGAGGGCAGAGGATTACTCACATCGTCGATGATTCGCCGGATTTGCTTTTTCCCATCGTATCGAACACGAGGGGTCCAGAGTAGATCTCTTGCTAATGTACTACGCCAAAGGCCGGCTAGATATTGGTCGCCAGTCATCTTCTGGTGCCGGTGCGCCAGGCCGGAAAGTGCGGGTAATATGTCGCTGTCACGACTTAGCTTTCGCTCGCTAAATTTTATTACGAGGCCGTTCCATGTCCCTGGCCCCCAATGTTCGACGTTGCTTGATATACTCCATACATTGCCTACGTTCAGAGGTATTGCAGAGTGCAGTGGTTTTTGTGAAAAGCTGAATGCTTCAAAATTGCACGTCATGTTGCACATGTAATACATTTGCCGACTTCCAAGAAAAAGTTTTCGCGGAGAGAGCACGTATTCCTGCAATGTCCATCCGCGCTGATCAAGAGGCGAATCAATCTCCCCTCGACTCCATGTCCATTCATGGTTTTCGTTCGAGCTGAGGGTGACCGTAACATGTGACCACTGAGCATGTCCAGGTTCCACTTGGAGCTCACAGCAGGGCCCATCCATCGGCATTCGCTCATGCAAAAATCCTGCATCTGCGTTACCTGCGGCTGGCCCGGCGATGGTAACAGAGGCATTCGCATAGATCTCGCTCATTATAGCACATTCTTTTTCCCAGTCGGATGAATCATCCTGGACAATGCAGAGGGAATCAATCCAGATATAACAAAATCCAAGTTCCCGAGTTACTAAAACCGCATCCTGAAACGTACGCGGCATCAATGTGATCTTTATAGCCTCCGAATGTGTATTATATGTCAAACAAGTGGTTGTCAGAGGTCGTGTGTCTCCCCAACAGTGGCTCAAGGCAACGTACGAAGTGTTATGTCCACGCGTCTCCACAAGCCTAGGATGTCTCGTTTCATACCCAACGTGGATCAACCTAGTGGGCATCACCAGATTCGCATTACCGACGCAGTTTTGGTGATAAAGTGTGCATGCCATCAGCCACTGTTTTGCACGCTCGAAATCAGGCCATAGCGCGACCAATCGGTAAGCAAGTGCATAGCCCCCAGGATTGGTAGAATGAATTGTCAAGCGGGCGAGATAGCCGCCAGTAAAGTCGTCCATCCGGAATGGTTCTATGTGCGGATGTTCCATGCCAGGTCGCTTGTATAGAATAGCAACACATATCCAGGAGTTCTCCAGACCCCGATGTGGCAGGTTCCACTGCAGCTGAAACTCAAAAGGATGCGATTCATCGGAATCGAGAGCATGGTGACCTGGCATTGTCCTCGTAGCCCATTTCTCACTACAGCCGCAATTCGACCCAGGGCATTGTAGCATAGTTTTCAAAAGCAGGGTACAGAGACCGCATTTGTGAGACGCAGCAATAGCAAGATCTGCAAAAGTTAAATGATGTGGAAAGCTCCTCAAAGGGAACGAGGTGTGCTCCAACTCTTTCTGTTCCACCAGTAAAAAATCGAGACCTTTTCCTTGAAATTCTCTGCATCGGCAGCAGAGCGTGTTGTGATTGTCTGCAGAGCGGTAGGCAGAAGCCATCACAATAACGACCACGTCTATTGAGGAGCATGTAGTGGCTCACGGCAGACTTCAGATACATGATCCGTAGGGGAGACTGTACAGTATATTCACTAATACTGTGATAGAGTCAGATGCGGACAATTGGCCCGAAGGATTTGGCGTAAACGCGGGCCAAGATGACGCAATGGCATTGTTCAAGCCGCCTTACTCCGGCCTATAAGCGGAAACGCTCGATGGACGAGTTGGTGGACTCGAAACATGAGCAACGCGGAGTAAGTCTTGTCCGCCAAATCGACTGCTCTACTACGCTGAATTACCATGGTGCTTCTGATAAGGGTAGCCGCGGGATGAGGACAGCACAGCAATCGCCGTTCGCAGAGCATGTATCCAGCAGCTGGGCTTTTCGACCCGAGTAGAAGCGAGGGCCTCCCATCTCGCTACTTCGATCAGTCGCCAGCGCACTCGTGATTGCACTCTGGGCATCCTGGGTCAGGCAGAACGGGATAGACAACTCAGAATAGAAGCCCCCCTTCCATCCCAACCCTTGACGGTGGAAGAGGAGCGTGTGAATAGCATTTTGAGACGGAGCAGGGATGAAGGTTATGAGTGTCTTGAAATCCCGAGGTCCTGGACGGATGGGAGGGATGGGAGGGTTTTGGAGGATCTGGTGAGGGAGGAGTATGTTAAGTTTTTCCCTGGGGTGGATTTTCCAAGGGAGGTGGAGTGGTTGGAGGTTAGGAGGATGTTTGGGGGTGGGTTGATGGCTGTGGGTATGGATTAAGGGGGTCTCTTGGTCCTTTTTCCCTTGTTTTCTGTAATGATTCATGCTGGATATGGGGAGGGGTGTTTATGATGTGTATGCGGACATGGCGTTGGAGGCAAGGGTTGCTTTCCTAGGCGTGCGGAGACTCCCGGGTACTGCAGGAAATGGTGTCTCGTAGATGTCCAAGATGCTTTCCAGTAGTGACATGCCCTCTTCCTCCATCAGCTCCTCATCAGCTAGCTCCTGATCGACGATATGCTCGAAGCTCGGTCGTGGAGATTGACTAGGATGCTCAAATCTTTGTTGCGGTGCTTGTCCAGGCTCGACGTACTCAGAACTCTTTCGTGGTGGTGAATGCAGGGCTTCGATGGCTGTAAAACAGCGTGGCGTCGGTGCTGTGGGCCCTTCTTCCGTCTCAGTCAATGGGACACGAACGAAGCGAATCCTCCTCTGCCACCATAGAATGACCACACCAACGCCAGCGAGGATGAACAGGCTCAGAAGCGCAGCAGCAGTTGTTCCAGAGGCTTGTGCTCTAGTCAGGTCGCTTAAAGCTGTATCAGCTAAAGTGGACCCGACAGGTGCTGGGGTTTGGGTCGCAAAGCTTGTTGTTGTAATAGTCATGTATAGGAGTGCTGTAGGCATAGTAGCCAGAGTTTTCGTAATAATGACCGTCGTAGGGGCAGACAACAAAGGTAAGGTACCCGTACGATTCTGGGTCAAGCATGCCAACGTGGCGCTGCTTACTTCACTGCTGTTCCAACTCTTGTGTCGGCTAGCCAATGGTTGTGGGCCCATAATTCGGTATATTCTTGGTTGGCAGTAATATAGAGCCGCATTCTACGCGACAGTAAAGATCCTTATAACCTGACGGCCGTGACGATCGTGCACACAGCATTCTTGGCCAGGCATTGCAGTCTGTCATCGCCACTCTCACAGTGCATTAGAGAAGCAAGACCGTGGCACAGCGGCGCGTAAACTTCTGAATACCACTTTCGGCACTAGCGGCTGCATCCCCACACGCTGGCTAGTCAACTTCAACTCATCTTCAGATCTCAGAAGGCGCAGTGGACACTATACCAGCCCGAAGCAGATCTAGCGCCGTCTGTATGCTAACCGCCTCCCTCTCGAGCGTGTAGAGGCGCTGCTCAAGCACTTGAATCTGTGGCAGAGTCACGACATTCACTACGGGTTCACACGTTTCAGCTTCGACCATGGCTTGTGGCTCGCTAATGATTGCCACGCCATAGACGAGCCCGGCCTTGATCTGAAGTTGTTGTGCTTGCCAAGCCCCAAATATGTGCGACATTTGGACGCCGTCGGCGCAATGAGACATAATGCGCTTTTCAGTGCTCCCGCGCCTGTCGGGCTGGTCTATTTTGAAAGTGACCAAGGCCGCCGGCGTTTGGAACAGCAGCATGCTAGCAAAGACATCGTCGATGCACATGCTGCGTATCTCTCGCAGGTCAAGCAAAGTATAGTGCTGGAGCCTCGGAAGAACAGGTGCTCATTCGCACAGTGGCTCCCTGTGTCCGCCTTTGGGCATCCTTCCAGATAAAGTCGCTGTCTCAAGGTCTTCGAGCTGTGTATGACAGCTCTCAGTGCTTAAGACGTTGCTGATAAGTGGATCAGGTCAATCATCGAAAGGTCGGGATCACCACGGACTGCTTCCCAGATTCTTGTATTGCACGTGAACATTAAATTGTCGTTGCCATATTAAGCAGGATAGACTGGGCACTCCAAGATCATAAGTTGAACATTCATGGCGGCACAATATTGGGGATAAAGTAATATAATCACTTGCTCTTCGACTCCTTCAGTAAAGCAATGAGCTCACGTTGCTGTTCCACATGCTCCTTCTGTTGAGCCAACTGCTGTTCCATATGCTCCTTCTGTTGAGTCATTTGTTGCTCCATCATTGTACGCTGGTTGTCCTGCTCTGTCTTCTGCTGGGCTAGTTGTCGCTCCATCATCGTGCGTTGAATGTCCTGCTCTGTCTTCTGCTGTACTAGCTGTCGCTCCATCATCGCTCGTTGTTTGTCTTGTTCTTGCCGTTGTGATATAGCTTCAACCTGCTGAATACGTACTGCCTCCAGAAGCTGCTCGCGAAGCCTTTCGTTCTCTTGCTGCAGCATTGCGGTGGACGAAAGCGAGGGCTTCTTGAACCTTGCATCTTCCTGCGATGAATTGCTGATAGTGGATTCCTGGGAGCCATCGACCAGATCCAGTTGAGATGTGAAGGACGCCACCGTGGAACTCCTAAGCTTGGATAGAACGCTTTTGATCCGAGCCAGGTGTTGAGGAAAGAAGACCTCGTAGATGGCACGGGTGATCTTGTATGCGCGTGATGATGTTTTTGATCGCAGGTCGGTGGCGATATCACTGAGATATAATTGATGGCGAAAGAAAGTAAGCTTGTCACCCTCAATTTTCGCAAAGTGACCAAAGACTTTGATCATGGAAGCGTCGTGCGCAATGGAGAAAACCAGGACTTTGCCATCCAGTTCATCTGCAGCAGAAATTTTCCGGTACAGCTGGATCAGAGCACGTACAGCAATACTAGCACTGTGCATAGCCTGCCGTTCTGCAGCGTCCACAGGTCTGTCACTGCCTTTGACTTCGCAGATTAAGAACGGATAGTACATGTTCTCGGGGAATGAGTTGGGACTCGCGCTTGTGTGGCTTAGTTGGAGTTTCTCCCTTTCTTCATTGGTGAAGGCGGAGCCTGCCACTCCTGCAACGAAATCCGGCTTTGGTCGCGGGCCGCACAGGGTGTCGCACTGAGTCCACTCGGCATTCAACGCCTCGCATATGTCGTTCAGTGAGGCGACGCCGTCGATATGGAGCAACTCAGCGGATGGAACAAGGACAGGCATGATGTCTCGGACCACACGAGCCTCATTTCGAAAGCGTATACGATCAAGAATCTTCGCAAGCCTCTGCGGCTCGAAGGTCGGTCCACTAGGATCGCTGTAATCTTTCCCGTAGAGTTCGTCGCACAACTTCTTGCTATCATCGGTGATCGAGGCGCGCTGTTGGTAATCTGTCATGAAAAGTCCAGCCTCTTGCATTTTCTCCTCGTGCTGCCGTGTCCAGGCCGCTGGAGCCTCGCCATCTCGAACGCTTTTACTGTAACTACTGGACGGAGTGCGGGATGGGGTTCGGTTTCTCTTTTTGGTCATTGATTCGTCCATAAGTGTGGTCGACGGCCACTGCGGAAAGTAATCCTCCCAGTGGACCGATGGACCGTATGATAGGGTATTCGCGGTCGAGCTTCCTGACGGAGTGGGTGTCTCTCGGACACGTCTGAGTTTGTGTGTCTTTTCCAAGCCTGACTCAAGATCTTCGTCGTCTCTTCCCTGAAGTTTTCGCTTATGACCGGCTGGTGGTCCTTCACTAGGAGGAGAGGGAAGACGGGGTTTGCATGCTTGTGCAAGCCTGGTGCTGTGCCGTGTTTCTTTGGTGGGAATCCGCTTGCACACTTTCGAACGACTCGGGCGCATACTGTATGGATCAAAAAGAGATTTCAGGGAACAAAGCTCTCCGGTGCTTCGTAGTTGAACAGCACCATTGTTGCGCGGCAGTATTGGTGGATGGAGATGCTGCAAGAAGTGGATGCAAGGATGGAAGGTGTTTCGGCAAGCGCCCAGACTTCCAGCGTATAAGCGGATGGTCACGTGTCTCTATTTCTATCTTCTGATTAATCCGGCGACTGATTCAAGACGACGGCGCAAAATTTACCGACGAACCTCTTCGAGCAGGTGGAGCAGCCGCTGCGCGCCAACTCAAACGAGCAATTCGGGAGTATCTTGCCAATGAGGACTGCTACGCTTCGATGCCGAAGGTGCTATAATCGTTAACATTTGGGCGCACCTCGAGGTCTGGCCTTCGCGTTACTGGAGAACGGGTCCATCGCCACGACGGATCAGCTACATCGCTTTCTCAAGGACTTGAACAAAAGCTGTGCGGAATTCAACTTCAAAAATGTCGGGCGGGGAAAAGAAAATGCCGACAGTAAGATGAGAAAGATGTTGGATTTTTTCCATCGCAATTTGCAGTGCGAGAGGCTCATATTCGCCGGCTGCCATGACACCTGCTACATTCATGATCTCCAGGAAAGCAGGAGATGGAAGATACGGGACAGCGCCTAGTGTTACTCCAAACCACGCCAGCCGAGCAACCTTTCCGCAACTTACGGTTGCCGATCATCCAGCTCGACTCAGTCTTCCGCAAGTCACCGTGGAACACTGACCGAAAGAACATCAAGGTCACGCCGGCTCATCAAGCAGATGTTGCCCAGCCCGCGAAGGCTAATGCATTTTTCGTCACAGGGTCCGCCAACAAAGCTAGAACGCATTTCGTCGCCGACAACAAAGGTTACGGAAGTCGTCACGAATCTCCGGTAATGGAGGAACAAGCATGACCTACGGCTCGGTAGGCACTAGTCAATCGCCTGGAAACATCAGCATCGTTCCGACAAACATCAAGGTTTCGAAAATCATCACCTGCAATGTAGATGATCATCGCCTGGATCCACCAAATGATCGATCATGGAGCCAGGTCTCCCAAGGTACTTACGCCTCAAAGCTGGAGCTAGTGAAGCCTAGGAATCTTTGCAACGAACACTACCTTTCAGGAGCCTGCTTAGGGCCTTCTTGTCAACACGAACACGATCAGGAGCTAAGTGTTGATGAAATCGCAATTCCTCGATATCGTGCACGTACAGCTCGTAGCTCGAGTGATCAATCTTGTCGTAACTATGATTGCTATCTCGGTCACCATTGCCCACATGGAGCCGCTTGTAACAAGGGTGCAAAGGTAAAATCGTCGCACCTTTTAAAGCAATTTGTATGTAAGCCTATGCTCGCAAACGGCGAGACGAGTCTTGCGGGTATGACCTGTACCGCATTGATGTTCGACATGGGGTACTGTAACTTGAGCCAGATTGATCATGTAGCTCTAACCAATGACGATATCGATTACAGGAAGCGATGACTCAGCAGTAAGCCGATATATGCGGCACGGCATATAGTACTCTGTCCTATACAATACAAATCGCGTTGTCCTTCAATTAGCAGCCTCTAAGGTGAGCTTGAGATTGCCAGGATGGCGTTATCTGGCAGTCTGTGTTTCTGCACCGATTGCGGAACTATCCTCGATCGACCAAGAACTGCCGAGCAGAAGAAAATTCTTTGCGACGTGTGCAACACGTCAAATGACAGTAATGGGCACTTCGAATCCTCATTCATCTCCCTACTTACACATCGCCAGATAATTGGCCACCCTCGCAGGTCACTCGATCTCAAGCCGACGCATTCCCATCCACCTTGAGACGTAGGCTGCAGACAACGATCCAGGAAGTGCCGCAAGGAATTGGTGGTGGCACAAGAATACAGGAGACCTGCCCAAGGTGCTTTAACGAGACCATGGAGTTCACCGAGGCTCAACTACGAAGCGCAGATGAAGGCACAACTATCTTCTTCCACTGCATGCAATGCGGACATCGATACAATACAAATAATTAGCCATGAGACGCAAGATCCTAGTAATCTTGGTAGCATGAGCCACGCGATGGATTTCTAGCGTAACATAATCACACGCGCATCAAACATCAACTGAAGAAAGGCAAGCCTTCTTTCAGTATTCAACATGCATATGAAATCCACAGAGGAAGACAGTCGTAGCTGCTAAGACGCCGTTTCACTTCACGGCTTGAATTCAGCCATACATACACGTCGAACTGAGTAACTGATTACAATGCATGTCCATGCGGAAGAACTGCTGGAAAGCAGCGGTACATACGAGTCTAGAAGTGGAGATGAGCTCATACACTTTCGGAATCATGTAGGCTTTACATAGTTCATGGCCAGGGAAGCAACGACAGCCACCACCTGGCCGCTCAAAAGCCATGAGTAATGTACGATGGATGTGGCTTCAGCCCTTGAAAGCCGAAACCCTTATCGAAGTGTCATTTCGATGGCAGTGTAAGGTGTACGCAGTGTCGCCATCATTGTCATAATATTGATATGCCCGGGTTTCGCAATCTGAAACGGTTGGGCGGAGGGAGAGGAGCTCTATAGTAATTACACATCGTCTTGTATCAACGTTACGCAGTTTTCTGCTTCTGAGGACTCGTCATTCTGCCATAACAACGAGAAGGTCTGGATATGCACTTGCGATTTGGTCGGTCAGAGTCCTGTCGTCTGTTACACCAACAGGTGTCCTCCTATACAACACCAAAATGTCTAATTCTCGGTCTTGAGGCTGATATGCCGACGTGGAGCATCACTTTTTCCCTTGCTGCCTACAATTCCCACATTTTCCAGTAACCACAATTGTTTTGTCTGTCTCGTGATGCTTCCCTGTTGTTCCGTATGCCCCACACAGAAGCGCCTTGCCTCTGACAGTGTGACCACAGCCGTTTGAGGTCGTGTGTGCTAAGTATTCGATGCCGCACATGTTGATTCTTGGACGGGGGTTGATCTTTTGAATATGCTGTCAACTTGGTTAGCCCTTGCAATTAATAGCCTGTGGTCCTGTAAACACACATATCGGGGCAGAAGGCTGATCGATTGACAAATCCCTGTCGAATGGTGTATGGAGTGCGTTGGTATGATGCGTTGAATCCACTCATATATGTTCGCACCACAACCACTCAACAGTGCAAGAGATCGTCTGGATTGGTGCGATGACTGGGGCCAAGAAGTGACTTTCTTGGAGAGAGGACGGTTGCGTCGCCTAGCTCGTGCCGTTGGGTTGGGCATTGGCCGGCTGAGAATGCATATGGTCGTTCTAGTAAACAACTTTGATTGACCTACTATCCAGCCCGCTTCCCTCGATCTCCACAGCTCATGTATGGTAACCGAAAATGGGGGCGTGCACGCGCACGACTCTGGCTTAAAAATCTTACAAATGCAAGTATCTCTCATTGTTGTTGCCTTGAAAGCTGCGATCAGCGTATCAAACGGACCGAGAACGACTCGCAACAAATTCTTATGTGTACTCATCGAGTCGACCGAATCCAGATCGTCGAGCGAATGCTTTTATAAAGAACAATTTTAGATGCGGTGATACGACCTAACGTGGTCGAGTCAATGCAGCACGATTATCTGGTCGAACCACATGACTCTGCGGGCAATCAACCTTTGGTGTGACATACGGAGTGGCCGGATCCCACTACCGGGAGAACCAGATCACATGAAAATACGAATAACCCCATGAACGTGTATCTAGAGATGCAGAGCCGAGCCTACACGTCGTACAGAAACTCCTTTCGCGGCCACAGCCTATGCTGGTGTTTCGAAGCTGCTGAGACTATTATGAGCCCCTAAACATTCAATACTGGTAGTTGACCCGTGGTCAGCGAGCCGCACATAATCAGGATTGAAAGCGCATGAACAGAAGTCAATGAAGCAATCTACACTTATTTACATGTATGCAGACGTGAGGACAAGCTCTCATCTTACCCTCGGTTCCTGCTGAGGTCAGATTTCGTCCACTTCTTGTCGCAAAGCATATCGTAACAAGAGGAGCCCATCAAGAGTCTTCATGTCTGCCCAGAAGGAGATCCACATTGCAACCTCCGCTCTCGTTGTCGAACTTGCTACTCTGCTTCGAATAATGTACCAAAGGATCGACGGATTACTTTCATAGAATTTTTGGCATATTTCCACTGCTTGTCAGCCCTCCTCCTGTGCGACATATATCGAATGATGGACCAGCAGTATCGAAACCTTCCCGAACGTCAAAACTTCCTTAGTAGCTTTCCATAGAGTGCAAGATCCTCCGGGAAGCTGGACTCGAATCTTGAGAGGGACGCTTTATCGTGGGTGCCGCATCATCTGCTCGAAGTTGTTCTCCTTCACTGGATTGAAGAGACGGTCATTTTTTTATTATGTGTTCCTTGTGTTTAGAACACCTTCCCTTGCATTTCGTCGTATAGCTGATGTCGGTACAACCCCCTGTATTCACAAACACGCATAGCAATCGTTTTCCGTTGATCTTACATCCACAGCCAGCCGACGTGGTGTAAGCAAGAATCTCGTGGCCGCACATCGTCGGTGATGGTCGACAAGGACGGGAAGGACTATGATCATGTGAATGTTCCTCCGCACACCTCAGCGCTTCTATATTGTGAAAAGAACGAAAGCTATGTGTAAAGATTGAAACGTGTATGTGTTGCAATCATAAAGAGCTGTGCGCGCGGCGCTCGTGCTTATTGCACGAGCTAAGCTAAGCGAGATCCAAGGTGAATGGGAACACGTCCCGTACCTAGTTCTTACATCTTGCATACCAAAAGCTGCAAGCTACTCGTGCACCCGATTCCGCCTCTGACGACAAGCCGAGCCGTTTCCAGCGAGACCTTTCCATAAGACGATCTAGTGACATGCAGGTACGTGTGCGAATGCGGATCTCAGCACTCTTTCGGGTGGCACAGCTTTGCCACCGTCGGTATCTCGAAGGACCGGCCCATGTGCTCCCTTTCCAGAGTCATAATTCGAGACATCACCAAGATCGATGCATTCTCTGGTAGTAAAGATGAATATATCGCATACTTAGAATATCACCTCGATACATTGAGACAACACCAACCTGTGTTCAGCGTCAGCAGCAATACCGTCGTCCAGAGAAACCTCTTCCTCAGTGTCAGTCCTCGATATCTGAGACTGCCTGGCGCCCCTCACATTCGCAGAGCTTGTCTGAAGTCATGCAGCCTCCAGTTCATTCAGTCAGACGTCGCGGCAATGCCAGCAATCACACACGACTTCGATACAGGCCATTTGAGATCATCGAATGGCAACCTGATGCTTCACCGCCGAAGAGTATGTGCAAAGGACGAAAAGCCTACCCATCAACGCCTGACCCGACAGCGTTTGTTCCAAGGATCAAATTGCTCTCGAGCCCAAGCATTGCTAGAAACATGCGATTGTGCGCGAGCTCCTTTTCCATACCAGTAGAATGATATGGAGTCTCGACTGCTTTTGTGAGCTCCCATTGCCACTTCAGCTTTCGGATATCATGCAACACATTCCGATCCGTTGGAAGCATTATCCAAGAAGTCAGATTTGCCGTTTCCTGGCTGAGTAGGACCGAGCTTCTCGAAAAATTCTATTGCTTTGTAGAGAAATGGAACTTCTCGCTCGATTAACTGCTTTGCTCGCTCGTGGGTTTGTAGTGGTATAATTGTCGTAGCTGCTTGTAGTGACAACCTCGCAATAGTTTGGAGGATCGACTTGAGACCACGGTTGTAGCGAATCAAAAGGCCGAAGTGTGATGCCTGGAGATCATCAGGATGGTATTCGCGTCCATGAGATCGTGAACCGGCTTACAAGCTGGGTTTGCGCATGTTCTAGGTTATTCAAGCGTGCTTCCAGAGCATCTATTCGAGCCAGAGTAACTTGACTTTCGACGAAGTTCGAATTCTCCAGCAATCAGCTGAATTCGTTAATTGATGACTGAAATGGTTCGACTTACAAGATCCTCGAAGAACTGTGGAACGAAAGTGGCTCCAAGCTGTGAAGCTGTCATGTTTGATATTTTGATTGTTCTACTCGCAAAGAACGAGGGATCAGCTGGACAGATATCTGTGTGCTCAACATACAAGCACACCCGGGCGATGATCAACAAGCCTGACCCCTAAGACCTGCCGCCCCTGAGTCCCGGTCCATCTCTAGGGTAAGCGGCATCAGACCTTGGAGCACTTTAGCCCGCATGGCGTTCGTGGCTTGAGTGAAATAGTCTCTCAATATCTTGCAACGTCGGGGTAAAGCATGCCTGATCCAGATTACAAAAGTGATTACTGCAGGCCATTGATCTTATACGAAACTTCTTGACTGGAAGACTGACAGGAAGGATGCCACCCAGCATGACCCCTTCGCTGACACATCGCGATGGTTGAGCCTGCCTACGCCTGCGCTTCCATTAAACGTATCAATAAAGACACGATCGTTGAGGCAGGGTACGTTCACATCTTGAGCTCCGTACCTTGATTTAAGTAACATCGTGGATACTTGTTCTCACTAGAATGGCCACCCGCCATATTCTGGGCTGATAATTTTCGAGCACCACATCGCTTCGACAATTCATTCGCATTCTTAGCTTTAGTAAAAGAACAGATATTGCTGAATAAGTCGGCGGGCACGAGCTAACCTTGGTGGACCGTTGGGTAATACAAGTCCTAGCCTCGAGCCCTTCCGATGTGCTTTGTGCCATAGAAATCTTTCACAATGATGCTTGTGCCTCAAGTTCTCCGCCATCACTCTCCGACGACCAAGTGGCGTGACAGTGGGAGTTGCATCAATGGGAAGCCACGTGGGATCTCGATGTTGATAGGCGCACCGAGTGCAGCAGGACCTGTTGCTTGTCCTTCGTTGTTTGATTTTTGACCAACCGCTTTCACGAGCGCCAGAAAGGCTACGTAGCTATCTTCAACATCACAGAACATGTTCATGAGCTCAAAAGCAACGAGCAGGCTACTATGGTCAGCGCCCAATATACCGAGTCGATATGATGTATCAAAAGAGCACATACATATGAACACCATTCCCCGTGACGCCGTCTAACCAGAGGGTGGTCTGAGTACAGCCCTTTGCGATCAGAGCTCGAAATACGTCCTGGACTGTAACACGGCCGCGAGTTCTCAAAAGTCGTCCGACTGTGATTTCGAGAGCTCCATGGCGGAAGTCGACACGTGCCCGGAACGGTGCATCGACCTCTGATGGGACCTGCCGGTAGCTGACAACGACGTTGTCACAATCGAGGTTCAGCTGCCAGATGTCTTCCGGGCTGCAACTCTCGGCGAGTGATATTGTGATGCTCGTGACCTCATAGTCCCATGGCGGCCATTGAAATCCCGGAAATTGAAGGTCGAGCGGCACCAGAAACGGATCGAGCGACGAGCGTGATACCAACCCGCGAGTTGTACAAGTGCGGTCTCCGTTACGGCACAGATCGCAGGTCTCTTCTTCGGTCCTCCTTACGCACGCCAAGAATCGGTCCTGGCAATGATCGCATTTTTGATGATTGAAGGACTAGATAACGGGGAGGTTCGCCATGAGCTGCCGTGGTCTGGGAAGAGATGGGCAAATAGATAACGTTGCTGTAGTTGTTGAGCCGGGGGATTCTGGAACAAGTGGTTTCGGGACTATGATATAGCATTCTTTGGCGGAGATTGCATGCACGTAGCACCTTGAAGAGTAAGTGGAGCCCAGATAGTCCGAAGGCAGCGGGTCCATAACCAGATTGCAGCCGAGATGGCGTGTCGTAATGCCTGGTAATCAGTGCCGCCGTAACGAAAGCACAGTCGGCATCCATGATCTCTTCAGTGTGTTTCGACGCTGATCATCTGATCGGTCTTCATCGGTCGTCACGAATACCAACGGTGTAGCAAGAAAAGAAACCTAGAAAGCAGCAATACCAAGTCATTGATCATTCGAACAACAGGATCTCCTCATCTTCTCCCGCTCCCCATCCCTCCTCGGCTTCCGGCTCCCACAAAAACGATGTCGGCTCGTCCATGTATTGCCCGGAAACGAACTGCAAATACTCGACGAACGGCTGCACCAACCACAAATAATACGCCACCAACTCGGCCACCTCATCCGGCACGAACCGATGGATGACCTTGAACCGGCCACTCGCACTGTACCCTTTGTGATACGTGATCACGAACGCCATCATCTGGTTCTCGATGAATATCCCTCGCTGGGCCTGGGCTTCCGCGGCGTTCTTGTGCTGGATGCTTAACAACTCCGTCGCTCGCGCGGGTGCCCCGGCCGACAAATGCACCAACACCACCAACTGCTCTTTCCACCGACGGACGGCGCGTAAATACTGCTCGATGCCGGGATGGTCCCATTACACATCGTCAAACCCTCGCACCTCCTCGCGGCAATGGTGGATGAACCTCTTCTGCTCCTCCCGCTCCGCGAACATCCGGTTCAACATCCAATCCCGACCATCGACCGCCCATTCGGTCCGGGCATCCTGTGAACAACTCCAACCGGCACTCAACTCGGCGGGGTTATCAAACAATTTCGCCATGCTGATGGCGGGTAACCCGGCGGGCTTCCAATCGGAACTGCTGCTCGCCTCCATCAACAACAAATGCCCTGCCAACCCTTGCTGGACGGTCTCGACTAACCCATGCACGACGCAACGGATATCATCGATTGCAAAACTAACATTGTCAATGCACAACTGCTCGCCCTGCCACGATACTCGACCCTCTGCTTTGGTCGTGAATCGAATGTGTAACCCTTACGTCCGCTGGTGATACAACCGGTCCATTGGGCTGATCCTCCCACCGAACTCCCGCATGGTCATGAATCGCTTGGTCAACTGGTCCACCCCACTGACTACCGATGGCGCCTTCCGCTGTGCATCTTCCTCGCTCTCGCCGTCGTCGATGGCCCGCCGAATGGCCTGCTGTCGATTCAACCATGCCCGATGGACCACCACGGCTCGCATGGTGGTGATGACGGCCGACAATGTTGGGGTATAATTCAACGCGGCCTTCCAATTGCCCTGCTCGTCCAACCCTAACACGGTCAATGCGCTGATGACGCCGCTGTCGAACTCGTCGTCCTGCAATTCGTGGTCGAACATCCGGATCCAAAACACAATGCTCGCCTTCTCTGCTGCCGTCTGTCGCTCGACGGCCTCGGCTCGGCTCTCACCCTCGTCTTTCTGACATGCCCGATACAACCGCTGCAACGCCACGCGCTGGGCGTCGGTCAATCGATATCGGCGCATGTTATCTTGGTCGGCGGTACGCCAAATGTACCGTAACATCCGGACCCATAACTCCATGTACTTCCGCAACGACTGCACCTTCAACTGCCCATAAAACGGCTTCTCGTTGTTCCCCAACCCCAATTCTCTTCGGTTGACCGCCTCCAATGCCACCCGCCCGACATGCTCCACGGTACTGGTCTGGAATGCGTACCGGATCATCCGCCTCGTGGCTTGACATGCTCGTGCTAATGCGGCCTCGGAACGCTTGGGGTATGCGTCGTCCTGGGACTCGTGGATGCTCTCGTCGAATTGGACCTCCTCTCTCGCTGGCCATGTGGTCCGGATCAACTTCTCGACCAGGAACCCGGCTAAATGACGACGCCATCCGACGAAATCCAACCACGGGTTCGCTATACATCGATGCGAATGGCTCTGGATGCGACGCTGGTTATGCTTGGCTGCTCGGGCGACCTTCACACTACTGGACACCCTCTTTGCGATCTCGATGCCGGCTTGCCGACTGACTGGTGTGGTGGGGACATGGTCAATTCGAACGGCGAACAATCGCCGCCATTGACCGTACTCGAAAAATCGCTGACATGAAATACTATCGTTCCAAATACCATTCCGACTATGCTTCTGCTTCTTCTTTGCCCGGCCTCCTCTTCGCTGATGGTTGACCCATTGGTGCTGTACCTTGCAATGCTCCTGCATCTTCTCGATATGGCGACAAACATAACTAAACTCGCGACACTGCAAACCGTTGTGATATATGGGCAATGCTGCAATGGGCACCTCGTCTGCGGACGGATACGTTACGTCCTGATGTGTTTGCGCGACATCCGGCAATGCCTGTGTGGACTGAACGATGGCTATCCGCTGCTGCTTCGAAATGAACGGGTGGTGGTCTTTTATATGTCGGTTCACCTGCTACGGTACTACGGCATATTCGCATTGCTGGCAAATAATAATACCAAAATCGGGTCGGTGCACGAACACATCCTGCCATTGCACCATCTTGCTATATACTCCACTGTAACATCTACGGATGGGGGATATGCCTATGGTGGATCGTGGAGGGCGCCCTGCGGTCGCGGCCGCGGGATGTTCGTGTACCCTCGCGTCCGACCGCTGCCCGCTTCCAACCCTACTTCGACATCACACACCACTTTTTGACGACCGCGCAACATCATGATCGCGATGGAATTTCGCCCCGCTGACGATGGGGTGTATCGATGAAAAAAATCAACAAGTAACATATTTTTCTGGCGAGAGTATTGGACTACGGGAAGGTCAAACAACTTGCCGTTTCTAAAGCAAACAACTTGCCGTAAAATGCACCCTAACCCTAATTTCTACGCCCGATCTGATTGGTCCGTTCAAACAACTTGCCGCAAGTTGTTTGTAGATTTACTGGTAGTAATCCGCTTCAATCGCCCCACTCTTAATAAGATCTGCCCAGATTTTAGTGAGTGAAACAGTTGCTGAAATTCGATGGCGCTCGCGGATAAACGGTACGTGCCTCTCGCTATACGTGCCTCCTGTAGATGCCGTAGAAGAACGCGAGCGAGGATATATTCATCGATCATCGTTGACCTCTACTAGGTCCCGTTTGCATGCGCTCACCTACCTTGATATGGGCAAGGCCAACTGCGGAGAGGAGTATCGTCAGACTCAATAACCGAGCTTCTTACTACCAATTTTACCGCACATGCCCGAAGCCAACGTCTCGAGCCTCCGTCTTCCTTGCCCTGCACCGCCTTCCGCTCAGCCGACAGCAGCTTCAGCACAGCCAGCTGAAGTTTTTTCTCGAGCGACGACCGGGCTCTACGCCTCGCATCAGCCGAGACAGCCGCCACAGCTACCCTCTATTCATGAGCTGATTACTCTGAATGGACAGGCATCACACTGTAGGAATATAAGCCTGCCGTCGCTTTCAGCAGATACAGCCCTCTACCAGTATGCGCATACCGCTAGCGGTCCGACAGCTCCACCATGTCATGAAACGCAGTGGAACAGTCTGGGCCCAGTGTTTTTGCCTCCCGTTCACAGGGTCAACGAAACACTACCACCGTACTTGCATCCTCCCTTGCGACACGAACAGACACCGCAGGTATGTATACATTCTGCCGGATCTACTCGAGAGTTATGATCGCCTCCTTCATATCTGGGTGGAATTATTTTGTGAGCGCACGAAAGCCCGGAGAGCTCCCCTCCCCGTCCCAGCCCGTACCCTTTTGTTAGCTAACAGTGGGTCCTTCCTAGTCTATCCTTTTGTCCCAACAGTCGCGAAGTAGATACGCAGCAAGTTTCTTCAACTCTGAAGAGTACCGCTCTTGGGGACCTCCAAGACCAACAAGCCTTTCGCACCGATTGAATGCTCATTCGGCAGGAGAGGCTGAGTTGACAGCTGTGGAGAAGCAGTGCAAGCAGCACACCTAGTCCGATGAGTGAACGCATCATAGCAATGACTACGCCGACTTCGATGGCATCTGAGGGAGTCGAAAGCGCAGCAAGAAGCGGTGAATAGACAAATGGAAAGCATCTGGTATGGGAGCGCTCCTTGAGAAGGAACGTGCCGCTGGTAAAAGATCCAGGTCGGACAAGCGAAACTCATGGATCAGTGCTGCAAGTGCTACCGCGTTTTCCCGGCATACAGCCGTCTTCTAGGTCGGCAGCGACAAACGAGGACATGATGATTTGCAAGCGAGAAATGCCGCTGATGGCAGCAGCCTTGGCCTTCCGGGTCGTCCACAGAACTGGGGTCAAACAAAGGCCATGAGTTCCCTGCTGTCATCACTGTCGGCTCTCAGACAATCACAGCACAGCCGGGCAATAGCGTCGTGGCGGGCACGAAGACTTTGTTTGTCCGTGGCGTATACAGCTCTACGTGGTTTTCAATGACGCTCACCAATACATCCCGCCGGATCAGCCCGATCACAGAGCTAAGCAAGAATGAGTATCGTAAGGCTGGTAGGTGGCAAACGGGCCAGACACTGTGCGGAGCTTAGATAGCCGGCAGGCCTTGAGCAATTACCACACTAGTGAGGCAATCGTCCTCTGATCATTAGTTGCCACTGCCCGAATCAACTCATCGTGTACCGTGCCGTGTGTCCCGACCCTGGGCCGCCTGATCCGTACGAGATCCTGACACGGTACTCTCGGCCACCACGGGGCTTCATGGATTCCGCTCACCCTGCACTCGACCGAGTGATAAAAGCGACGAATGTAAAGAAGCTCTCAGCCAAAGACCCATGGCCGCCGTGCAAGAAGGAATCGCCCATGCCGCCTCTGCCGTTCTTCAAGAGTCGCATGAAGGCCAAGCTTGCGAACTCAGATCGCTGGACCCATGGATGAGATGTTTTTAAAATTGCGATTGCTGTGTATCGTGTCGAAGGGTCAACGTCGCTGTATCGGTGGGCTGCGGCGATACGCCGTCACTTTCTTCCCAGAACGGAATAAATGGTGATAATCTTTGACGCCCCGCGCTAACCTAAAGGGCTCTATCCATGGTGCACTGCTATATTCCATCCTTGAACTCTTACAAGCCCATCATAAAGGGCTGGTGGTGTCTAGGATGTTGTTTATCCAGACAATCAGATTGCAGCTAGAGTTACGCGCGTTCGTGCAACGCGCCGCGTTCCCAAGCGTCAATATCGGCTCGAGCGGGTCCATACGATGGGAACGCTCTCGAGACGCTTCTGGTAGAAGTAGAAAGCAATATCATGGTACGTGACGTGTAGGCCGCGGTTGCGAGCGCAATGAGGAATCCACCGGCCAATCAGAACAAGTCTATGCAGCTCAACATGGGCGAAGGAAAGTTATCGATTATTGCTCCAATCGTCGCCACACCTCTCGCGGACGGGTTGCGATTGGTCCGTATCATCGTCGCGAAGCCTCAGTCCAAGCAAATGGCCCAGATGCTCATATCGAAGTTGGGCAGAATGCTGGATCGACCAATCTATTACATGCCTTTCTCCCGCAAGGTCCAGCTCGATAGAGCCGACTCGGCGTGCTCTCAAGATCTTTCGGGAGTGTATGACCCGCGGAGGCATCTTGCTACCAGCCTGAACACATTTTGTGGTTCCATCTGATGTGCATTGAGCGACACATCTCGGTACAGGCGGACGTTGGCAATTCTTAGCGTCAGGTGCCGTGTTTCAGTTTCATACACAGGTGTCTTCTCCACGACGATGTTGACGGCACGAGCACAGCTCAACAGGTGGCTTGGGGACCTTGGCAACACGTGACAGAAGTTTGTTGGCGAATGCAAGGGTCGCCGGGGGGGGGGGGGGGGGGAACACCGAATAAGGCAATCAAAACGACAGTTCATCACCTAAACGTGAGGCTCTATTATCCAGCTCACTGAATCGTCCAAATTCACCGTCTGCGGTCTCGATATCTACATCACCGTCGCGCTCAACCTCATCTTGCCACTTCCGGATAAGCCGAATATTCCAGTAAGTGAATACAAGCTTGTTAATGACGCTCTGCGAGAGCCTGTTGCGCTTGAGGTTTTGTAAAAAGCCATCGGTAGTTGGTGTGGTAGCAAGTGAGAGGATGCACAGCTTAGGGCTGGTCTGTTGGTGGCCGAATTGGCTTGTCATCAGGCAATCGGATCCATGTATTGCCAGGTTTGCCAGCTCATATCGTCGGTATTCTCAGCGTTGACGTTGCGGAGCTTCAGATTATAATCTGCATATAGCTGAGCAGCGAATTGATAATTCCCTTGGCAAGACTCGATGAGGTATGGCTGTAGGAGGTTCATCTGTTGATTGGTGACTGGGATCTCAGGCCGCTTAGCCCGCTCCTTGATATGAAGCAGGCAACAGTCATGAGGGACTATACCCGTGCGTCGAAGTCGCTCGTAGAAAGTTTGCCGACTCGCCGGCTTTTGAAAGTGAATGCTCTGCTCCGCTGACTATGGTGTGTCGAGTCCTTAGGAGTGTTCGGCCGTGATTCGGACGTCCACTGGACCTGTAATCCCTATTCGTATAGCTTCAGATGCTCCTTTACCGTGGCGAAAGCCACAAGCTCAGCCCGCAGCTCGCTGCCATGTGTTCGCGGAGTCTGCGCAGCCAAGATTTCATCATGGCCTTTGTAGATTCAATAGTCCCGCGGCATCGTGAGTAGCCGACAAGCTGATGAAGCGGCGCTGTCAGCCGAGGGAAGATGGCGAGCGGAAGGAGGTCCTGAATAGTCAATATTTGGTATGGCGCCGCCAGCGAAGACGTTCCCGCCAATGAGAAAGCGGACCTGCTCCACCGAGTGACCGGGCAATTTCAGACAGAGCACACGCAGGTCTCCAACCCACAAACAGTCTCCGTCATTGTACTCGCCGTCGAAGGCTCCAGTGAAGCCAGGCTCTCGCATAATATACTTGCGCTCCATGAGTCGACGTATGCTTGCAGCACTCTTGCCGATGCTGATTCGGGGGTCTTGACCAGCATCCCGAAGCTGTGTGCGGAGGTACCATGCTGCTGATGGTTGATCAGGATGGATGTGAGTCTCGACGATGCGCTCGACTAGGTAGCCGTTCTGCAGCACGACGGCCATGACGTTGTCAGCACCCAGAGTGCCCAACCCGTCGCCAAGCTTAGTCTTGTCGAGGACCGGGTCGATAATGAGTGCCTTCTTTGTCACGGTGCATGCAACGATGTATTGCCATCTCCCTGTCGAGGGTTCGAATATGCCGTAGACTTCTGGCTCCGAAGGACCGGCGATGGAGTCGAGCTTCGAGACAAGATTCTTGCTAAAGTCGGCTGAGCTCAGGGGTAAGTCCTCTTTGCCCATTGTGAGCAAGGGCAGTTGTGGTATGCTAGCGACGAGCATTCGAGATTTAATGCAAAATTGCGGTTCAAGTTGACTAGGTCGAGATAGATTGCAGAAAACGCTCGAGTTGCGTCGGGAAGGATCATGTTACCGCTCCATGGGCTTCGGTGACCTATTCGGGGATCCAGAGTGCGAGATCCTCGAGTTGGTGGCGTTCACATACGGAAAGGGTAGGTCGGCGACCGATTGGGGAGCTGTTGTCCCGCCTCCCAGCTTTCCACAGTAGCGTGCTTTCGCGTACCGCAGTGGACGACGGAACATTCGGAGAGTCATCCGCTTTCTGGCACATCGGCTACATCGATACTGACGAATGCACTATCACATCCATACCAGTGGATGCTACCGCGGTGGCCAGAGTGTAAATGAAGCACTACTCATCCTCATTGACGAGGCTTAGCAGTCCGCTAACGTCATCACTCGAGAAGCCATCAATCCAAGCAATTCGTCGAAGGGCATTGACGAGCTCACTGGTCGACCTGATGTGAAGTGTCTGTAGCATCCGGACTATGGTCACCCGTCACGAGTCGCTGCCGTCGGAGTCATTACCGAGCTATGCCCGTACGCCAATTTAAACCCATCTATTATGTAACTCAACTTCACTACGGTCAATTCCCGATCACGGCAGGCGCGGAGGAGCTCGCAAGTGCTACGCGCAGCTGCACGCAGAGTGGGAATGCGGCCGCGCCGACTGGCGTCATGGAGGTGTACAAGGTGCTGGTTGTCCCGGCTGCGACGGCTATGGTAGCTGCGGGTGCGTTGTTTTGAGATAGGCTGGTTTAGTAGTAGATAGGCGACGTGGATGTAGTGTGCAGGGCTGGATTGCACTGTCGTGACCATTCTCTATGTGCTGAATCCCTTCTGTCAACCACTGCCAGTCGCCCTATCCTCGCTGGACGGCGCTTCGATATCAGCGGCGGCAGCAGCAGCATCCTTTGCCTGCCTTGCCCGCTCCTTGCCGCTATGATGCACAATGTCGAATGCAGCTCTAGAGCCGTTCTTGACTACATATTCCGCGCCCATGGAGCTTTTCTGGACTTGCAAAGTCGTCGTCTCCAAGCTGTATATACTCTGACTGGACAACGGCTAGGGCCCAAAGGGCATGTTGAGATTGCACCCAATGGCAGTGTCGTTCGTGCTCGAGAGCAACACTCCTATGAGTTTCGGTCGCGTTGGGCGTCTCAAGCTGCATTTCAGCTTGCAAGGAGTTATTAATTGATGCCATCCCGAAATCATTTCGATGTGCGCATAGAGACTAGTGCTACGATCATGCTGAATACAGCGGGGCCAGAGGGATTATCGGAACTCCGGCTGCGCCTCATTTTAAGGATCACGGCGATCATTCTGTTGCTGCAGCACTATACCAGCAAATCCGCATCTCGGTGCTGTGATGCAAGAGATTAGCAAAAAGAAAACACTCCATGAAGCCCGCCTGCTTTTGCTCCACCGAGTCTGTAGGTGGTCATCCATTATCATCGCCAGACAGCACTGTTACTCGGAAGAAGCGATCGAAGTGCGGGGTCCATGGAAAAGCCCAACACGTATCACCGAGCCTTACGGTATATAAGTCCGTCTGACGCTCGCTAGAGTCTCTCAGGTACCGCCCGATTATGCTGTTTTCACACTTTGGTTTACTCTGCGCCAGCGTCTTTGTCTCTGGGAGCTCGGACAGCAATGATACAGCCACACTGATCTACCAGTATGACCCGATCACCTGGGTCGAGAACCTTGCTGTCCGACCCAACGGTAGCATCCTTCCGATCACGACCACATCACCGCGATTGAACCAGCTGGATCCCCGGGCAGGCACATTGCAATTAGTCCACGACTTCTCTGACCATGGCAACGCAATACAAGGTATTACGGCCGTGGGGCACGACAGCTACGCAGTCGATGTCTTGACTTGCAATATCACCGCCCTGACTTGTACTTCTGGTAGCGTCACGACGTGGCTTGTCAGCTTCAGCATTCACCAGCATGGCAGCGCGGACCACACCGTCACCATCACAGAAGTCACTCAGTTCCTTCAGGCAGGCTTCCTGAATGGCATAGCGGCGCTGAATTCCGAGACACTGCTGCTCGCAGATAGCTTTCTCGGTGGCATCTGGTCCCTTGCAATAGCCACTGGAGTTAGATCATTCCTGTTCACCGACTCGAGCATGGCACCGACTGCCGAGATTGGCACTGGCATTAATGGCTTGCGCGTGCGCCCGGGTTTACTTTACTACACCACCTCCGCCCAAGGGACCTTTAACGTCCTGCCCATCGATCCCAGCACCGGTAATAAGACTGGAGAGGCGATTGTCCTCGCATCCGGCCTCGCTGGTCCGGATGACTTTGAGATTAATGATGATACTGGCGAAGCGTATGTGTGTAATGGTGCTTTAAACCAGATACTTCGTATCCCGATCGACGAGCGCAACGTCACGGCGAGCGAGCTTGATGTACTTGCTGAGGTGCCCGGCCCTACATCTGTCAGATGGGGTAGCGAATACTTGGCGCATGGCGGAGAGCGATTACGTCAGAAGCTGGTGTACGTCAGCACTGTGGGCGGATTGGCGCAATACACTACGCAGAATGTCACCTTCGGAGGTGCAGTGTATAGCATAGCACCCTGAGATTGACGATACCACAGCAGTGAAGGACCCAGCAGCGTGAAGAGGTCACATAAGATTCTTGAAGTTATGTGGCTGCGCCGCTGCATATTCTTGCGCAGTGCTCGGTCTTTCGTCTAGAATCATGCTGTGTTTTGCCTCTCCTTCTCCGTTCAGTCGGGTCGAAGCCATTTTGAAACATGCTTGTGGCCTACGTAGGCTCGACCGAGGTAGCCTATACGATTCAAGATGACCTGCAACCTTCTGAACCGCCCGCACAAATGCGAAAGGATTCCTGATACCGACCGCAGCATGAGCGATTCGGCGTTGAAGGATGCTACGCCAAGACTAATTTTGCGAGCACGCCTCTGTAATTGTGGGCCATCCACTTCTCCTTGCCGTCCAATTCGGTGAAGTCGAACGTGCGAATGAGGTGACGGTAGTATTTGGTCTCAGGACCATCCATCTCTGCATAACGGCCGTACAATCTGACACTTCGATGATCATGCGAGACGGAGAAGGCGAGGGTGTCCCGGTGGAGTTCCGTCTCGCGCTTCACCGTCTGAAAGAGCTCCACGACAGCTCTCGCCCCGACGGCCGCACTGTGGGCGTTCTGCCGGTCAGCAATGTCAAGCGCGGCCGCGCCGCATTTGACTTCGCAGGTCAAGACGGGAAAGTACATGTACCAGTTGGCCATAGAGTAGGACTGTTCCAAGATGCTCCCGGTAACAGGCTGCATACGGTCGAGCTGAATTTGCGTGAAGGCCTTCCGGCGGAAACCGACTGCGGAGTCCGGCTGTGGTCTCGTCTCGGTGACCGAGATGCATTTGCTCCAGCCTTCATTCACGGTCTCCACCAGACATTGAAGAGCGGGAGCACGAAGAGCCAAAACCTGAGCTGATGGAACGATTAGTCGTGTGATGTCTTGGATGATCTTAGCTTCATTCCTGTCTTCCACCATCTTGCACGTTTCATCGAGTATGTCGTCATCGAACAAGGTGTCTCTTGGACGGCTCTGTTGTTCAGAAAGCAGCTTTTGGCAGAGAATCTTAGTGGAATCTAGAATGCCAAGCTTTGACTTTCCCATGTGGACGTGCTTCTTCTCCAGGAGAAGTCTGTATTCCGGCCTGTTGTACCCAGCGTTCTTTTGCTCTCGCGATATCTGCCCGCTCTGGCCGTCCGAGCTGGGCGTAGCGGAGTCTACATTCGAGTTCTTTCTGCTTCTGGAAGATACCGACCTCTTTCGAGCAAGGATGTGTTGCATGTCTCCCATCGCCTCAGACTTGGACCCGGGCCACCGTTCGTGGCGACCCCAATATGCAATGAGATGGGATCGACCCTCGCTTCCGTCGACGAACGTGCCAGGCGTGGTCGAGCGCTGTGCTTTGAGTACTCGCTGTCGCTTGCGAGGCTTCCCAACACAATTGTCTTCTGCCGCGTGGTCGATCTGCTCCCTCGCTCGCTTTCGGGTGGAGCAAGTGCTACGCTTTTGGAATTTCTTGCGTTGCTCGGGGGATGTGTTGGGCGGCAGTAAATTCAGAGATTGTCGCCCACTGGAACAATAGCCAGCCGTTTCACCGCTACTAGGCGTTGCTGAGCGGTTCTGGGGCGATTCAGCACCTCGCTCGGGCCTTCAGAAAAGGCACTCGACGCCTTGCTGTGTCAGACGTGGTGAATGACTGTGAATTCCAAGACCAAGAAAGCGACGTATGCCGCTAAGAAACCTGCACCAATATAGCGGGCCCAAGCGCTTCCGAACCAAACCGTCAGATTCATGACCACCGCTGAGCCGAACATGACGCCAATCTCGGCGGGCTTTACCGACCCCTGATTGTAATTCCCATCAGTCGATACCCAGAGCACGCCCACGCATAACGTCAACAAGAAAATATTGCTGCCTACGGTATTGGCAACCATAATTCCCATCTGGCCTCTGTAGCCGCTGACGACAGCCATGAACTTTTCCGGCACCGTCGTGGCGAGCGAGAGAATGACGACACCAAACACGATGTCCGACATGCCTGACTCGTTGACCAGAGTCGAGGCGGCGTGGGAGAGTACGTAGGCGCTGAGGATGACGGCGAGAATGCCGACTATCAGAAGAGCTAGATGGTACGTGAGGCTATGGTCGTTGGAGCCAGCGGAGTTGTCAGAGACGTCAGTATCTTTTCGTGCCAAAGATGAGGTTCTGCCAGGATCATATGGTGCCGGCGTTCTTACAGTGTCTACGCCCTCAGACACTGGCAGTGGTTCGATGGCGTCTGCGGTGATTTTCTTGTTGCCGTGTTGCTCTTCGTCAGCCGCACCGTTCTCTTTCAGCGGGTGCTCGGTCCCGCGAACCTCACGTGTCGGCGCATCCTCCCGCCGAGGAGTATCGTCGTCGTCTTCATTGTCGCTGCTTTCGCTGTCGGACGCCTCCGGTGCTGTGATGAGTCCCTTATAGATGGTCCATGCAATGGAAACGACATAGATAGCGAAGACTGCGATGGCTATTATTCCAACGACCCTCCACTTGATCGCATGTGCGAAGCCGGTAAGGCTGGCGATGAGTGTGGTCAGGACGAGCAGCAGACCGGAGTAGATCTTCCAGCTTCTGTCAAACATCTTGCCATTGCCGTTGCGGTGGAACAGCAGACCGAGAGAGAAGGCACCGAGGATGTTCGAGATGGTAGACCCGACGATATTGCCTAGGGCAAGCGAAGAGCGGTGGCGAGCAATGGAGATGGCGACGACGGCGAGCTGGAGACACAGTCAACACGCCGTGCACAGAGCAGAATACCTTCAGCCTTCTTCACAAGCTCACCTCCTCCCATTCTGCCCCCGCCGTCAACAGCGCAATGACTCCTTGCGGGATGCCCGTGCGATTGGCTACGATGGTGGTATGGTCGATGAACTTGTCGGCGCCAAACTCGAGCACGAAGAGCGCACAAACAAAAGACGCGACGCTGTACGCGATAAGCTCGCCGTCGACCATGCTGTGCTGGTGCAGTGTCGCGTCTGCTTCACCGTCCACCGTCCACTGGCACGTTATATTCTCAGATTGGCAAGAGAATCCCCAAATGTTGTACGCACGCTTGAGGTTAGAGTGAGAAGGACTAGGAAACGCAGCGAGAGGGCTGACGCGGACGTCGTCACTGTGCTGTTCTACGGTATCTAAAGCAACTCACTAGCTAGCTGACCCATCAGGACCAAGCTTGACCTTCGCGCGCAAACTCATCTTCATGAAGATCATTTGTGTTGAGTCGATGTTGCCAGTCAAATGCATCGCCTCAAGTACAGTCTTACTTCGAAGTCTCTCAATATGCTCTCCAGCCTTGCTTTCCTCGGCGCTCTCGCCTTTCCATCGATACTTGCCAAGAATAGTCTTCTTATAGATATGACAATCTTCACACCACCGGCATATTACTCCAACGAGTCCTTAGCTACATCGTATATCACTCCGACCCGTACAATCATCGCGCTTACGACAGAAGTGTTGTGTTTGTGGGCCTGACCAGCTGCAACGCCGATGGCGCCAACAAGGTATTGCGAAATAACCGTAAAGCTTCCACCAAAGAGCAAGATTTTCTGTCGACCGGGATGTAGCATACATCGACAAGAGTGGTGATCAAGTAGATAGAGTAGATAAGAAACGAAGTGCTGGTCGGGCTGGGAGAATTGAAGAAGACAACACTTAACAAGCCTATTAGCATTGCACGCCTTCACAATCGTAAGGCGAAGCACATATACCAAAATACAAGATGAAATTGATTCCGGTCGATGCTTGCATCATCTGCATGAGAACACCAAAAAGGTGCAACGAATATTGGAGGCCTACGGCGAACGTCTCCCTTGAAGTAAGCCGCCTAGGAACGCAACATACGACGTCTGTGGCATTATTGATATGCTCATACTCGTGATAGGTAATGATCTCAGTAAGCTCGGTCTGGCGCGATCACAAGCAAGAAAAGCCCACATGACACAGGCCTGAATCAGTCTGCATCATGTTGACCACGAGGAAGATGTGCTTGGCGGATCGTACGCAGTCTTCAACACTCGACCTATCCCGGAGATCCTAATCGATTACTGTGTTGGGGACGTGAGAATTTGGCCGATGCTCTCAGCCGTCTATGAGGAGCGACTCAGTAACCGCTGGTCAGAAAAGGTACGTATCGAAACGGAGAAGAGATTAGTAAATTCGAGAAGTCCAGAGTACAAGCCCCAAGGAAAGCACCAGATATTCGGTCCCAATTTCCTTCAAGCGTCCTGCTCCTGCCTCGCCCTTTTCGATGGCACACACGGTGGGGCATGGAGTAGATGACCACGGGTCTTCCGCACATAGGAGGCATATAATCCACCAGCGGTGTAAGTCGCAGCCGCGCTGATAATTACCGGCCAACGGAATTGATCTGGCCTCGAAAAGATGATAGTCGTCACATACGCTAGCAATTCGAAGAGGTTCTGAAACGCGGCCTCGACCATGGAGAATTTTCCGCGGCTGTCGGAATCCACCGCCTGTAACGTGGTCAGTCCGACTCCTGCGCAAATATAAGCTCAAACATACGTCTTGTACAATATTCTGCGCGGAGAGATCATATCCCCACAGTCCCACCCTGCTAAGAGCGACGCTTACTGCGAGTCCCGTGGCCGCAGCGATACTGTCCGCATTCTTGTCATATAGCTGGGCTAAGAACCAACTGACCCCAGCGGTTAGCCAGCACATCTGCCAGCAGATGCTCCAAATTCCAGTCCGAACAATTCCTATCCGGCCCATCGAGCGTGGCGCTATCCAGGTGGCACTGAGTTCGAGGACAGTGCTGACGGTGCGGGCTACACCGACATATAGCGAGGTACACCCGACAGCTATCAGGTATGTTATCATCTGGCCCGAGAAGGATAGAACCGTGAAGTATAGGAGGGACAAAGCGAATGAGGGCACAAAGATCCTATGCCGAAAGTAAAGTGGTAGTGACTGAAGAGGTAGAAGCCGGAATGTCCATGATCTCAATAAGGAGATCATGGGCCGTTCTGCAGCTCTAAGTACGGAACTCTCATTGTCCAGGGCGCGTGGAGTTACGTCCGTTGTGTTCGTGATGCGCCGTAGGGACGGAAATCTGTTGTAGACCTTTGATCTTGTTAATAGGATCGACGTCGGCTGCATCTTTGCAAACTGACCTTGGAAATGCAGAAATATTCGATAGTGACCGAAGCTAGGCTCATAGCAAGCGTTGCCCACACAGCAATCGAAATCGACGGTATTGCGATAAGAGAAACTGCAAGAGGTCCCACGAGCTTGCAAAAAAGGTCGATTCTGCGCATTCTAGCATTGACCGCTTGCTGAAATCAGGTACCGCTTGAAGTATCGATGACTAGTGTACTTACTTCTCCGAGCGGGCTCATTGCCTTCGGTAATCAGAACGACCTATACGTCAATGGTCAGCCTTGATGCCGACGTTGGCTGTTACTTCAGAACATACCCAGCCTCTCTCTACCGCTACAAGGTTCATCACAGAGCAGACTTTTTCAACGCAGGCCAGAAGGATGACAAGGGCAAATAGACCCTGGCGTAACGATCCATTCCTCGATAGCAGGCGTTGCTCTTCCAAAATCAAAAACAACCCGCAGCTTGCGGCAACAGCGATGCGCTGACCAATGATCGACGTCCGAACGACAATAATACGGCTGCCTTGGTCGATCCAGGTCCCTACTGCCTGTCCGAAAAGGATCGCAGCGGCGCTGCGAGATAGTGCGTAAATGGATAGGGGTAGAAGTGTGCCTGGGAATATAGAGGCGAGGAAGAGGACAGCGCCGAACTCAAAGAGCCGGGAGTTCCAAGTAGACAGGAAATGTGATGTGTAGAGGTTGAGAAGCGTCGAGGTGGGTATCATTTGTCGGTCATCATCGGTTGTAGTCTCTTGGGCGGTGGCCTCGTCAACACGGTTGCCGTCAGCATATCTACCTTCAGCAGCTGGAAAGTTGGACGCCTCACATGGCTCTGTGATTGCAGCCGTATTTGCTGCAACTCAATGTGATGAGTGCTGGTTATGTCTTGCTCTGGGATGCCGTCTTCTCGCGAAATATGAGCGCACGCCTCGAGTGACTCCGTCTCAAATCGTCGGTCCGTATCTGCCATCCCTGGACTCAGTGGAAGCTATTCCAGAAAAACGCCAATCTATATAGATACGAGTCAGTCCCTAGTATCTAACATCCTTGCGTCTGATCGCAGAGTGCGGCATCGAGCGTCATTATTGTCTTGGCACTGCGTCATGCCGACCCGAGACCTGTAGACTTCCGTCGGCTCGGTTCGCAAGTGGCGTTGTACGGCGTTGAAGTTCTACGCATTTCACAACAAGCCATGCTTTCCGTGATTTTGGTGGGAAGACCGGAGCAGCCGAGATGCATCCCGCATGCGGCGCTGCACGTGGGCCTTGAAGGCGAGTCGCTCTGACGTCTTGCGATAGGAAATCCCACTTGAAAACAGGAGAAGCGCCCTAGTCCAGACACAGAGAGAGCACAGCAGCGAAAGCAGTACACTTTCTTCTTCGCTCTCCTCTCTGAGCAGATAGTGTCGTGTCCCATTTTGGGTGGGCTGGTCTCTGCGGTGGAAGCTGACAAGAATGCCATGACGTTTCGTCGAGAGGGATATTGCATCTTTGTCAGAGGGCGTGTTACAGAGTTCCGTTACATATGTTTGTGCGGCAAAGGGTATGCTCTACAGCAGAATGCCACCTTACCCCTGTAGCAGAGCGAGCAAGCAGAATGCGCGTTACGCATGAAAGCCAAGCGTAGGATATAATTGTCAAATAATGGCATCCCTAATCACTTGACACAGGTAATAACCAGGTTTGTCGGACAACACTATTTACAATTTTGTAAGCCGCCCAAAGATTTCGTTCTCCCCTCATTACCTTCTCTATACTCTGTTCATGGCATCAAACACAAGCCCTGCCCATGACGCGGTCAATGTGGCGGTATCGTCACTTCTCCGATTCCATCGTCTGCTACTTCATTCCGCTGTCAGGTTCAACAATCTCACTGCCAGCGTTATATGGAATTTGCAGTGGTCTTAACCCTAGCCGCATCTCCGAAGTGAACACGGTAATATCATGCTGAACCCTTCCCGCACTACCAGCCATAGGTCTCTTCAAAGAAGCCAATGGCGGCAGTCTTGTTTTTCGATGCGAGTCGAGAAACAATCCGTCTTGCCTCGTCTGCCATACTCCGCGGGCCACTGACCACTACAGCTGTGCCACTGCCTGCGTTCGATTGAAGAGAGAGCTCGCTCTCAAGAATAGCCCGCAAATCCAGCCTTCTGCCCTCTACGATTTCCGCATCCACGTTCGCAACTGACTCGCCTCCTGAGATCTGACTAATTGCATTAACGAGATTCGGTCCCCTGACGCCCCAGTAGAGCTTTTTATGCCCGACGTGCTCGGCGAGGAGGGGAAGCACTGCCGTGATTCCAACTCCTCCAACAATGCAGACAAGATTAGGATATGAAGCCAGGCAACCGAAGCCGTGCGTGTTGAACACGCTTCGACCATAGGATGATTCCACAAGCACGGGCAGCTGCTTTTGATGTCGTAACAGAGCGGTAAGGCCACTTCGGGCGCGAATGAAAAACGTCAGGCCGGTCTCGTGACGGTGGTTTGCGGTTGGCGGAGGCTCGTATACTGCTGGCTGCGAATGTTGTGCTGGTGCTTTTTCTAAATCCATAGTGTATTGTTGTGGGGGAAGCCGAGGATCTTGATCGAGAAGGCCCGCAGCTACGGAAAACGGATGGTTCTCCCAGAAGCGCCACGTCAATGACGGAAAGTAGAGGTAGACTTGGCCCGATGCAAACACACCGGGAACTTCCAGTCTGATATAATCTTCATCAACGACCGTGATGTGCCCCTTACGCACGCCGTTCTTGACCATCCTGACTATTCTCATCAACCTATCAAATGCCCAGAACGCGAAGGCAATGTAGATCCACACTTCATAGCCCCACTGATGATCAAATCGAAGGTATATGTGTAGGTAGCACCCAGTAAGCGCCAAGAGGGAGAGCATAATATGCCCGCTTAAGAACAGCTCGTAGAGCTTTTTTCTCACAGGAAGGATGGGCGTCGGGACTAACAATGCCATCACCAGGGTCGCGACGATTCCCCAATACCAATAAGGCACCTTGGACTCGCTGGAGTAATCATATCCGGCGTCCGATGTGTATATCTGGAGGTAGATTGCCGAATGGAGGCATGCTTGGAGGAGGCTAATGAAAGCAACCCAGCGGTGTAGCAAGAGGAAAGTGGAGTGAGACCAGTTAGTGATCCATAGCAGAATGTTGTTCCGGCCAGCAAACAGAATAGAAGTCGCAATATTGGCAAAACTTAGGACTCCAAGACGATTGGCCACATACGTGCAGATCTCGATTCCTTCAGTAGCATACCAGCTGTTTGGCTGCTTGGAATGATGATTGACGGCTGATAGAATAACGTTGATCGCAAGAAGATATGCGATGAATAGTGCTTGACCCCTGGTAGGCACAATAATGGTCTCGAGTACAGGTTCTCGGTGATGGGATCCCCACGTAGAAGGATAAATGAAGCTAGCACCCAAACGCGTCGACAGTCGTGTTGGAACGGGTGCAAATCGCAGAAGAGAGCAGCATATTGGGACGAAAGCCGCAGTGAAAATAAGGACTAGCCTAAGAATTCAATCAGTCGTTGCTCATCGCTTACTTCGCAAGCACTATCGACCCACCCGTATTGCTCGTGTTGAACCTCGGACTTGGTGAAAGAGGACTCGGCGTTGTAGAGGCCCCGGTATGTTGCTTCATCCACTTGGCTTGGGCTTACGAGTGTTGTGTCGGATGGTCTTATACTTTTAGGTGGGTCTTCGATACTTGCCAGTGTCTCCTGATACGACTCCTTAGGTTGAGGCTGCCGAGCATGCCGCCCCGCGACATTTTGTTCCCAGAACTTCTCGAGCCTCCAGATCTTTATATCGTTGCAGTGGACGAACATGCAGTAAGCAAGAGTTTGTAGGTAGGCGCTGTTGTTAACGTAGCATTCCGGCGGAGGCTGGTCCGTACCCTGAGACAGTACGGATGTTCCGCTCAACCCACTGGTACTATTCCCACAATCTAAAGGATTGGTGATTGCATCTCGGCAAGCATATGCGCATGTTATTATATCCATGTTGGTGCCGTATCCAATGAGTCCATGTCCATCTCGACCAGTGCTCACGATCGCAACTGTAGGAGATACGCTCACCAGGAGCAGCGAGGAGAGAAGAGTACATTTAGCGAAAGGCAAGTACATATTGAGTCTGTGTTGATGATTATCGACAAGATTGCCCTGATGCGTTGCGCATCTGAGGAGCGTCCAAAACAAAGCTGGAGCAAAGTTTACATAGGACCTTTGCAATGATAAGAGTCCGACAAGAGAAGGGAAGCTGACAGAGATAAGGTGAATCTACATAATGTGTGGAGTACTACGCCTCGGACTTCTTTCTCCCGAAGTCGCTGCTCGTCAAGACCCTAACACCCATTTGACATCGAAGTTTTGTATAGGTCTCTCTCTACAATACTAGTACTTAAATCGGTAACCTGAAACAAACATATTTCATCAATGAATTGTTACATAATTAATTATTACAGTGCAAAATGTGCCACCGGTATGACGCATATTGCTACTTGCATTATCCATCGATTTGTTATGCAAGTAACTGTGGCCGCTGTCCATTGCGCTTTTCGACGGTGCCTGCACCGAGATTGGCGATTATCGTCAATGCAGCCATGGATGTCGCAATTGTGCCTTTCCTTCTATCGATAGCAGTCCTCACTTGCGCCGGGTTAATGGTTATGTACTTGCCTTCAGCTGACTTCACGTCAACACAAATTGGCACTGAGAGTGTAGCGCTCGCCGTGCTGGCGGCGTCGGCAGGCGGGCGCCTGGCTCAGCTGGCAGGATATCATTTCGGTGACAGGAATTGTATTATTCCTCGTGTTCTTCCAAGATAATTCATCGTCCCTGCGAGGAGTCTCGTGGGCGGAACCATAATGAGCTCAGTAGGCCAAGGCGCCTTTGATCTTTGCGCACAGCTTCATTGTAAAGGAGCTAATAACATTGCACCAGGCTTGAAGGAAGATTTGCTGAGCCACTCCGCAACAGGCTGTTGGACCCAATGCTCGCGAGGCATTCTCATCTGTCGAACCGCCTGACAGAAAGGCGTTGAACTCGTCTCCTAGGCGTCGAACATCGTTTTCTTTTGCCCTAAGCAATTCGGGTGGCCAGCTTTGACCCCGATCAGTGCTGTTACGATGGCGAGCTCCGCCTCTGCACGTTACGTGGTCTTGAAAAGAGGACACTTCCTCTACCTGTAAGCCGTGAAACTGGTGGCAGACGGTGAGAGTGCGCAGCATAGGGAGACGGAGAGAGTGACAGAGCAGATCGTCTCGAGCTCCGACGATGACAAGCTGTTCACGGATCTAGCTCTATGATCCAGACATCTTTCAGCCGACTATTGTCTTCTGCAAGTCCACCATGTACAACTATTGCCCCCTTACCCTCAATGCCATTCATAACATCTGCATCGAACCAGCCTCTAGGCTGTGGCCATTCACCCGCAGCTTCCACTTTATTCCAAGATTCAGCTGCCACATCATATGCCCAAACATTTCCAAGCATCTTCCCAGCCCCTGCATGTCCATGTGCGCTTGGGTCGTGCTCACCAAAAAGCGTAACGAGGAAGTGTTTGTGGTTCAGTTGGAGGGCAAGCAGAGTACCAACACTGCGAGCTTCTGGACCATTTTCACCATCCGCAGGGTATGTCACGGTAGACCATGAATCTTGTGAAGGGTCATACACATCGAGATTGCCACCTTGCTCTTGTTCCCCATCAAAGCCGTTCATGCGGTAAAGCTTACCCGTGCAGTACGCGATCGATGTACCTCCTCGGGGTGGGTCTGGCGCAGCAGCCAGACTTTTCCAAGACTTCGTGTTGACATCGAAAGACCACAGATCGGAGAGTCGACCGCTTTCTGGACATCCAGCGTGAACGTAAATCGTACTGGCTCCGTCATTCGTCATTGCGTGATAGCTTCGAGCCGCAGGAAACGGTGCTGTGCCATCGGCAGGAGATATCAGAGACCATTGAGCGGTGGACGGCTTGTAACTCCATAAGTGTCCCTTTTCTGCTATAGGCGCCATGGCCACTCCACCGCGGCCAGAAAAGAAATAAATGATGTCGCTGAGCACAGTGCTTGCTGAGCCAACACGAGGAATTGGAGCTTCCCCTTGAGCGGAAATTGTTCGAACGCAAGCAGATGCTGCCGCTAACAAGTAAGCAACATGTGGTTATACACAACACACGCCGTTCCGTACCTTTTGAGAGCTCCACCACATCGAGTCTATTGTCAACTGGCTGTCGGGGCTGCACTTCACCGCCAAAGATCCAAACTTTATTGGCAACCACAGAGATTGTCTGCGAGGAGCGCTGGAGGCGAGCCGTCGAAGCTAGGCATGTCCATTCCGCAGCAATTATAGACATCTTTGTTCCGGATGCTGATACTTAGTAACTCAAATTGAAGATGAAAACGAAAACGAAAACTTCACGAAATCCACGTGCTACGCTGAAGGGCTGTCAGGTGACTAAATAACCGCTCAAGATGCATCACGCCTGGCTCACGATGCCTTCTCTTCAAGCCCATTTCAGCGTTCTACACACATCTCTAACTTGTATACATCGTGCAAGACTTATCCAATCGCCATGTTTTAAGTCATATGGACGCGCCACAGCCTAAGATTACACTGTCGTTACCGTGCTATGATTCGCAAAAGATATGTGTGTGGCTTGGCGCTACAGGGTCCCTCGCTTTTACAGCAGATTACCTTATCGCAGTCGCGTACTGAGTCAGAGTGGTATAATCTGTCTTTCCACAAAGATGGGTATTAAGATTCGTGTTGCCACTCGCACTCTTCATCTGGACGTATTGCTCTGATCAAACATGACGTCCCACCCACCTGGCCAATGCTCCTTCAGCGCGATAAGCATGAAGGCGAAGTTCAGGGGACGGTTTACCAGATTGGCAACAGTGCGTAAACTACCAGTCGCTCCTATCAGCCTGAACCAGGACCGACTTTTGCAGATAACGCATACGTTGTATACCCGGAAGACAAGAGCACCGAAAGCGGCATTATCCTCTTCCCAGATTTCATGGGCTATGAGCTTACCAACGCAAAGCTGTGAGAATAACGTCAGATCAGTCATCGGTTGCTGCCAGCACTGACACATTCCCAACAGCATCGCGAACCAATTTGCAGCGCGATAATTATCTAAGCGAGTGTCAATCTCAATAACCAAATGCGCGGTATCTCCATATCAATAGGCTCGGACGAAATTCCCTAGTGGCCAGACTGCGCTGTGCCTACGCCGGGCAGAACGCGTTACCCTCGATTTATTCTTAGCGAAGCAATTCATCGCGCAACCAGCCTGCTGGCGAACTCGCACGTGATCTTTAGATGCTTGTGACAGTAAAAACATGCGAATTCCTTAAGACTACGATTGAGATTGATCTGAACTCTACGAAGCCCCGTCACTCCTACAGCAGTCTGGTTTTCTGCATTGCCCTTCATTACATCCGCGCTACTGGGGCTCGCCATGGTTCTGACGAACTTCCACCTTCCTCAACCTGCGGCCAGCTCATTTGTGCTGCTTCATCCTCTCCCTCTCCCTCTAGTGCCAGCGCGTCGGCTCCTATACCATTCCCATGTTTTCGAACACACTTCTTCTTCATGCGTGTCTTGGCAGATCCGTACCAGCCACGCTCCCCCCGACACGAAGGACTTAAGTACGACTACCTTGCTTAAATAGGCCCCTATTGTAGTTCACCTATACAATTCCCATTCTCTCGTAAGGCTATCTAATATCTGTGCGACGGACGCACGCTGTGCCCCCAAAGGCAGATCACGTGCACCCTGAGTGAGCAACATGCTGCCGTTAAGAACAGTAGACGGCCTTGGTGGAGGCCTGCCAAACTGTGATACCTTTATAAGATACTGTTGGGCCAGCAAGATAATAAGTACACACTCTAAGCTACAGGTAGGTCGCCAACGCTTCGAGCACCACCTAGCTCAGTCAGTAAAACTTGCTGTACGCCTACACCGGAGATCGCACGGCTGGCTTTAACGAGTGTATGGTACTTAACAGCTAGACTGCTAACGTTCTTAGGGACCTTTACACGGGCAGCCCTCCCGTACACTTCCTTCAAGATAGATTCAAACCTCAAATGACTCCTTGGATCGACGACATGATCGTTATGTTAATCTACTGCTGGGGGCTAGGAGTTCGCTTCGTCTTTTCCGCGACGTAAGTGCAACCTACTGCGCCCGCAAAGGGCCATTTCTGACCAGTTCCAGTTTTCACACTCTGTAGATATCTTGACTTCACATGAAGCGACACATTTCTGGAAAGAAGTACAGTGCGTTTACAAGCTACGATTGCAAAGCATCATGGTCTTACGGCTTCGCTCTTGCGAAACTGATCGTTCTGGTCCCGATGTCGAACACGCTATACCACCTCCGCAAAAAGACCGTTCCAAGCACAGCGAACGGGCCACCAGGAGGGGGGTAATTTTCACCGAAGAATGCACTTATGCAAGAGTTCCCATGACCGAGGATGTAGTCTTCAGCACCAATACTGAAGTTGCGGTCGGCGAGCGTAAAGCTCACATCTGGTAAGTGCTTTCGTAGCGAGCAGTCAATGGAATAACGTCCGTTTGAACGGCGGACGGCGCCCATATGTTCGTTACTTCGAAGCGTCAGCGTGGCCTTCTCGTCGAAGCATAGATAACGTACATGAGTAAGGCGAGAGTCGTCGGAAGAACGAGCATAGAGGCACCTGTGTCGATAGCAGCCCCGATATCAACGAGCTGGATTGTCCAACTGCCGAACGCGATAGACGTCAAGGTCGTTTCCCAAGTAGGTTTATCACGAAGGGGAAGTGTAGCAAGCTGTCCGGTGTAGTGATGGGGATTAGTGCCTCCGAAGATGACTTCGCTTTCATCACCTTCAACGAAAATGCTGCTAAAGTAGAGGGCGAAAATCGGCTTGGTCAAACCCTGGCCGATCATGTTGTAGAACGGCGGTGTTACGAGATCGACGGCTGCGGCGCTGAAGCCTAATCCCAGGATGCCGTCCATCTCCCAGTGAGCCGGACCATGTCCTATCTCTTGAGTAGCTTCTGCAAAGCTTTGGTTCGCGATGGAGAAGGCGCCGACTCCGATCGTGTCCTGAGACATGAAACCAGAGATCCCGTCTCCCTCAGCACCGTAGGATATCTCGAAGCGAGAGCCATTTTTGCTGTAGGAGTTTGATAGTGAGGAGTTATATTGTTGATGTAAGCGGCAAGTGTTCGTTGGACACTTTGAGCTCGTCGCCCACATGTTCGAGCTGCCCGTGTCGAGACCAATCTTGAATATTTGAGGCGGTGTACCTATTGAAACTTGCGCAGAATCTGTGGGAATCAGTCTCCCTCGAGAACAGCGTGCACCCGGGCAGAACTGACATTGTTCGTTATGGTGGTTGAGAAGAGGGAGTCGGTAGCCATTCCTGGTCTCGGGTTGGGAAACGGATAGAGATTCACGGGCAGAGGGGACAATCTAAAAGACTTTAGAATGCTATATCCACAAGCCTTTGCAACCTTCTTACCCAGCTTTGTGTCGTCTGCGGCAAGCGCAAGAGATGTAATCCACCGACACCTAAGATGAGGCAGATTACCAACTTGATCAACATGCTCTTCTCCATAGCGAAGTTCCCCCTCGCCAGCTCTTTCGATTCACCGAGAGGCCAAACCTGCGGTGCGTCGTACGTGACGACCGAGTCTGATGAGTGGGAAAAATTGTGCGTAGCGGTGCGGTTGGTCGAAGTGTGGAGGTGGCAGTCCTCCGGCTCAACTTCGGCAACGACCCACCGACGCGAGTTGACGCGACTTCCTCACCCTGCTTCTCCCCTCCACCTCCCCCCCCACCACCACCATGGACGATGACATCGCCGACATCCTCGCCTCCGTCTCCGCCCTCGACCAGTCAGGTAAACAGCTAGAGACACAAGACACTGAAGTCGGAGATGATCGGCTGGCTGAATGAAGGGGTGTGCCGTTGGCACAAGGAGGTGCCGTGTTCTAGTTGAGAAGAGCAGAGTGAAGACGGTGAAGGCGGACCTGGGGAGGAGAAATGAGGGAGAGATGACGAACCGCGTTGGCCCAGACATCAAATGTCGAATGTGCTGGAGTGTACACCATCTTGAATCACTTTATTGGCCGCTATGCTGCGAGAGGGTATAGTAAATTACGTCCTCCACGGTCCAGGCATGCTTTCCAGTTTTGTTCTATCGCAGAAATTGCGAAAGCTCGCACCTCCACGTCGTTGCACTCAAATCTCTGATGGCTCAGAGCTTAGAGATCTGTCCAGTGTACTTCCTCCACAGCTTCTACGCTAGCTCTCCTTTGTTGCTGCTCTCGCCTCGTCTTTGCTGCAATAGCCGCTTACAAGCCGTCCTCAAACAGTCCTTTGATGCCCGTCGACGTGTGGCCATCAGCTTGTGTATTCATCTCTAAGCGCGTAGCTGCGCGTTTCTTTCTCCGCTTGTAGTACTATACTCGCCGACGCTTGGGATCAAGATGTTGTGCTAGGTTGGAACCTCACACTGGCCTGCAGGCTATAGAAAAGAATACAGTGACAAATATATATTAGCCGCCTAAGCTGTAAACGCCCGACCAGCACGATTTTGTGCCGGCACGTGTTATCCGCTTTGTCTTTGAGCGATCGTCGTCCGCGTGCACGGTGCTGAAGGGCAGTACGCGGGACATCACTGTGATCTGCCAGAGCACGGTATGGCAGGCCAAGAGGAACACGTTGTGCCAGTACCTCACTGGCTCGGTCAGGCATATTCACTTACCGTAGGGCTGGTGCAGGATGGGATCGACGTGGTACCTGCACCACTAGAGGGACAAAGCGCCAGCAACCAGCAACCAGCAATGACAGCTGGCCATAATGCGACCCTAGACGCTTCTACAATGTGTGGCTATGCACAAAGCGCCACTGCGAAGGCACCGAGTTAGGAAGAACAAGGACGTTAATCTGCGTTTTTCTGCATTTTTGCGGAGGTGCAGATAAGCCCGCCGGTACACACTAATGCGCGCATAACTCGCGCCTATCTCACGAAGTCCCTTCGTCCGCCACTAATATTGCCACTACACGCCCAATATGGGTTGATCGGCATCGAACTTTGGCCACCCTACTCTTTAGTATGAGAGCTTCTGCTCTGATACTTCAGATGTGGAAACAGTCACACGACTATAATCATGTAGGTAGAAGCAGTTGGAGCTGTTATCGGTAGCGCTAATGAAGTGATCAATAGCTTCACGAGCACGCAGTAAACCTCGTTAACGAGTGAGATAGTAATGGAGTGACAGCTACAGAATACTGACTACTGAGGAGAACTTTACTAACAAGTAGATGAGAGCGTCAGAAGATAAAGTCTATGAACCTGGCTCGCGACGTGGGGTGGCTCGTGACGTAGGGAGGGACGTTATACGAGCTTCCAAGTCTGGACGCGTCGCATGCGTGGGTGTCTTAAGAGCGCGAAAGTAGATTGCGGTGTGTCGTTGAAAGCATTATTAGCAACGTAAGAACTCGAGATAGAATTATTGACAGCCCGGACAACTAGGGCTCCAGAATTTATGTCTTAGTTGAGCTAATTGTCCATATTCAATAGAAAAGAGATGTGTTTCTCCTAGGACAACTGTATTATGTCTCGATGAAGCCATAGCAACCTATAACGGTCGCATATCTACCCTCCGTAGTCGCAGTTGTCGAGATAGTGGTCGCGATTGTCTTGTCGCAAGCTCCGGACACTACAATACCTGGATTAAGTCATTGGCTAAAGAGATCAATCCGAACACCTCCCGAAGTGTGACGTTTCAACATGTTCCTCCTTAGATAGCCAACGATTCATAGCTGCATTTTGTGCCAATACGATATGGTTCCCAGCGGCTGCCACCCGACACGCAGTTTCGAAACGAGAGTCTTGGCGGGGAAGAAGTGGGCAAGCTTGACAAACTCGGCGGCTAACATTAGCGCCGATTCTCACTTACTCTTTCACTTCCACATATTCGTGAAACATTGTTGTCGGGCGTATTTCGTACTTTCATGGCAACACGACAGTCTAAAGGAGCGAAGCAGCGCTTCGTTCATCACAACGGCTTCCGCAAAAGTCCTCGACTTGCGCACGCGTCAAAAACGAAGCAGCAAGAACAATCGCAACATCACCAGCAGCTCCCATCACCAGCTTCAACGTGTGCGCCACGAACGCGCAAGATCTCCCAGATTCAGCACGCTGAGACCGAAGTCGCCGAAGACACAGAGCCTTGTCGCAAACGACAGCGGATTGCGCGGAAAAGCTATATTGCCGTACCTCCACCACCTTGTGAGCCGGTGGCATATTGGGCGGCGTTCCGCGAGTGGCCTGCATCTGGGATGTCGAAGCCAGATAGCGCGTCTACATCAGGATCGAAACAGAAAGGCTCATCTACGCATCCCTCTGAGAAAAGAAAGCGACTCGAGGAGAATGGAGTATACATGAAGGCTTCAGTACTGCTAAAGAAAGAAAGCAAGAAGTTGTGTGAGGGGCTGTTGAGGGGACAGCAAGTACCTAGCTTGTTTCCTTGCTATCCAGCGTCAAAACTAGAAGATGTTCTCGAGCGTGTGCATGAGCTCAACGAGGCGAGACTCCAATGAGACGTCATGCCGTGGGTTGTGCCTTCTGCGGAGAACCTACACTTCTCTGGCGTGATCGATCGCGATTATATTGGAGAAGAAGTTGACACCGAGTGGATTCGATGTCAGACAATGGGGTCGTCCAGATCAAAGCCCGATTTTGCCGCTGGCTTGAAGATTTCCGCGTTTTCAGGAGAAGAGGACACAAAGCTGCAAAACTATTGCACAGCGCAACGACCTTATGTATTCACCCCCGATCTCGCGTTCCCGTTCTTGATATGTAAAGCAAAGACAGGCAGGATCGGCCTCGATAATGCCGACACACAGAATATTCACAGCGCAAGTATTGCTACCAGGGCAATACTGAGTTTGTACACGTCCACGTTTGGCATCGATCACGAGACTACGAAGGATCTTTTCGGGCGCATACTCGTATTCAATGTATTCCACAACAACCGGGTGGTGAACTTGTACGGTCACTATGCAGTGCCGGATGGCGCCGTGGGCAAGGAATCGTTTACGTATTTCCGACACGATATAGCTATGTTCAGTCTGACCCTTTATGGAGGAAAGGAGAGATTCAGGCCTTATAATTTCGTGAGGAAATTGTATGAAGAGTTTGGCCCTCAACACCTTGCGCGAATTCGTCAGGCGGTGCAGTCAATGCCGAAACCTACGGCTCGCACTGGCCTCTCCTTTGCAGCATCCGATGTCACATTGGGAGAGGGGGGCTCGCAGACGGATTCTGAGATCGCATCCCAGGCAGACGAAGCATTCAAATTACCCAACGAACCTGCTAGTGTATCACAAAATCGAGAGCTGGCGAGCATGAGAGTGCAACTAGACAGATTGTTGCAGCAGATGGACGAGCAGGGAGAGGAAAGCAGGAGGGGGGAAGATGCTGTCAAGCAACAAATGCAGCAACAGAAAGAGGAGAGCAAGAAGAGAGAGGAGGAGAGCAAGAAAAGAGAGGAGGAGAGCAAGAAGAGGGAGGAGGAGAGCAAGAAGAGAGAGGACGCCCTCGAGCGGAGACTTGACCAGATGGTGATTATTGTCGCAGAACCAGCGAAATGAACAAGTGTGGGGAGGATGATGAGAGGAGTGTCGGGAGTCGGTAAGAAGGACAAAGGCATCTTCTGCAACAACCCATTCAGGGAAGCAGATCGAATCACAGCTACACATTTGATTCCGTGACGGCACGAACGTTTTGGTGTCAAGACTCCATGGAAGGCAAGCTTCGACGTAAAGATAACATGCTACTACGTCCAAAGACCATATGTCGACCTCCACACCATAGCAAGGTATAACAGCATTGCTTTCGAGCTCTGGCGCAAGATAGCCGACTGTGCCGCACACCCGGACCTGTGGTATATCAAACCCCAGGTTCCGGGCGACAAGCTGAACCTCGATCGACGATGACGCTCCCAAGCTCAACCATTCCCAATTTGGCAGGTTTCAAATCGTTGTGGATCCATCCGGCAACGTGGAGAGCAGATAAACCTCATGCGATTTCAGCCGTGCCCGCATAGAGCATACACGCTTGAATCCCAACACGCACACCCATACCCGCCAATCGACACACGGACTGATCTATACCTGCTGATCCACTCTCACCATGTAATTACTTGCCCTCTTCAACACTACATTGACGACCACTGACGAACGTCCAGGTGTACCCACATTACTACGGTTAAGGTCGTCGTAGACGCGAACGGTCGCCGTCGAACGGTCACAGAGGTCAGGCGAGTTGACTGCAGAAGAGCAAATTGTCCGACGTCAGACTCGAACCTAAACAGGCGGCGCAACGCATATCCTGTCTCGCACTTGGACAAAGGCCAACACGACCTCAGATTACTTAGGTGATATCAGAGAAGCTACGACTACCATCACTAAGGATTGATATGCATGCTGAAGATGAAACGTACAAGACGTCTTATGCTGGTATATTTAGTGGTTTAGAACTTTTGACCGGCCTCCTTTCTTTCTCAACTATTCGTCTTTCATCTTGACATGTGCGCTAATAGAGCTCGACCGATCCTGAAAATGATCTTATGCCGAAATCCTGTATGCTTTGTTTATCCTGTCTATTTCACCTCGCTCATCCTCTCTGATTGACTTTTCGACAACCACCGGTCCAACTTTCGCAATGCGCTTTCGTCGTGATGCCGTGCGGAAGTGCTGTAATCTTCATCGATCCAGCCAGGTGTCCCTCCAGATAGTAGCGCCTCTCCAAACTTTCTGCAAGACCCAAAATCAAGGATAATAGGCTGGTCGTCTTGGTCCATAGCTATGTTCAGAGGGTTAAGATCATTATGCGCAAGTCCCAGAGAATGGAGTTGCTCAATTCCCGCTCTAATACCGCTCATGCAAGCAGTAACGTCAAATGCTCGCGGATCATCGTCGAATCTATATTGTAATATGATATCGTATTTCTGCAAAGCGATACCAGCAATCCGGCCCTGTTTCGATATGCATCCATGATATCGCACCAAATTTCTGTGCCCGTAAGGCTTGAGGATCTCTAAGACTTGAGCTTCTTCGACAAGCATCCTTGGGAGCAGTTTAGTTTCTTCTAGATCGTCAAGGCAAAGGAGCTTGGGCCGTTTGATATAGTATCGCTTCATATCATTATCGTCCGCAACAATTGTCAAGCCAGCTGTCATTTCCGGATAGATGACTTCGTCGGATATCCGACGAAGGTTCTCTCTCAAGTCCTCCACTGTCAAGTCATACTTTCGAACTCCGGAGACCTGGCCGAACCAGGCGCTATTGTAGGTATCGACGAACGAGAATGTCGTGCGTAATACAGATCCTGTGTCAATGTCTTCAACCTCGCAGAGATCTGTGAGATCTTGCTTCGAGGCGATCTGTGGCCGGTCTGAAGGCGAATCTTGCAACATGTGAAGCTTAACGCATACGTTCAGAAGCCAAAAGGCGAGCGGAGTCTTAAAGCATCCCTTGTGTGGATCAAGGCAGTGGTTTCGTGATCAATTGTTCCGATGATGACGCATGTAAGACGAAGATCAAGGATGTTGTTGCGCGAAGAAAGGTGCACTCGCGCTTTGCGAATGGTAGTTGCCTACTATTGCATCAAACGCACAGGGCAAGTTGTGCTGGCGCTAGCTTGACTAGGGCCAGCACAACTTGCCCTGTGCGCTGTGAATCCAATGTTCAATCACTATTCTCATGCAACACTTCGTTATACCGCGTATGCGGAGATTAAACAACTATGTCCAGACCCGCCAACCTCCAGACCGCAGAGCTGCGACTACGTATTTTGCAACAAGTCGAGTCGTACCGAATCCGTTTGCTTCCTCTCAAGCAGACAGAGAAAGATCGAGAGCTACACGAGATTTCGAAAGAGTTGGTCTTGGAGCAGCAAGTTGCGCAGAATTGCGCATCTTTGGTTCGAAGATCGGCAAGGCAGATGTTTGCTGGTGTATGACAACGCAGACAGCCTCGACGACGAGAGCGACCCCTACTTCGTCGATTTGCAGCACTATCTGCCTGATGCGCCGGGTGTCGAGATCATCATCACCACACGGAGCCAGACAGCGACGGGCACGACCGAGCTTCAAGCCATAGAAGTATGAAAGCTCGCACCTGCAGAAGCAATAGACATGTTCATGCGCTGCGGCAAGCTCGGCGATGCTGCTGGATCTGTTCGTACGGAAACGGCACTGATCGTGGCCGAGCTCGATGACTTAGCATTGGCCGTGACACTGGCAGACGCCTACGTGGCAGCGACCCCACGTATCCGCTCGAACCTTGCCGACTACCTGCCGGAGGAAGCGTTCACGTGAACGTGGAGGTGACCGCTGAACTGCGAAAGCATACCCGCTCGACCTTCTAGAAGCCACGAAAACTTGTGCTTGACTATGTAGTATGGGACCCCACCCAGTATCTGTGTCTCGGTGCTGTTGCGCCTGCCATAGTGACTCGAATTGATCTTGTCATCCTTCGAGGCATGAAGTGAAGTTCCAATGCGACGAAGACTCCTCAGCCTCACCTCATCTGAAAGTCAATCCACGCCATGATGCTTACCCCTGTCGTGCATCTGGGCTAGATCCGCGGGTGAAAGCTGAAGGCCACGGCATATGGCGCCAGGTGAGTATGCGCGACGGTGGCTGACATCAACCCGAACGACCGACAAAAATTGTTTGTGAAAGGGGAGCCCATGTTCGACATGCTCTTGTCCGAAAAACTGCACGGAAAATATCGACACTTTCTCCCGGGACAAACGCTCCATGATGATTACCAGTTCTTCGGGTATGCGAACAACACGCTAAGCAAGAGCAGATGCAGGCAGGTCCTCGTTATGGCCAGATGACCAGCGCTGTTGGTTGCAGTAGCTTGAGGCTGGGACACGCTCGGCGTGGTCGTATTGCCAGATGTGCTCGCAGTCGTTGCATCGCCAGATGCACCAATCAGACCTGGAAGCAGAGATTCTCCTTCCACGAGCACCAGCGCCATGCCACTCTAGTGTAATGACTGAATGTTAGCGGGATCAGCAGAGTTGATAAGGTTGCTCTTACCAGTAAGTGCCATTGTATATGGCAGTGGAAGAACCAGGCGCCAGGATTGTCGGTCACGTATCTGAGACTAGGTCAGTTCATAGGTAAAAACGTGCTCAGCAGGCGCGATGAAGCTTGCCTGATAGCTGCCCAACCGGCTGCTGGTAATTCAACCGTATCGCGATAAGGAGGATCATGCATGTTGATCACGGATGGTGAAGCGTTCATGACCGAAGAAAATGGGAGCGAACCGGTGCCCGTACCCAAGATCCAAAATTTGTGCCCATGCAGATGCATTGGGTGACCCATCTGCCGTGGTACAGTCGTTAGCATCGGCGAGAAGGGCAAAGTCTTGCTAAGGATCTGAACATACCGTGTCCATCGAGGCATCTGCGATTTGCATGATGATATCGATAGTAGAATTACTAGGCATGTGCAAGGTCGTATTGGCGGTCCAGCCATCTGATCTATTTCCATGCAGAACAGGTGTCTTAGCCTCTGTATAAGGGGCTTTGTCCACGACCCATACCACTGGAGCGGTTTGATTAATCGTGAAGATCCTTGTGATATCTGCTGGAGCGGTAGGCGGCATATTTGGGAGAAGAGGAGCCAGCAGTTTTTCATTCAGCACAGAAGCTTGAGCTTTAGCCGAGCCATTCAGCAACATCCAGGTTGATTGCGGCTTATCGCATGAAGTATTATTGTTGTCGTGCCTCCCATCGCTGATGTCGACAATCACTTGATCTTGGATTACCTGCTGCATGTCCCCGACCGGGTAGGATGCAAAGCGGAGGTAGTACTGCCCTGGTGGTTGATTGAGTCTGATCATGACTGAATAGCGTTGGCCAATAGCAATTGGCAGCACCTGAGATATTCATCAGTGTGAACGACCTATGCCGGGGGAAGTGCAAAGCGACCTTGACCTCCTGCATCTCCACATAGAGCCCATCAGCAGCAAACACGAACATTGTATGTGCATCCAGCGAGACTTGTAACTTGCTAGTGGCGGCGGCATTGACCAGATGAAGCGCAAGCCAGCCTTGAGAACGGATTTTAGTTATTGTGAGCAAAGCGGCGGTCGTATTCGTGCACGTAACTGGCGGAAGTGAATCGATGCTGTAGCCAGGATTGAACATCATTGGTGGCGTACATCCGAGCGCGTTAAGAGATGACATCTCCATCCCACCCTCAGCTTTGTCTGCTATAAGCTCTACCGTCGACGTCGCACGCCTCATCATGGCCATAGACATCGATGCAGTCGGGTTCATTGACATAGCGTCCGTCGTAGTAGCGCAGTTGTTCACACAACTTGCCATAGTGGAGCCCGAGTCCATAGAGTGGGACATGCTGGAGGCTTTGGAGGCCACCTCGGAAGATGTTATATTGAGGTCGAGTCCAGGTCCTGCCATGAGTAAGTTGTTGGGAAGACATTGAACTCTTCCGTGACCATTAGCCAACAAGCTATCGACACAACCAGGGAATGCGCCCGTCCGAAAGTACTGTTGATAGACTGCATTCGAGGGATCGTGATACCAATCTGCGAGGAGCAGGGGCGTTGCGTCTTTCTCTGCCTGGAGGAGAGCGCTCTCCTCGGCCTCGGTCTGAGCCAGACTTTGGAAAGGCCGGCGTAGAGACGGGGATGGGTGTATGAGGAGCGGCCCGCGTATAGCATCGTTATAATATGACTTGAAATGCGAGTGGTACCAGTAAAAGCCATACTGGTCCCCGAGGGGCATATGGTAGGTGAAGTTGCCGCCGGGTGGTATCGCAAACTGGATGTCACGCGAGTTAGCACAAACAGCGCAATCGCATAGGTGAATGGAACTCCCACCTGCGTAACCCCTGGTACACCGTCCATATCCGGAGTGCCTCGTTGAAGTAGTCCTGATCCACGTGTCACGTCAATACGATGGGCTTGGAAGCAGGTGTGGAATAAAGGTCTTGAATGATGCACACACCGTGCCAATGAATTGTATTCTCCACATCGAGGTCGTTGAAGACTGTCACCTCAAGAATGTCGCCCTGGTTTGCCTCGATCAAGGGCCCGGGTTGCTGGCCATTGATCAGATAGACTTGGCGAGCAAAGCCATCTGCAAGCTTATTAGCCGTGTAGGGGATGCGAAGGCAGTCAGATGCAAGGGCTCTCATATGCGAAGGCAGACGGACCGGGAGATCGTTCTCCACTGTGCAGCGTGAGATTGTAGGAGCGCGTCGCAGCAGACACCGAGAACACGCCGCACGCAAGCACAATAGCAGCGGTGCACGTCCACATCATTCCAGCGAGAGCAGGCTCGTGAAGGAAGCCAATGTAGCAGACGCGTGAAGGAAGCCAATATAGCAGGTGCGTGAAAGAAGCGAATAGAGCAGGCGCGTGAAGGAAGCGAATGCAACAGGCGTGTGAAGGAAGCGAATGCAGCAGGCGCGTGAAGGAGGCTAATATAGCCGGCGGCGAAGTGGCAGCAGGCAGCAAAGAGCGGTAGGATATACACTGCCTGGCATGGTCGAGCGCGCGGACTGGGTCATGAAGTGGGGAGACCTACGCCAAGAGCGCCGCGCTTGGCCTCGCAAGGGCACGCGGCCGGGCACATACGAAACGAAGTTCGTTTCGCCTCCTTCTATTTCCAGTTTGATTGGCTAGACTCTCGAGCCGGGGCGGTGGTGGCGAAGGCGACAAAATCGACCTCGCAAAACAGCAACTGATGAAAACCCGCTGAACGCCGCCTGGAGTCTGTGGTGAACCAACGCGCGACTTGTGCGGCGAGCTGGTGGGTGTCCGCCAAGGAATGCGCAATTTGTGCGGCGGGACGCATTCGTCACACACTGCGGCATGCGCGATTTGTGCGCGACGGCCGTTGCCCTTTCTACGCCGTGCATCGCGTGCAGCGACGAGAAGTCTCGGTCGCCACGAGAGCCACTTGTGCCTCCCTCACGGACCCAATATTTTGGTCGTGCACCGTAGTGGCCGGATTTTTTCCATATACGCATCCAACTTTTCTGGATTCTCTGGACGCTGGATCGTTGGTTCACCTGCAATGTCGACCCCCGAAATCATTTCTCTGCAATCGCTCCTCCAGACGGTGTTCCTCGTGCCCAACGCTCATTGCCCCACGTGTGCCGTGTTCATCGATGGCTTCCTCGCTCGTCTGGATCCTCCGCCTGCATCGGTCGCGACTTCAATCGTGTCGCACACTGTGACCGTCCGCCACGACCCGTCGTTGACGCCGCGCATGATTGCAAAAGCGCTGGACGAGGCGGGTTATGAGGTTGAACCAACCAGTCTGAAGGCTGCCCGAGATGCAGCATCCGGGTCAGGCTCGCGTGACGAAGGCCTCGACACTCGATCGACCACCTTTCTGGGCACCTTGATGCGCTGCGTGGGGCGAGAAAAGGAATTGGATGAGGAGACGAAGAAGAAGCGGCACCAGACCCATTGCGAGCTTTGTCGCGCCCAGCAGACTGGAGACAATGGCTCTTCCAGCCAATTCGCCGACCAAGGCACGGCAGACCATCTCGCTGTAGTGGTCGATACTCTGTCCTCGCAGCATAGTAGCGTCTTTCAGGCAACCGTATCGATCACAGGAATGAGCTGCAGTTCCTGCGTGGGCAAGATCGTCGCGGCTCTGGAGGACAAGCCGTGGGTGACTTCGGCCCATGTCGCCTTGACGACGCACAGCGCGTCCATCGACTTCAACGGAGAAGAGACCGATGCTGCGCATCTGACCACAATCATCGATGACTTGGGTTACGAGGCGAGCCTGGAAGATGTGACGAAGCTCCCGACAGGGATAGAGTCCAACCCAGGCGCTTGCTCGGACGTGTGGAAAGCATCCTACTCGATCGAAGGGATGACGTGCAGCTCCTGCGTAGGCACCGTCACAGGAGCGATCCGAAGCTTCGGCTGGGTGCAAAGTGTGGACGTCAGTCTTGTTAACAACAGCGCGACGGTCGTCCTCGAAGGCAGAAGTCACGCGGACCTAGTCACCACTGCAGTGGAGGATGGTGGGTACGGTGCTACCCTGAACGACGTGAGCCCCTTCTCCACTGAAGCCGAATCTCGTAACGGGCGCAGATCGGTGTCCATCCAAATTCATGGAATGTACTGTCAGCATTGCACTGGTCGGATTGTTGATGCACTCAATCAATTTGACGGCCGGGTGACTATTGAAAAGGCCCCCACTCAGGAGAACCCGATTGTCACCATCTCGTACGTTCCTAAGGCACCAAATTTCACTATTAGGTGCATTCTCAGTACCATCTCGGCAGCGGATCCGGAGTTCACACCAAGCGTCTACCATCCCCCCACGCTTGAGGAGCGCGCGAGGCAGATGCATGCTCGCGCTCAGCGGCGGATATTCTCTCGTGTCCTCCTTTCGGTTTTCGTCGCTATTCCTACTTTCGTCATTGGCATCGTATACATGGCTCTTGTTCCTATGTATGACTCTGGCCGCCGATACCTGATTGAAACATCACATGGTGTCAGTCGTGCGGAATGGGCATTGTTCGCTTTGGCAACTCCTGTCTACTTCTTTGCAGCCGACATTTTCCACCGCCGCACACTCAAAGAACTCTACTCTCTCTGGAGACCAGGCAGCTCGGTCCCTATGCTACGCAGGTTCTACCGCTTCGGAAGCATGAATATGCTAATATCTTTCGGCACTACAATTGCTTACTTCTCATCTATCGTCGAGCTGATCATTGCGGCGGCATCGCATACCACGACGAATTTCAGCAGCAATACGACTTATTTCGACTCAGTTGTGTTTCTAACAATGTTTCTGCTTCTTGGTCGCCTTATTGAGGCATACAGCAAAGCGAAGACCGGAGATGCCGTGTCCACTCTACAGCATCTGCGACCAAGAGAAGCACTCTTAGCGCTACCTGATGATGAGCAGAAAGCTGATGTTCGGATCGAAGCCGTCGGCGTTGATCTGATCGACCTGACCGACGTCGTAAGGGTGGTCCATGGCGGTTCTCCACCTTGGGACGGGGTCGTCGTTTCTGGGGACACTGTTTTCGATGAATCGTCCTTGACTGGCGAGTCGAAGCCGGTGACAAAAACTGCTGGCGACACTGTCTATTCCGGCACCATTAACAGAGGCGGGCCGATTTCGATTGAAATCACTCGTGTGTCGGGCGACTCGATGTTGGATCAAATCATTAAAGTGGTACGCGAGGGCCAGGCGCGCCGCGCGCCGATTGAAAGGGTGGCCGATATACTTACCAGCTACTTTGTCCCAGTTGTTACCCTCGTTGCTATTGCGACGTGGCTAATCTGGCTGGGGCTCGGAGTGTCCGGGACCCTACCGCAAAACTACTTGGATATCGAGGCGGGCGGCTGGCCTTTATGGTCCTTACAGTTCGCTATTGCTGTGTTCGTTATCGCGTGTCCCTGCGGTATCGGCCTTGCGACGCCAACTGCGCTGTTTGTCGGTGGAGGCTTAGCAGCTAAGCACGGCATTCTTGTTAAAGGGGGCGGGGAAGCATTCCAAGAAGCCAGCCGCCTGGACATTGTCGTCTTCGATAAGACCGGCACCCTCACGCAAGGTGGCGATCCCAGAGTGACGGATTCCCAGTTCTTGCTATCTAAGGATTCTGCCTTATGTGAGCATCAGATCCTGGCTGCACTCAAACAAATTGAAGGAAACAGCAGTCACCCAATTGGGAAAGCGGTCCTCGATTTCTGCAATCCAACGCCCCAAACAGGCGTGAAAGCCACGCATATCGAAGAAGTGGCGGGCAAGGGGATGCAAGGGTCTTTTCATGTCCTCGACTGGTCACAAGGCATGGAAATACTGGTGGGAAACGAGGCTCTCATGTCCGATCACGGAATACCCCTCGATAACACAACCTCCGCTACCCTGGACGGATGGAAAGGCCAAGCAAAGTCGGTCGTCATTGTAGCAACGAGAAGTGCTTCAACCCAGGAGAAGACCTGTTGGGAGCCAGCAGTGATTCTGGCAATTTCTGATGCTATCCGGCCGGAGTCCCGCTCTGTTATCGAAGCACTTGCGCGTCAAAACGTGGAAGTGTGGATGCTTTCGGGAGACAACCCAAAAACTGCTTGTGCTGTTGCAGCCATGGTTGGCATACCAGAAGAGCGTGTTATTGCTGGTGTACTTCCAGAGCAAAAAGCTGCCAAAATCCAGTATCTACAGAGGAGCCAGGTGGCAAAGAGGTCGCAATACTTCCTTGGGCTGGGAAGCGTACGTTCGAGTCGAAGAGCGATCGTAGCGATGGTTGGCGATGGCGTGAACGACTCTCCTGCATTGACGATTGCGGATGTTGGTGTCGCTGTAGGTTCTGGATCGGATGTGGCAATATCCTCGGCCGACTTCATCCTCGTCAATCAGGACATGACAACGTTACTGAACTTGGTCAGACTCAGCCGCGTGGTGTTCCGAAGAGTCAAGTTCAACTTCGCCTGGGCTCTTATCTATAACCTCTTGGCTCTGCCTATTGCCGCAGGCGTTCTCTATCCCGTGAAAAGTAATGGGACACGTATCAGGTTGGACCCTGTCTGGGCTAGTCTGGCCATGGCTCTGAGCAGTATCAGCGTGATATGCAGCAGCCTGATTATGAGAAGCAGGCTGCCGGTGGTCGGATTTCGAGCTCGAGGAGTTGACAGGGCTGCATCAAAGGACCAGTGAAAGCGAGGTGAGGCATGTGGTTGAGCCAGTATGCCAGACCATGTACGCGTTAGTGTATCAGTACATATCAAATATTGCATACGGTCTCTGACGTTATGATTGCATTGTCCCGTCATGAAGGCGTGCTATGCTATTGCGGTGAGCTGTTGCAGTTGCACTCGTGTGAAGATCCTGCGGCCATGGAAAGAACTGTGCTTTGTCCATATGCTAGTCACTGATGATTTGAACGTTATGTAGATAAGAGCGTTTCATCCAATGCAGAACAGTCATGATCGGTGAAACCCAACAACTTATTGCAGTGTTCGAGCTACATGAACCTCGAGTACATAACCAGGCATCCATAAGCAACGCGTGACAAGGCTAAATCCCATCACCGCAACCTTGAATAGAAACACGGTTGCCGGGATCTTAGGCGCAAGGCTCCTTCACATTGGTCTTGATCAGCCACCAGTTAATTGGCACTGCTGTCCGATGGCGCAGAAACATGCCAATCTAGTTTCCAGTCAGTGTGATTCGCACTCAAACTCAATCATGAAGTTGGATGACAAACCTGCATCATCCACCAATACGTTACAGTGTTCATTTCCAGCTTCCAGCGAAAGATCGCAATCTGGAAGATGGCCATCCATCCAAAGAGTCCAACTTCGAAGAAAGTAAGCGACAGAAAGTCGGCTTTTGCAGCACGGTACAACATTTTCGGTCCGTATGCGCCTGTCATTGGGGCGATGGAATAGTACTGGAAGACGATGCCGAGCGCTAATGCAAATGCAAAATCTGGGACAAGTAATTCGAAAGGCGTTCCACGAGAGCGAAGAGGTATCATGAAACCACTCACCGATCAGATACTCCGGCCACAGGGTACGGCCATTGATCGTAGCGTTAGTACCGTAGACCAGCCACTCTCCGATGATGTCGCCAATCACGCATCCAGCACCGCAATGACAGACAGCGACAGTGACTGTAGCAAACATCGGCCTCTCACCACTTCCGTGAGAATGGTTGTGGTGGCCGTGCTCTTCTTTGACTTTGCCGTCGTCGTCAACCGACACTTTGCGGGTCTCCGTCGTATCGTGAATACTGTCATATGCCAGATCAGCGTTCCCACCCCGAGTTGAGTGCTCATGTGAAGCCCCCTCGCCACCAGGACCGTGAGGCGAGTGATGAGCAGCATGAGAAGGTGTGGCAGCTCCTCTATGAAGCTTCGGCGGGCGACCATATTTGATGTATGTCCAGAGGGTTATGGGCCACAGATAAAGTGCATTGACAACATAAACGGGTATCCTGCCCAGTGAGTCTCAGCGCAGGCACAGGATGCGGTAGGGGACACGTACATGATAGCCATCATCGACTTCCATCCCCGCCGTAGCACAATGTCAAATGCAATCCATATGGCAACGACGCCAGCGACGCCAATAGAAATTGACGAAATCACAGTCAGCGCAAGAGGTGGATCATATGAAGAATGGGTAGCCGCCATGAGCTAAAGACCAAGCAAGCGTGTAGCTTTTGGACGGGAACAACTGTGACGGTCAGATCAACCGCATGCAAGGCGTTATATTGAAACTGGCGAGCAGTTTGTTGCTTTACAATTGCACGGGCTGCGGAACTGACATCCGCAGGCATCGTTGAGCAATTTGTGCGGATGACATCAACACAGCCGAATGCGCGAGTTGTGCGGGATGACGTCTACTATCCGATGGACGAACATATTCACCGCGCACAATTCGCGCCGACGCGGCAGCTTGAAGTGGCTCATAGGTTTCAGGACATATGCTTGTGCAAGGATTTATACAACAGTCCCACTCCCGGCTGACATAATTATCTCTCACGCGACTAGCTGCACTTTTGGCGCAATTGCGTCAGCTGATGAGAAAAGATCGCATTCCGTGAGTACAAACTATGAGAAAATGAACGGCCAAAGGATGACTGATTCCCCCTTCCGGCTTTTGTCAGAGACGAGCATACCTGCAGCGATGGCCGACCACAGCTACAGATTCAATGTGACAATGACTTGCGGCGTCTGCTCTAGTGCCGTGGACCGCGTGCTCCGGAACCTGCAGGGTTGGTATAATCTACTGATCTCCCTTATCACTTCCGCACATATGCTGATAGCTCACATCTGTAGGTGTCAAATCATTCGACGTTTCCCTGAACACACAAACTGTTAGCGTTGTGACGGAAGGCAACGTCGATTACGCGATGGTATTGGAAGATTGCTTCCGCACTTATAGCAACATGATGTCCTGCGGAACGAAGCCGGTCGCGGAGGTTGCGGCAAACTGAAAGCCG